GTTAAATATAAACTATTCCAATTTATCGTCGATATCTACCGACGCAATTTCTGTATACTTCGATAGATATCGAAGTGGATAAAAAGTTTGTCAAAGATTTTCATAATTTATCTTAACAATGGCCGATTATAAAATTATGATCATGCTTGCAACAAATAACATAATAAAGAATTAAAAATATATAAATATTGATATGGATGTTAATTTTTGTTATAATTGTTTAAAAGTTACCAATATTCCCTCCAAAATTTGTCGACTCGTCTGCCATCTGTTATGACGTCGTTTACGCGCCAATGAAACTTTCCATGGCGTCGAATTTCAATCAGAGACTGCAACAGAAATGAAATACAAATTAAATCATAATTAAACAATAATTGATAATAATGAAGAAATATTAAAAGGTTAGAAACACGTATGTACCTCGTTGGTCGTGAAACGCTGACACGTCTTGGCAGGTTCTAACAAGTCTTATTATTTCTTAATTTCGAGTTCCAATAAGAGACTGTAACAGAAACGAAATAACGATGCATTAAAGTACGCAAACGATTATTACAATTAAGTAATGATTAAATCGAAACCGTATTGCAAGAGATCGTAAGTAGTAATACGCGAGTAGTAATAGTGGAAGGATAAACAGGTTAGAAATACGCACCTCGGTCGCGAAACGCCGATACGTCTCGATACGTCTTGCTATGTTTATTTTCAAAGTATGAATGATGGCCGTCCTCTGTGCTCGGCAACGCTCGCGAATTAGGCGGCGGGGTGGGGGAAGCTCCGATGTCTCGCGAAGCTTGTACATATTACGAACCCGAGGGATGCCTCGGATAGAAACCGCGGATAGACTGATTTTTAGCAAATTATTTACAACTTCAACTAGTCAAGGAATCGCGAATAATTCGTACTTTTCAACTGGTATGCATTTACACGCACTAGCTGCTGTCTATCACACTAATTCAGTGAGTTTCTCAACTGACCGCCATCCATGAGAAGAGGCCGCTAAAATCACCTCCGAATTTTCAGGTCGGTATGGCAGTCAAATTCGGCCGCGAAAGTCCATAAGGTCAAAGGTCTATTCATATATCTCGTCTGTGGTGAAAGGTCTATTCATATATCTCGTCTGTGCCTCGTCTGTGGTGTTCGAACGAAATACTGACCACGTGAAAAATTAATTACAGCGCACTCTGTGTTTAGGGATAATGACTCTGAGAATCATATTTAACCCGGCGTTGGTAACGTCAACATATTCTCAAATTTTACTTCTGATGCCATATCGATAAAAGTTTTGATGAAAAATAATTTATGTATTGTACAGTCGTACGGTTCTAAAATTAAGATACTTTTACATTACTCAAATTAATTATCTTCTTTATAGTGAAATCTTTTTAAAGAGTTTTGAGACAGATTATGAGAATTTGAAACGGATATAATAGTAAATCATAAGATGGGTACTGTTTATAATCTCAAACGCAACGAAATCTAGGCCACAAATCGAGAATAACACAAGAATAACAAAGTATAAATAAGAATAACACAATATGAAACTTATTTATTTCTTATTTTTTGTTAATGGAACTTTACTAATGTGTCTGTGAGGTTCTTCTGATTAAAATAAGACCAAACACAATATGTATAACTTGGACCATATTTGCATATTCTATAAGTGATAGTAACTCATTTTGTTATACTCTATTAGAAGTAGGTTAAAATCAAATTATATCGCGTTTGGTCTTATTTTAATCGAAAAACTCTCACAAATATATTGGTAAAAGTTTCAATAAAGAATTCTCATCTTTGCATTATGTACTACATATGCATTGTTTCACAGATATTCGTGCCCAGATTCGGTTACACTACTCGGAATGCTCGACATTGAGCTTCTTTGGTGTGTCAAGGAGAGTCTCGTCTCATTGTCAGTTGCAGGAATGACTACTGTTCACTTATTCAATCAAAAATGACTCGTAGTTATCCAAACATTGTTCTTTAGCTCAACTGTAAAAATATCATTATATATTCTCTTGAACGCTAATGGGATTTTACTCGTACAACAAATAAATAATTCTTTCGAAAGACAAGGATAGTTCAACTAATTCACGAACAGAGCCCAGTATCTGACGTTGAATCTTCTATTTTGATTCTGTAAATACTTCCTGGGAATATTAGAATAGTAGGTGTTCGTTCTATTGGGTTGGCAACTAAGTGATCGCGGATTTCATAACACAATACTTGAGATTGCAGAGAAGCTCAATGTATCGCATACATGCGTTAAAAAAAAAATTAAAACAGCTTGGCTGTGTCATGAAACTCGATTTATGGGTCCCTGATCAGCTCAAGGAAATTCATTTGGCGCAACGCATTAGCATCCGCAACTCGCATCTGAAACGCAACGGAATTGATCCATTTCTGAAACGACTGATTACTGGCGACGAAAAGTGGATGATTTATAACAACGTTAATCGGGAAAGATCGTGGGTGATGCAAGATGAACCAGCCCAGAAGATACCAAAAGAAGATTATGCTGTCAGTTTGGTGGGATTATAAAGGAGTTCTGTACTTTGAACTTTTATCAAGAAACGAAACGATTAATTCAAACGTGTACGTTCAACAACTCGTCAAATTGAGCGATGCAGTTCAAGGAAAGCGGCCATAATTGGCAAATCGTAAGGGTGTTATTTTCCAGCATGATAATGCAAAGTCACTCGCCAAAAATTATTGGAACTAGGTTGGGATGTGTTGTCACATCCACCATATACCCCTGACCTTGGATCTTCAGATTACCATTTATTTCGTTCCATGCAGAACTCCTTAAATGGTAAAATTTTTAATGACGCTGGTGATGTAAAATCGCATTTAATTCAGTTTTTTGCCGGCCAAAAATCAGAAGTTTTATGAACATGGAATTATGACACTGCCTGAAAGATGGCAAAATGTAATCGATAAAAACGGACAATACCTAATTGAATAAAGTTATATATTTAAGCAAAAATTTTGAATTTTCCTTCTTATTTAAAATACGCGATCGCTTAGGTGCCAACCCAATATTATAAAATGAACGTTAGAGGGAACACGGAAGCAGAAATCGAGAGCGAAAGTGGTCCGATAGGAATATAGGGCAGGGAACTATTAGCCCACTTTTACCGTTCTCAATTTCACTCGCCTACATCTGGTTGCCCACGACCGACTTGCCAAGTTTCGTTTCGATTCGTTTTCACTTTCGCCGGCCGTTGCCGTCGTCCTGACCCGACCCAACCAAGATTTCTATTAAACCAGCACACGATTGTTGAACAGATCTCTCCGAGGAAACTGGAGTTGTCCTGGGTCAGAATCATGTTTACTTTCGCTGCTCGCTAGGCTTCCACTTTCGATCTTCGCAACTTTCGATTTCGTGCATCGCCCCCCTCCCCGAAACTAACGCTGAACCTCTTTCAAACTTTCGATTTCGTTTATCTCCGTCTCAAAAAACATTAGTTTGATCGAATACAATTTTACTACTGATCAAAATTAGATAAATTAAATAAACAGAACACGTAGTTAAATGAAATTAAAACGACAGATACTTGAAGAATAATGCAATGGAAATAAATGTGTATTAACTCGGACAAAATTCCAGTCGAGTAAATTTTTTACAATTTTTATTAAAAGTTTCGACCACTTCGATAGATATAGTGTTAAATTAAACAAGTATTTCTCTATACATGAATAGATTTAAAAATTAAGTAAATAGAAATATTTATTCAATCAATACTAGCCTTTTGTTACAGATGGAACGAAGCAGTTTACATAGGGACCATTCGCAAATAATATATATGCATAGTTATTTTGAGTTTATGATTACGTTTCTGAAGTAATTGAAATGAAACAAGGTCTCAACAATAGCATAATGCTCTAACCATAGAAAGACTTTTAAATTCTGTCGTAAATTTCTAAAGGAAATTTCCATTATCTCCACAAAAAATAAGCTGCTTTCATACACGCGTTTCAAAATACGCCCATGCTCGTGTAATTAACGAAGATTTGTGTACCTTGTCTCTCGTGTTTTCGGTTTCTGTCATTTCCACGTATCACACTCAAATCTGATTCTTGTAACGATAATTAATAAAGCTTAAACAACTGTATCCCTTAACAATAAATATTTCCTTCCCATCCATACGAATCTCATTTGTTTTAAATTACTATAACATCATTTTCTTATTTAAATTAATATTAGAAGATTTCAATGAATTTAGTATTGGATGAATTATTAACTTTAGGGTATAACTAAAATACTTTAATATTTCAGACTATATAATTTGTTAAATTGTTAAGTTTAATTACAACGTCAATTTAATACGTAAAAATTACTTTCTGCTGAATTATTTCAAAAAATATTTGACTCAAAATACGTTAATATTGACTGTCACAACCAAGTTGATTATTTTACATATTCGACCAAACAAAGTGATAAACATATAAAATTTTTGTTACATTTACATCACTTTATTGCATAAAGATAATAACTTTGAAGTACTATTTATCACTATTCCATAATCACAATTAATAATCAAGATTGTACAAACTAAAAACAATTCTATGTAATAGAAACTTACATTCTGATCTTGCATAATTAAACTTACGTTGTGTTAAAAACTCACACGAAAGCACCTTTTAACAACTGTTAACAATGAAGAACAATTCTAGAAATATCTTGAATAAAAATCATATTTAATTTATTGATATTGCTAAGTATAGAATTATTGTAAGGAAAAGCACAATTTAAATTGAAATACAACTTAGAAATATCAATTCTATTTATAACATACCGTACACAAGTGTAACTATACTGCTCTAATAAATTGTATTTACTATTCCTGTCGTTTAACGATAAACTTACGTATGCAAAATTCGAGAAATCTTGTTTGGCACATAACAATTGTTTACGATACGTCAGAATATTACATGCGAAATAAGATGAATCATTGTAATAATAGCTGTAAATTTTATCTGAAGACACGATAAGAAACACTTATCAAGCAGCAACTGTATAAAAGAACCAGGTACATCTCAACAGAACAGTTGAACAACAAGATGCTGTTGTGTTAAGTGCGAAATATTTAGTGGAAGTTACTAACATGAAAGGTAATTTTGAAATTATAGTATAGTTGCAGAAATTAACTATAATAGTCACTCGTGAAATGTGTAATTAACACGTTAAGTCAAACTTACAACGTTTCTTTAAAACGCTTGCAACGGACAAACCTCGATACTTGTACACTTTTAAATTACTTGCATTAAGAATGCCGTAAATTAATAACAACATCAACATTGAATGTCAGTTCAGATAAATTGTTTTCAATATAAATTTAAATTAAATTCAAATTAAATTGATTATAATTTATTTAATCTAAATACGATACAATTTGCATTTTAAGAAAACACGATGTTAAAAATATAAAGATCCAATTCCAGTGGAAAATATGACAGAAATATTGTGAATAAAATATTAAATGAAATCTTGTAGATGAATTAGAAAAGCAGAAATATTTTTTCAAACTTAAATCTCAACACTACGTATTAAAAATATTTCTATTTACATACGATAATGCAAACAATATTATTAATAATAAGTGTGTTATTTGTACTAATCAGTTTTTTATTTGTCTGTTGATAGGTATTAGTAGCTTATTGCTCGCGTGTTTAATTATTTGTACCAACGGTGCTCCTTCGGAGAAATTAGAATGGAAATCCGTGTTAGAGATACTTAAAACGTCAGGTGATTTAAAGAAAGAAGAAACAGTTTCATCGCTACCAAATGTAAATAATGCAGAAGATTACAAACAATTGATTCTAAAAAAATTGATATCCAACGCTGCTAAAGACAATGACGATACTGACGAAGAAAAAAAACTTGAAAGTAGTTTACGATGGCCCTTAAAACTCCTAAAAAATGGCGACACCATTAAAGCTAATGGCGATGATTATCGTAGTAAGCTTAATTCGTTTGATGCGAAAAGTATTTGGACAAAGTACGCCAACGCAATTTCTGATGAAAACAATTCTATCAAAAAGAGTTGGAAAGAACCTCGCAAATCTGATAGGCTCAAAATGCTTCTCAGACGAAAGGAGTCCGAAGAAAATGGCTCGGACGAAAGCGATTCTGACGACGAAAAGTCTCGAAGAAGGGGTAGACATCCAAGAAGTTCTGACGAAAGTGATTCTACCGAGGAAGATTCTGACGAGAACAATGGCGGACAGATTCGCCATCGAAGAGGTCTTCGCGATAGAAGGAGAAAGCATTCTGACGAAGATTGCTCGGACGAAAGTGATTCTGACGAGAAGAAACGCAAAATAATTGGTGAAATAACTTCTCGCGATAAAAAGAAAAAGCATTCTGACGATTTCAGTTCTGAGGAGAAGAAACATCGAAGAAACCGCCACAAGAAACTTCGCAAAGATTCTGACAGTGTCGAAAGCGATAAAAAACGTGCGTCGCATGAAAAGAGTAATCGTGAAAGGGATTTTTGGAAAAAATATTTTAACTCGTCGGACAAATCCGATTCTGATAAGAGCACCGACAGTAAATCAAGCAGAAGCCATAATTCTTCGGTATCTTCGGATTCGAGCGAAAGCAACGAGTCAGGCTCCGAAGAAAACAAACTCAAAGAACATTTACGGAACGCTTTCCGAAATAGGGAGCGACGCAAAGAGATAATTGAGATGCTGGTTAATCATTCTGTAAACGAACACATGGATCAGGAATGGAGGAGGAAAGTGGATTTAAAGAAGAAAATACTGACGGATAAACTGGATGAGATTAGGGAGAAAGTGAGGCGTATTTGCAACATCACAGCGGGAAACAAAGATGATAAAGTCAACCAGGTAAAAGAATGCGCGAGGAATTATATTTCCGAAAATAAAAGCATTGCGATATCTTTGTTGGAAAATATTGTACGCGCGAAATTGTCGGAAAACGATGGGAATACGACAGAGGAAAATAATTCGCGGCTCTCGGTGATTGTATCGGTATTGAATAAACTACAATCGAAGAAAGATTCGATACTGGACGTAGTGGAAAAAGAGAATCGCGAGTTTGAAATTTCTGTAACCAAAACTGCACAAGTAGGCTTAAAGAAACACGAAGATAGCATCGCCGTCGCAGGTAAAATTATATAATACTATCGAATTTAACCTTTAAAATTGTTTATCAAATATGTACGACTACGGTCTAAATACTAATTTTTGGAGAAATGTAAAAACAATTTCCTTTCCGAACATTTCTCACATTATTATCGTTGTCATATAATAATAACAATAATAATAAAACGTTTATGTTACTATAAGATACAATTATTTACATTTCTGTATTATATTTGAATACAGTTTTGATTATTGCAAAATTGCTTGTCTGCAGAAGGTGAAGCACAGGCAAGTAAAAACGAGATCAATGGTCTTAATGATGACAACAATGAACCCCCAGCAGCCACCAACTTAGAAAGTGAGAAGAAACCTTCCTATAACAATACGTATCAAGGCAATTCAAATAATTCACAACCTGTTTTGCTGAGTGCAGAACAGACGCCCAAGCACTCGCGTCCAAAATCAGAAACAAAACTTTCAGAAAAGGAACTCGACATAACGAATTCTGTACCATCGGTTAAAAAAGTCAACAAACAAACGGAATTAAATGTGAATGAACAAATGGATGAGAAGCAAACTGAGTCGAATGTGAAAGAAGTATTGGATGAGAAGCAAGCTGAATCAACTGTGAAAGAAATATTGGATAAGAAGCAAGCTGAGTCAAATGTGAAACAAGTGTTGGATGAGAAGGAAGCTAAGGCGAATGTGAAACAAGTATTGGATGAGAAGCAAGTTGAGTCAAATGTGAAAGAAATATTGGCTAAAAAGCAAGCCGAATCAAATGTGAAACAAGCGTTAGGCCAGAAGCAAGCTGAATCAAATGTGAAACAAGTATTGGATGAGAAGGAAGCTAAGGCGAATGTGAAACAAGTATTGGATGAGAAGCAAGTTGAGTCAAATGTGGAACAAATATTGGATAAGAAGCAAGTCGAAGCAAATGTGAAACGAGTATTAGACGAGAAGCAAGCTGAATCAAATGTAGATAAAGAATGGGATGACATACAAGCTGAGGCAAATGTGAAACAAGTATTGGACGAGAAGCAAGCCGAATCAAATGTGAAGCAACTATTAGTCGAGAAGCAAGCTGAATCAAATGTAAATAAGGAATGGAAAGACAAGCAAGCTGAGGCAAATGTGAAACAAATATTGGATGAGAAGCAAGCCGAAACAAATGTGAAACAAATATTAGACGAGAAGCAAGCTGAGTTAAATTTAAATAAAGCATGGGGTAACAAGCCAGCTGAGTTAATTGTGAAACAAGTATTGGATGAGAAGCAAGCTGAGTCAAATGTGAAACAAGTACTGGAAGAGAAGCAGGTTGAGTCAAATGTGAAAGAAGTGTTGGATGCGAAGCAAGCTAAGTCAAATGTGAAACAAGTATTGGATGAGGAGCAAGCCGAATCAAATGTGAAACAAGTATTAGGCAAGAAGCAAACTGAATTAAACGTGAAACAAGTGTTAGACGAGAAGCAAGCTGAATCAAATGTAAAACAAGTATTGGATGAGAAGCAAGCTGAGTCAAGTGCGAAACAAGTATTGGGTGAAAAGCAAGCTGAGTCAAGTGAGAAACGAGTATTGGATACGGAGCAAGCCGGATCAAATGTAAAACAAGTATTAGACGAGAAGCAAGCTGAATCAAATGTGAATAAAGAATGGGATGAGATGCAAGCTGAGGCAAATGTGAAGCAAGTATTGGAGGAGAAGCAAGCTGAGTCTAATGTGAAACAAATATTGGATGAGATGCAAGCTGAGTCAAATGCGAAACAAGTATTGGACGCGGAGCAAGCTGAATCAAATGTTAACAAAGAGTGGGATGTGAAGGAAGTTGAGTCAAATGTGAAGGAAGTATTGGAGGAGAAGCAAGCTGAGTCAAATGTGAAACAAGTATTAGACGAAAAGCAAGTTGAGTCGATTGTGAATAAAGTATGGAATGATAAGCCACTTGGTTCAATTGTGAAACAAGTATTGGAGGTGAAGCAAGCTGAGTCAAATGCGAAACAAGTGTTAGACGCGGAGCAAGCTGAGGCAAATGTGAAACAAGCATTGGATGTGAAGCAGGCTGAGTCAAATGTGAAGCAAGTATTGGAGGAGAAGCAAGCTGAGTCAAATGTGAAACAAGTATTGGACGCGGAGCAAGCTAAATGGAATGTGAAGCAAGTATTGGATGAGGAGCAAGCCGAATCGAATGTGAAACAAGTATTAGACCAGAAGCAAGCTGAGTCAAATATGGGTCAAATTCAGGCGCAAGCTGAATTAAATGGGAATCAAGTATTGAATCAGGAGCAAGCTCAATCAAGTGGGAATCAAATATTGAATCAGGAACAAGCTCAATCAAATGGGAATCAATTATTGAATCAGGAGCAATCTCAATCAAATGTAAGTCAAATATTGGAAAACGCGTTAACTGTGGATCAGACCACTATCATTTACGAAGACAATACCGCGGTAGTTTTATCATTCAATACTGTTGCTTCGGAAAGCAGTTCACTACAGGAAGCAACTAGTGCAAATCCAAAAGATACTATTCTTGGTAAAGCAAGTCTAAATAATACGTCATAGGAAACAATGTTAATGGAAAGAACTAACGTTTCATTTTTTTACAGATGTTAAACTGAGAAACGGAAATCTATGGCTACAATGAAGGGTATTGCATCATACTTAAGCTGAAGACAAAATTTATTGCACAGAAATTAATCTATGAAGGAGAAAAGATGAATGTTACAATAATATAAATTTCAAAAATGAATTCATTATGTACATCGATAAAGAAGTGAAAATATTATGTTTCAATCAATTAAACTACAAAAGCAAAATAATAAATAAATTTGATATTATTAAATACCGTATAATATTTTAATGTTCCTTATATCCATGCAATAAAAGTATGTTTGTACAGGAGAATATTGTAAAAATATTACTTATAAAAAACTATTATGATACTTGGAAGATTATAATTTACTAAAACATAAATTATATAATATAATTTGTATATAATAGTATACTTCGTGTTGTTATTATTATGTCATTACCGTTTAGCAATACTATGATATAATATATTGATAAATAATTAAGCAGTTAATAATACTTGTATCTTATGATGTTGATTTATCAATAAGAGAAAGATTATGTCAGCTTGTATATCTATTAAAACGTTAAAAAATTGACGTTCACGTTCATATTTATGTATTATATATAAAATTTTATACTTTTTTGCAACCAGTGGGGTAGTCTCGTTCAAATGAAATAAAGTAAAAATAAAATAAATTAACTGTTTGGAGATTGTAAATATAATATAGTTTCATCATTGTATTATTATTGTCGTACGTTTATTGCCGATAGCAAACAACAAATATTTAACGATTTAATGCGTCATTTGATATGTAAGATAAAAGATAACATGTTACTGATGAACACAATGATTTATAGAACTTATTACGTAAAACGCCCAAAATAATGGCTCACTTCGGCCATTATCTTGACAATTTAAGTAAAATAATAAAATTAAAAATAAAATGACAATAAACGTGTTAATCGTTTCATACTTTTCCTCTGTATTACCAATGTCAAAGATTGTTTCGTAAAACAAAGTAAGAACATCAGATCAGTTTGTGTCGAATAAAATGAGAAATAATGATCGGGTCTCGGTTTGTCATAATTTAATTTATCGTAAAAATCTTTTTAATTAAACAATCAATCAAAATAAAAAAATTTTTTTTCATGTTCATCGTTAATCACAGCAATGTTTAATTAATCAATTTTAGTCAAAGTCTAATTGAATCGATCGTATCGAAACAAATCCTCTCTGATTAGTATCAAATTTAAATATTGTGAAGTCAGTAATCATTACTTTGCACCTTATGTAAATTCTGATGTTAAGTTATATCACTGATCGCACCCAACGTTACGATTATTGTGTAATTATCGTTCTAATATTCAATACGTATTGCATTTTTTGTATTAATTACTTCAAAGTATACGTAAAATACATTTCCAAAAATCAATATATACAAATTACAATTCAATTAACACCTTGGCGTACGGTTTAATTACAAGCAATTTTTCAAACGTATACTACAGTAATGATTCTTAATTGGGAGAGACAGAAATGTTCAACTTACGAATCACGACTGGGTTCATTTTAAAAATCATTGCTGTATTTCATTTTATTTAAATTTGTTCCTTTTTGTGAGCATTACGAACATACGAACAGACTTGTTTTACGAATATTTTACGAATGTAATAACGGTGTTGATTTTAACCTCCCGAGTACTGGACTTCCGCAGCCTGTACCGGAGTCATTTCTGACTCACACCAACATGTCACTAATATTGATACATTTTCTGTTGCTCGAAACTCGAGCTCAAGCATACATATGTACCAAACATCGACGGTCGCAGGGAACTCGAACTCTTCCGTGTTTCGCATACATATTCCTTCGACGGAACATTGGAAAGGAATGAGGTCATCTGAAAACACTCATAAACAAAAAAAGAAGACACTATGTTTATTTTTATTTTTTCTGTCTGTCTTGCACGCAAACTCATAGCTAATATTAGTCCACCGAATCAGAGTGTACATGTCGAGAGAACAGTGACGAGTCAAAAGTGACTCCGGCATAGTACTCGGAGAGATAATAAGGACGGAAACTTGGCATAAAGAACTAATAACGTGTCAGGTAAACAAAAAGTACAACGAAGGAACGTACTTGATAAATTTCTAGCGTCATTGTACGTATACAGTGAGTGTAAAAAGTATTCGTACACTAGTTAATTTGAACAAAAACTTTGCAGAATTTTGTTTATTACAAAAGTATGTTAACAAAAACATGCATATATATTCTTAGAAATCTCTGAAACAAATGTCATTAACAACAAATTATTTATTTATATTTATTATGAAAATATTAACAAATTTCCAGAAATTGGCGTGAAATATACGTGTAATAAATATTCGTACACTTCTAATTTTACAACAAAAACTATAAATTTTAGTACATAAACGTAACAAAAATCAGTCTATTTGCTATTTTAGTATCTAGTGGGATTTCCTTTAGATTGTATAATCGCTTTAAGCCTTTGCGGCATTGAATTTACTAAATTTTTGATTATAGTACTAGAAATTTTGTTCCATTCCTCTAAAAGTGCATTTTTTAAATCTTGTTTCGAAGAAATGTCTCGAATTTCTTCTGCAAGATGACTCCATAAGTGCTCTATCACATTTACGTCTGGAGACTGTGGAGGGATTTTTAATTGCTGCGGCACATTATATAGGATCCACTGACTTGTATTATAAGCATTATGCTTTGGATCATTATCTTGCAAAAATATATAATTGCCCTGTAACTGCATTTTATTTGCATTAACCTGAAGATGCTCTTTTAGAATATCGATGTACATTTTGTGATCCATGATACCATCGATAAAATGGAGGGATCCAACCCCGCTCGCACTCATAGAGCCCCACACTGTGACTGATCCTCCTCCATGCTTTACGGTCGGCTTCAAATTTCTTTTTTCGTACTCGGTATTTTTTTTCCACCATACTGTACATCGTCCATCTGACCCAAATATGTTAAATTTACTCTCATCAGTAAATATAATACGGTTCCAGTGCTCCATAGGAACATTAACGTACTCTTTCACGAATTGCAATCGTTTCTTTCTATTAATTTCATTTACGAAATATTTCTTACGAGCTACTCTGCCGTGATATCCTCTATCCCGTAAAAAATTACGCACTGTGCTACTGCATACATTAATGTCCAGATCATTTTTAAGTTCAGCTGTGATTTTCATCGCACTTATCTTTGGATTTTGCTTTATTTTTCGAATTATCCATCGGCCGGTATACTCATTTATTATTCGTTTACGTCCGTTTCTTGGATTATTTTTTACAGTTTTTCGATCGCCATATCTGTCAATGATTCCTTGAATCGTGGACCTCGGTCTATTTAAAACTTTAGAAATTTCACTCAGCGTTTTACACTTATTATGTAAATTTATAACAATTTTCCTTTCTTCTTCAGAGGTTTCCTTGCGTGTTCGTCCCATTTTACTGATAATTTCGTTGATAATGTTTGAATTCAGGATACTGCCTATACCGACAGCGTCTCCAGACATACTGATGCTAAGTATGTTTACATATGATGGATTATCTTGTAATCGTTCTATGTGGAATGTTACGAATCAAAGACTGTACGAATACTTATTACGCGTATATTTTAGGTCAATTTCTGGAAATTTGTTAATATTTTCATAATAAATATAAATAAATAATTTGTTGTTAATGACATTTGTTCCAGAGATTTCTAAGAATATGTATGTATGTTTTTGTTGACATACTTTTGTAATAAACAAAGTTCTGCAAAGGTTTTGTTCAAATTGACTAGTGTACGAATACTTTTTACACTCACTGTAGATGCAAGTGTATTCTCGTTCCCATCGCTAGCGATTCTAGCCACGTAACGGAATATGTAAATACATACATATGTCGTGTAACGCACTGCTGGCTAACACTACCGGCTGAGTTGCTCGGCAGTCATCCCGAAACTATCGGTCAGAACAGTGCCCGTGACATATCGTCCATCGACCAGAGAAACGTCGACCTAGTCAAAGTTAGAGATAAGAAAAATTTTGTTCAAACAACAGCTGACGAATAAAAACACGATTCATTCGATCGATCAAATTTCTATTCGTACCGTCCGCAGAATAATATCATTTTGTAATACTATCTATGACAAGTAACCAATGGCAATTAAATATCTTTTCAACGATTAACGAGGACACAAATCGTTGACTTTGTATTTGTTGTTTGAAATTTGAATGCATAGATAAGAATATCGACCGTCCCGAGTTCAGATCGTAGCGATCGATAGCGATTAACGTAGTACCCATGAGACGATATGCAGTTATCGGGAGTTCTTCGACAGACAACTGACCTCGCTATAAAGCCTCGCGGTATCATCTCAGACGGTGAACTAAAACAGACAGACCGTCGAACGGTCACGTCGATCGGCTACGCTGGTTGAACAGATTTGCAACACACGAGCTCGCCCAGTTTGATTTATTCGACGCCGGGAATCCACAGTTTTCACCGCAGAACAGAATGTGGTCGTTTCTGCTGGCCTTGGCCGTGACTGGCGCGACGGGAGAAGTAGTGAATATCCACATGAACGTAAGTATTTCGAATCTACAGTGGACGAAACTTCTATAAGAATACTATGTATTACTTAAAATTGGAATGGCAAAAATTTTAATAGTAATATTGTCCTGTCCGTGGTCGACCTCAGTCTTTCGAACTTTGGATTGTCACGTGGTGTACCGACTAACCAATTAGTCGAAGGACCACCTTCTTAGAAAGAATACTAATGTTTTTTTGAATGATGTTTTATCGATATTCAACACCTATTCACTGCACTGACATTCTATCTAATTATATCTGGAATGTAATTCTAAATGATTGTAAGTATAAGTGTGGACGGTATTAAAAAATGCAAATGTCCACGGTTCCAGGTGCAAGTGTAATCAGTACTAAAACAAGTCTGATACTAAAGATAATTCTATACTTAAGGCACGTCTGGTTGATAGTACAGATGATTTTATTTGATACCAAGCAAAGAAATGATTAAAAATAATTAAGTAAAAATTAAATCGATAAACCAGTGTATAGAATTTTTAAACGTTATTGAATTTCTGTTACAAACAAAATACTGTAATTTAACGCATTGAAGAGTAACGAAACTGAAAGAACAGCCTTTTGTTTCAAAAAAACTGAGGTGTCAGTAATTGGTTTTGCCACAGTTATGTTTAATTACTTCAAACGTTCTGTTTTTATACTATCAACTAATTTTTGCCAAGTTGAGATCTCTATTTGATTTCACTCATAGTTTACTAAATTCCTTAACTTTTTAATTTTCTATTGGACTTAGAACTTAATTTAGCTATTTTGTAACTAGCAAATTTTTGTTTTTAACCAACCTTAATTATTAAATTGAAATTTTCGAATATCTGATCAAATAAGGCTGATATTTGAATATTGTTGAAATGAAATTTTCGAGTAACTAACCAAACAAGGCTGATATTTGAACAATTATTTTTACTGGAAACTTGCCAGTGATATTAAAGAAATAATAAATAAAATGTTGCTGAAGCTTTTACTTAATAAATTATATATTTAGTAATATAAATCCTTTTTACAATATTGGTTTATGTCGACCACAATTCTATCGAATGTTTGATCGATTCGTAAACTTATGATTTTAGGATACGCTGAATAAATTCAGTTTCGATGTCGATTTGGAGAATAATCAATTTTTACTCGACGGACAGCCGTTCCGTTATGTATCCGGCAGTTTTCATTATTTTCGAGCTCCAAGACGATACTGGAGAGATCGTTTGAAAAAAATGAGGGCAGCTGGGTTGAACGCTGTCTCTACGTGAGTAAAATTTTAAAATAATTCAAGGATCGCGTTCTCCAAAAACTTTATTCTTAGAAATTATCCAGTACTACATACAAATCCAACACACTGTACAGGATGTCCTGTAACGTGTGGGACCCACTTCAGGACTAAATTCTACACATGAAAACGAGATGACGAGTTTCTTCTTTAACACACCGTATTTTCTCGCGTATACAAAGTGTCTATTAATAACATCGAAATGCTACATGAAAGAATCGTACAAGGCTTCCATGAAATTCGAACAACTCCTGGACAACTGGAAAGGTTAAAACAGTCAATAATAAAACGTCTCCAAGCCTGTGTTCAGATGAAAGGAGCTCATTTCGAACATTTGTTGTGCAGGTGAGCAAATACGGCGTGTTAAAAAAGAAACATGGTCGAAACATACAACGTATGTTTATATGAACTTTTTTTATTGTTTTCATGTTTAGAATCTAGTCCTGAAGTGGGCCCCACATGTTACAGGACATCGTGTACAAAGTGTTTACCTATAGGTGGCCAAGAATTTAGAATTTCTAGAGGTTTTGTGTCTTTTACAGTTATTAATTGCTGAAAACACACAAACAATTCCAGACTATAGTTTTCTTTTTTTATTAGATGAAATAGAGAACAAAAAATTTATTTAATACTCTTCAAGAATCATTTAAAATATTTGTCCACGGTTACAAATAACAAATATTAGGAAAACCACGAAACTACAAGGGGTAATCATTATTATCTATGAATCGTTTCTGTTTAAAATTTAAACATACATTTTAATTTATATATTGTATTGACATTAAAAAAATATTATTCTTTCTCAACAGTTTTCTCATAAAAAAAATTTTGTAATTTATTTTAATTATAATACTCTTACTTTTGGTGCAATATCTTCCCTGTCAGAAAATAGATTTTCGACATTCTCGATTTTCCTTCGATCGATCCTTTGTGCCCACATAACTCGAAAAGCCCTTTTTCCATTTTATAATTTGAGATTTCGTTATCGAGATGCGTGCAGTTAAAGGACAATGTTAAGTCATAGAGGGGTTTACTGACCCAAGAGCGTACAGCCTATGCTATACACCGTTGGAAAGATCTCGCCAAGGCGAATCGACTGATACCGTTTTTAACTTCGATATCAGATGGGATCATGTCGAAAAATGGCCTCAAAGTTCGAGATTTTGCGGTTTTGAACAAAAGAATCCGGTCGTAAAAGCCCATCCGGCCCGAGGGACCTCGGGTAGGCACCTGAGGGAAAACCGAGCGGTGTAAGCGATACTCTAGCAGATTGGGACGGCAAATGTGCCCCACCACCTTCATTTCAGTGCCGTGTTGGGCCTGCGTTTGCCGCATGGGCCCCGTTCGAAATGCCCAGGGCGAAATCGCCAATGGATCAGTTGTTTTTCATGAACATAATACATTCATGATAGACGATTCGCAGGTATAAGTTGGGAATGTGCAGGTTAGTATTCAGACTAATGCGTCACTTACAATAGTGAATGGAGTGACATTTTATTGATTGAACGAAACATAATGATGTGAATACTGAATACTAACCTGCACATTCCCAACTCATACCTGCGAATCGTCTATCATGAATATATTATGTTCATGAAAAACAACTGATCCATTGGCGATTTCGCCCTGGGCATTTCGAACGGGGCCCATGCGGCAAACGCAGGCCCAACACGGCACTGAAATGAAGGTGGTGGGGCACATTTGCCGTCCCAATCTGCTAGAGTATCGCTTACACCGCTCGGTTTTCCCTCAGGTGCCTACCCGAGGTCCCTCGGGCCGGATGGGCTTTTACGACCGGATTCTTTTGTTCAAAACCGCAAAATCTCGAACTTTGAGGCCATTTTTCGACATGATCCCATCTGATATCGAAGTTAAAAACGGTATCAGTCGATTCGCCTTGGCGAGACCTTTCCAACGGTGTATAGCATAGGCTGTACGCTCTTGGGTCAGTAAACCCCTCTATGACTTAACATTGTCCTTTATACGCGTGTGACCGTCATTGGCACGTGCTTCTCGTGTGGAACATGTGCGATAGGGCGATCAGCTGATTGGGATATAAATAGCGCGTGCCGGGACTCACGTTAATAAATATTAACTACTTATATCTCAGGAACGAAGTTTTCGAATTACAAAATGGCAAAAGATTTATCAAAAAGAAAATATTTCTTTTTACTCCTTCATTATTTCATGACAGTAACAAACTTTGAATTATACAATTGTGCAGACATTTCATCGCATAACATTCTGAACAAAATTTATGCATTGACAACAGCCAGAGTATTTTCTTCGCAAATTGGTGTAAATAAATATAAATTATATGAAATATTGTCTTTAGTTCTGGCGACAAAATAATAGATTTTATAGATTTGTTTTATAACTTTGGCATAATTTTATAAATTGATAACAATTTATTTTAATCTAATAATTTTAATTCTTTGTTCCATGAAAATAAATATATTATATGCCGTGTTTTTGTTTTTCAACCCCTTAATAAGTAATTTTTCAAACGTAAACTATTTTATTTTGTTTGAACTTCTCTGTTTAAAAAAAGATATAATACCTTTGTCTGAAGAGTAAATATCTTTGAATAATAATTTTCTTTACCAGTTACGTAGAATGGAGCTTGCATGAACCGTCTGACGATGAGTGGCACTGGTCAGGTAATGCGGATTTAGTAGAATTTTTGAATATTGCTCAAGAAGAAGATTTGCTGGTACTTTTGAGACCAGGTCCTTATATCTGCGCAGAAAGAGACTTTGTAAGTATGACTACGAAAATTTCTTCGACATTAATATTAACCCTCTTAATACCTTAAAATTCTATACATTTTTAGAAATATTTATTAAAATTACTACATCTTTCCTAAAAGTAAAGATAACTTTGCACATTTTTTGTATTTTATTTTGCAAAATGTATTATGTTTTACATAAAAAGAAGAACAACAAATTTTCTAAAAAATGGCTTGATAGAATTAACAAATAAAAAGTCGAAGTATCGACTCAAACTATTTTTAGGTACTAAAAAGATTAAAAAAGCTTCATGATTTAAATAATAATTAGAATATATAAATGTGAATTAACCAATAATGTTTAATTTAAATTAATTTGAAAGAATTAAGTTAGTTTTAATCATTTACAAACTGTTATTAATTTTTAATTTTATTATATGTTTTCATTTTTCCATTCTACTTTGTATTTAGGGAGGTCTTCCATACTGGTTATTGACCCGTGTACCGGATATAGTATTACGTACAAATGATGCACGTAAGAATCTTTCATTATACTTAATTACAAACAAACTACTTTTAATTTTTAATTTTCATTTTATGCGATACAACATCGATACGCTTTTTGAAATTTATTCTATATTCTATTTTTTTGCCTTTGCAGGTTATATGAGCTATGTGGAAAGATACTTAAACAAATTGTTCGAGAAAATAAATCCTTATCTAAGGGGTAATGGTGGTCCTATAATTATGGTTCAGGTACAAACCATTTTCATTGCCAAATTCTACGTTATGAGAATGAATAATAAAATGTACAAATAGTAATAATTATTGGAATAAATAGTAAAATACACAAATAATAATAATTAGTAGAATAAATAATAAAATACACAAATAGTAATAATCATTAGAATAAATAATAAACTTGATACTGTTATTTCAGGTGGAAAACGAATACGGAAGTTACGCTTGTGACACGGAGTACATGGACCGATTACGATACATTATGAAAGGGAAAATTGGATCGAAGGCTCTTTTGTACACGACCGATGGAATCAGCCCAAATATGCTTCGTTGTGGATCCGTGCCTGGAGCTTATGCTACCGTCGATTTCGGTGCCTCCGCGAACGTGACGAAAAGTTTCGAAATAATGCGCTTGTATCAGCCACGGGTAAATATCAGCAATTAATTTAAAAAGAATGTATTACTTAAAAAAAAAAGTCTACTAGATTATAATTTGTACAGTAAATAATAGATACAGTTAAGAAAGCAATTATATATATAGCTCACTAGATAAAAAAAGTAAACATGTGAACCGGAAGTCATCCTAAGCTTGGCGATAGGAATATTATACATGTAAACAGTAGAGCACAAAATGATAAATTGAAATAAGAGGATCTTTAAAAATTTTATAAAATTCTAGATGTCCTAATTATTTTGAAAAATTCGACACGATCCACTGTGGAATGTCCGTCTGGTTTAATCACTAAAAAGTTACTAATGATTCTCAGCCCAAATTTTGCAATTTTTATTATTAACAAACCCATCGTAATAAATATGTTAAAATTGAATTTCAAGCTGTCTTAGATTTTGATAATCAATGTATTAAAGAAATGTTTAAATTTGGAAAACATTAACCAAGACTGTCTCCTACAGGGCCCATTTGTTAACTCCGAATATTACCCAGGATGGTTAACGCACTGGCAAGAACCGTTTCAAAGAGTAAAATCCAGCGATGTTGCTAAAACTCTGGATGAAATGCTGTCATTAGGTGCTTCCGTTAACATATATATGTTTTATGGTGGCACAAACTTCGGCTATACCGCTGGTTAGTAACATTTTATTATTTTTTAATTTACAGGTGATAGCCATTATATATAATACATCAATAAAATTTAATACATTATTTTATAGATATATGTTTTTTATTATTTTAACAAAACGTTTCAACACATTTTCTATAATTGTAAATACTTCGAAATAACTAATTACAATACTTGTACATAAAATAATTGCATGCTCTGAATCTGCCATTGTGTTTTGACTTACGTAACGTTTCAATTTTGGGCAAAAATTATTTTTAAATTAAACGTCAAATTATTATTAAGCATAAATTTCGCTAAATAAAACACATTTGCAATTCAACAGGTGCTAACGGTGGCGATAACGCGTACCAGCCACAATTAACTTCCTACGATTATGACGCCCCGTTAACAGAAGCTGGTGATCCAACGCCAAAGTACTTTGAAATCAGAAATGTTATCGCCAAGGTATGATATTTTTCAAACAACGAATTTATCAAGTTATCCTTATTTATTATATTTATTATCCGTGTTAATTTAGTTACTCGTAACTCGAAAAGTATTTTTGTGAAAGTACAGTATTTGGAACACTTATTCGTAGGAACACTTGCTCATGTGTATAGTGCTAGCTGAACTTGAATTTTATATTATTTTTTTAATATTTATTATTAGATTGTACAAAGAAGGGTTTCCTGTTACAATATTAGTAATTGATCACAGGGTAACAAATGTGACGTCTCAGAATAAAAAACAAATAAAATAAGGAATTAACAACTAAACAATAAAAAGAAGGAAAACTTAACATTATTGCAAGTATATAAACTTTCTATAAGTAGCCTTAATCTTTGATGTAGGAGATTAGGTAGTAATAAACATATAAAATTAATAAGAAAAGACTCAACTCTAGTCATTTAATAAAAAGGATCTTAATTCCACAGAATTTGATACATAAAAAAAATAAATTCTTTACATGATCATAAATGGAAAATGGTGATAAGTATGTTAGAAAATGACCAAATGAGGATTTCTAGGTAATTCAATGAATAAATAATCTAGAGAAAACAATAATTAATTACAGATAGTCGTGGTAGTTTATACTTTGAAGGTTACCCTCAATACCAATCCTTCAAACTCAATAATTGATGTGTTCTTTGCTTTTACAGCATTTACCATTACCCGACGTACCCCTTCCGACGGTATCACCGAAAGGCAATTACGGTTCGATATACTTGTCGCCAATTTTCAATCTGCTCGAACCCGATGGCCGGAGTAGATTTGCAACGATCGTTATTCAAGAAAAAGAACCACAGACGTTCGAGGCTCTTAACACGCCTCATTGGCTAGTACTATACGAGACTAACCTCCAGGCGAGACCTTTGGATCCTACTGTTTTGCATGCAATTGTTCGGGACAGAGCGTTGGTCTACGTGGACGACAACTTGATTGGAACCTTGAGTCGCACTGACAATATATACGACATAAGTATAGAGAGTCCCTACCAACATAACTTGAAGCTACTAGTGGAGAATCAAGGACGACTTAACTATGGAGGCGGACTTCGCGACTTTAAGGTTCGTTGATCAATGTGGTCATATTGTATTGGATAACTCTTTACAAGAATTTCATTTCCAAGGTATTCAAAGTAAGCTCCGAGGGGACTCTTATTGTATTAGGAAATTCTTTTTTCTTGAAAAGTAGTATTTATACATTATGATTCAAAGCTGAGAAAAGTTATATCAACGATCTATAAGCGAATATTTTTTTCTATGAAATATAAATTGCATTTATTTTTAACGTTGATTTTATTTTTATATTTATCTCTAGACTATTTTTTAAGAAGGTCTCATCTTCTAAATTGTTTTATTTCTAGCAGCCCTCTCTCATTTATTAGATTGCTTCTTCTTTCTTGTTTACTTGTATTCCTTTCTAATTTTGCTTTTTCTATTTACCACTTTTTTTTGTCTTTCGCTTCGACTTACATTTTTATTTTTAAGCATTTTCTTATTTTCTTTTATTTTCGTCATCAATCTCATTCATTTATTTCTCTATTGTTGTTATTTTTATTGCCTCCATTTTAACATTACACACATCCCTGCTTCTTGCTCGCTCTTTTTGTCTTCCTTTTTTTTGTTTTTCCAATTTCCATTGCTAGTCTTGTATTGGAAACACAATTTTTACCCAGTTTTTGCTTCTAAGGGGCCTTTTTATACCACTTGCATTTTTTTTACCAAATGTTTTTAGTTACACTGTGTTTACTTTCTATTTACAAAGTAAAGTAATTATTGTAAAATATTATATAGTAGTAAAATGCTAAGAGAATACACGGTGTTTTTCTCGAGCAGTCACCCATCCCAAAGTATTGGACTCGACCGCGTCCAATGCAGCTTAACGTCGATGATCGAACAAGCAACAGTGATTCCAACGTGCAATGACCGCTGTCAACTTGTACTTTAATTTAAACCCTTAAATATTTCAATGTACAAAAAAATGAATTTATACCAGATTTATACAAGTTTTCCTTTTATTTAGTGAAGCAAATCATCATTATAGTGGCATCTATTCTATGATTATTATAAGTGTGTTTCTCCAAACAACGTTTTAATTTAGTTTTAAAAAATACAATGCACAGTCAATTGCTTTTTTCCTGGTATTACGAATTTCTTTTTTCTTCTTTAACAGGGGATGTCGAGCGTGACTGTCGGCCAAGCTCCCGTTTATAATTGGACAATGACCGGATTCCGTTTAGACAACGTCAACCTTGTTGGAGATTGCCCGACGATTACAGTGGAAAACGGAACTCTTCGTCATGGACCAGTGGTGTTTCGTGGGAAATTCACGATTTCTGGCGAACCTTTGGACACGTACTTGAACACTGCTGGCTGGGGCAAAGGAGTAGCTTTCGTAAATGGCCACAATCTTGGTCGATATTGGCCACTCGTAGGGCCACAAATGACCCTGTACGTTCCTGCGACTTTCTTGCGAACCGATGAGAATGAGTTGGTGCTGATAGAACTGGAGTATGCGCCAAACAGCAGAAAAATGAAATTACAGAACACTCCGATTCTTGATTATACGATCGAAGCGTTTTTTTAAATCTTTTTCTCCCCTCAAACTACAAACATGCTAATTCTATTATGAATTTAGGGGGGTATTGTATTGTAAAATCGATTTTGTTTCGATCGATTTTACAATATCGATTCTTGCCTCTTTCATAATTTTTCAAAGTGCTGCTATTTTTTTAATTATCAATTGTTTCCTTTTCCAATCAACTTTGAAAAACTTTCTAGGCATTTCGTAGATATCAAGAAATACTGTGAAGTATTTCAACAAAAAGAATTTGTATAATTCTTATTTTAATTTGTTTAAAACGTAAGAAAAAAACAATATTTAAACGTTAATAACTTCTTAACGAAGCCTCAATCAACAAATTGGTATTTTTGTTTTTGTCTTACTTTGGCCTCTAAAATCTCCCATTATAATTTTTCCCAGGGGGTGGCCAAACACCCTGTACACAAAATATCTTAAAGCTGACTTTTGAAGAGAACATTATGGTCGAAATCTAGACAAATATATCTAACAACCACCAAATTGCATTTAATAGGACACCTGTAAAATTAAAGAATTTTGCATTTATCTTTCATCCTACAAAGATCAGAATTCTTTTTTATTATACAATAATAATAATAATCTATTATTCGAATTAAATTACCTTCGCAAAGAAATTTGTATGTTTCTTTTAAAAATAATCGTGACTGATTGTTCTTTAATTAAAAAATTACATCACAAGAATAAAACAATTTGATATAATTCTACCCGGCGTTGTTATTTCCTACATTTTTCTCCTCCATATAACAATTATCACCACAAAGTATGTTGGGATTGTAAGAGTTTCATACTTATAAAACTCTCACAATCAGTCAGCTTCGTCGTTCTTTTCGAATTAACGCGATATTTAAACAAAATATATGCAACAGCTGAAAGAAACTTCAACCGAAGTTGAAAAAAAGAACGTCAATAATTATTTACAATTGTAATTTTTTAGGTTTTGCTACATTGGATATATTCGTTTACACGATTAAGATCGTTTTACAACCATTTTCTAGGGAATAATGTAACTGCGTTTATATGGCAATTATTTATTTGGTATACTGCAAAGGTATCCAAGAAGTCCAGGAGTAGGCTGCAGGAAATTGTAAATAACTTCTGCTTGCATCCTCAAACATAATTGCACTCATACCTGGTCCATGACTTTCCATGTTTGCACAGTTAGCGATAGTTTGAATCGGCGTATCCAGATTGTGACATCGTTCGTGGGACCGTAAATTGTTGATCACAGAGAACTGCTTCTTGCATACGTTACAACGATGTGGCCGGTCTCCTGAAGAATTTGATCTAAATATTAGTAGAAACCTAGATTTAACTCGCGATACTAAATAATGTAAAATTTAAAGTTCAATTTCCAGATGTCCTTTCGTTCAGTCTTCTGAATTCAGCTTTCCAGTTATTGCTAAATAACAAGACCATTTTATGTTGAAAAGAAAAAAATATTTACTTAGCATGCAATTGTAAAATAAATATCTGTAGTTAATAATTGAATGCAATTATTATCATATTTAATAGCTATTATTGTAATCACTTAAAACAATCAGTCACTCTAGAAATGACACAACTAATTGAGAAAGAATTTAAAAATAAATAATGCATTTATATTTTAACTTATAAATTGGTAATCCCCTTTCCCTTTCAAATGGTTTTAGTTTTATGTCGATCTGACTTTCCATTTTGGAGATATCGTCGTATAAAGAAAAGCAAAATTTTTTTAAATTCCACTATTTTTCTCTCTCCGTGTTACAACAATCCCAGTAACTCGTATTGAAAATGCTAAAACTTTGCTGGCGTATAATTCCAAAGCTATTTAAGTTTTATCTATAATTGTACCACTGTTCGAATCGGCACAGCTTCCCCTTTAAAATGAATTTGGGTTTATGTCGATCCGACTTTCTATTTTCGAGATATCGTAATGTAAATGAAGGGGTAATTTTTTAAATTCCACTATCTCTGTCTCCGTCTAACGCGTCTGACCTCTCTCTCGCACGTGCATCGTGCTGATCTACCCTAGTCACGTGTCGAACATGACCGAGTGATCTAGATTTCTACGGCGGCCAATGACCTCGCTTCGTAAACAATGAAAAGTAAACAAACGCTTCGAACCCTTATAATATCTCCGAAACTAACCACGCGATTAACTTGAAACAAAAATCATTACATCGTCTAACGACTTGAATGAACACTCGTTTTAAAGGGCACTTCATCCTCTATTCGATGAGCGTACCAGCTATTTTAATTTATGTTGCCTTCTATGACTATTTTCATATTTACTTTGACACTATGCACCCAAAGAAGTTTCAACAATTCCTATTGATCACACGACTGCTGTGCGATAAAACTGAATTATAAATTGTTTATTTAATTAAAAATGAATTTAAATTTTTATATAGGATATTTACGTAATTACTAGCCACGTCTGGGGCTCATTTTAAAAACCATTGTTGTACAGCACATATTTTTTCGATCATCTAACAATTTTTGCCACGTTTTGATATCAATACTTTCGCAGTATTAGAGATTAATTAATTAATGTCAGTCATATCACGATAAATAATTCAATCAGTGTTAATTACCAGTGTGTAGTCGCATGTGATGGTGGAGAGCTGCAGGTTTGCAAAATCCTCGATTGCAGACTGTACATCGCAACGGCCAGTTATCAGTGTGAGAATATCCATGAGCCCTTAGATCGCCAGGGGTTGGAAAAGAACGTCCACACTCGGTGCATTTATGCGGTTTTTCCTGTCATACATGTAGCTTTACAGGCCTCTCGAAATTAACACATTGCATACGGGTTTGTGTAAATTTGTTTCAACTCATACGATATAAGTAATTTTTTTGCATTAATATACAGGGTGTCCCGTAACTAGTGTAAGAACCGGAAATGGGGGAGGAGGGTAGCTGAGAATTCTTCGTAGCTTCGTTTTTGAATTATTAACGAAAAACACTGACCAATCACGGCGCGCACCTACCGCGCGCTCAAGACCGTCCGAACTCGGAGAGCCCATGCGTCGGCGTCGGGTAGGTAGCAAGATGTGCATTGAAGACACGTCGAGGAACGAATACAAATAATTAAAAATACTACCACTGCAACTGTTACTTAATTCGTTAATTACTACGTAATTAGTACGTAAATTACTAAATTGAATTTATTAATTATTTGTATTCGCTGTTTCCGAGGGAAAAGGAATAAAGTCTCGGAATTTTTAGGAAATTAACCCTTCGCACCCGAGTGACGCTTCTCGCCAGAGTGTTTTAAAATTAAAATAAGAATTATTTTCAGAAAATTAAAATAAATACGGTAAGAACCATTTGTAAACGTTTGTTATTAAAAACTGTACTGAAAAAGCAGACCGGATTTCTGCGTGCCGAAACATTCCTCGAATTCAAAGGGTAATAGAGAAATAATTTAGATTTGATTTACCTGCTGCGCTGGCAATAGGGCCCGGACAATGTACCGCTGTCGATCATAACGGTGCAGTGACCGGGCCATCCTATCAGCTGATTTTCCTTGGAGTCTTCGACCTTGCTGCGATCGATAGCGGTGCATTGTCCGGGCCCTATTGCCAGCGCAGCAGGTAAATCAAATCTTAATTATTTCTCTATTACCCTTTGAATTCGAGGAATGTTTCGGCACGCAGAAATCCAGTCTGCTTTTTCAGTACAGTTTTTAATAAAAAACGTTTACAAATGGTTCTTACCGTATTTATTTTAATTTTCTAAAAATAAGTGGTAGTATTTTTAATTATTTGTATTCGTTCCTCGACGTATCTTCAATGCACATCTTGCTACCTACCCGACGAGTGAGCTCTCCGAGTTCGGACGGCCTTGAGCGCGCGGTAGGCGCGCGCCATGATTGGTCAGTGTTTTTCGTTAATAATTAAAAAACGAAGCCCCATCCGACATTTTTGCAAAGGAAATTGTTGTTCAGAATCGTTTCAGCTACCCCCCATTTCCGGTTCTTACACTAGTTACGGGACACCCTGTAGAAAAAAATTTGTTAAAATCGCTTTACTCGCAATACGCTATGTATTTTTATTTAACCTTTCAAAACACTGTGGAGATGCATTATAGAAAACTGTACGTTTAAAATTCTTTTAAAACTTTAATCATTCTTTTTTTTTGTGTTATTGTTTAAAATATTTTTCATTTGTTAAATATAAATCTCCTTATTGACAGAAGAATAAAATTTATTATTATTTTCTAGTATTAGTATATTTCACTTTTCTTTTACTACAGTAAAGTGTTACGTATATATTAAAAGTAATCGAGTAATAGGAAAACCTTGTAATGAGTCATTCGATGATAATATAAATTCGAAGAAGCAGTGAAACGTTTCCCGCATATTGGACATTCGTGTGGACGTTCTCCAGTGTGGATCCTGACGTGTGTGTTCAAGGAGCTACTAGTACTGAACATTTTGCCACAAATGGTACAACCATGTGGCTTTTCACCTGTTAATTACATATTGTAATTATCAACACGGTTAATACTTTTTATTTGACTTTAGATAAATATTCAGTTTAGGTAGAGTAGAAAATCTCGAATAAATCTTCACGCAATACGTATTTTATTAATTATTATGTTAGTCTCGTTGTTAAAGTTTCATTTATAAATATACTATACAGGGTGTTCGGCCACCCCTGGGAAAAATTTTAATGGGGGATTCTAGAGGCCAAAATAAAACGAAAATCAAGAATACCAATTTGTTGATGGAGGCTTCGTTAAAAAGTTATTAACAATTAAATTCAAAAATTTCAAATCGTTCTGGAAAAATTATTTTCGGTTGCGGGGGTCAATTACAATCATTTTTGGTGAATAGACATACCCCCGAAATTCTGCGCATTTAAACGGAAATTTAAACGTTAATAACTTTTTAACGAAGTCTCCATCAACAAATTGGTATTCTTGATTTTCGTCTTATTTTGGTCTCTAGATTCACCCATTAAAATTTTTCCTAGGAGTGGCCGAACACCCTGTATATTATACTAAAATTCCCATTAGTTACCTATTACAGCCAATACAATTTCTAAATGGCTCTTTTAAAAATATAAAATTTACGTTAGTTGAGTGACTAAATATGGTAGATTTAAAAACATAAACATAACTACCGGAACACGCGGGAAGCAATTTTCAAAAATTGGTGGGAATAAAAACCGGTCAATGTCTAAAGTATTCGTTGCGTTTGAACGTAAATTTAACAGAACTGACCTGTGTGGGTCCGCAGATGCCTCTTGAGTAAAGAAGGTCTATCAAAATTTTTGCCACACATCTGACACGGCAAACATCTTTGGAATTTCGGAGTGCTCGTCAAACTGATTTTTTTAGAACCGCGACAGCTCAAATCTAAGGGCGCGTCTTGTACAACACTCCATACTGCGTATTTAATATAAAATCACAAAATATGAAACACATCTCCCTGGCGCTCCAAATTCACCAGGAAAAGAAAATTATCCGAATACGTTAAAAACTAACGAACAAATTAATTTCCATTGCAGACTTTTGTTAAACCAACGATACATTACTGTTTACGTCGAATAATTAATTATAAATATTTCGTTGCAAGTTATTCCAGTTTTATAGATATCTAGCTCTTTTTTTATTTAATTAAAGTTTATTTACTATAATATAATTTTTAATTTTGTATTTTTTTAACACATTGTAGAACATTTAAAAGTAAAGTATGAAGTGTCTTTCTATGTCAAAGATTTTCTACGGTTGTTAATTCTATTTTCTTGTTTAATTAGTCGCTTACCGGACATTACAAGTATTTCTAATGCTTTCAGAGCGTACAATGTCTGCAAACGTATCACAAAATTCACTAAGGATAAAGTTCCCCGCACTTCGACAACGGATCTAGACATGGAGGAGGATAAATCCGAATTAGATACTCGCAACCCCGAACAGCTTATACGAGGGTTTACAGGTATGAAATAAGGTAGCAAAAACTACGATGGCGCATGTCAGGGGCGGCATTTCTTCCGAAGGGCGGAGTTTGATACACCCTTTGATGATAGACAGCATCCTGAGAAACCGAAAATACTTCCAATCACCTCTTCATTTAATGCACAAAGAGAAAAATGGGTACCACACGAAAAACAAACTTTGCAAGAAATATTACCACACTTCGTACAAATATTAAATTTTCGTCCCAATTAAAATATTCTCATTTCATAAATTATTACTTAAGCTATTAATACAAATAATACAAACTAAAAACACTATTTATAAAGATTTTTTGCGATAAAGTTTCTTTTCATACAAATTCTAGAAAGTTACATATTCTTTTAAATGGAACATACAAGTTCCAACTTCTTTCAAAAATAAGAGGTACTTCTTTATTTTAAACTCTCGCATTGCAATCCAGTGTGCTTATACAATTTTTACTCACATTAAATATTGTAATGTTCATACATTATAATTTATTATGCTACTGAATGTGCAAAAACAAATTAAACCAGTCGAAAATATTGTTAAAAAATATTATTTCACTAGATCTAATTACTATTTGACATTACCAACCCTTTCTTACAAAAAAAATTACTCCAGCATAATATGAAAACAATCGTATTAAAAATTTATCTTCACATTCTTCAGACTTTTTCGATGATACAGTATTTGATAATTAAGTGGAAACTTAAAACGTTCATTCATATTATTCCATATCGAGCCTTCCATTATCCTAACAGTGTCAACCGGTACCAAGGATGTAACAATGGCGCCGCATTTCCATATAAAGCAAGAGTCATGCAAAAATAGAAAACCATATTTCCTGTAATATTTTGCCCGAGATTCAACAGGATGGCAGTACACATATAAATAAAATACTATTAAATATAAAATTATAACATATGAAATGTTCACTTGATATTTACATTTATAAATAAAAATATTTGTTCGTCTAGAATCGATTATAACAGACTCTTCTGGCTGAGATCTGCAATATTTTGTCACCACAAGTAATATACAGACAATTAACATTTGTTACCAAAAGATAACAATTTTATTAGGGTCTATTTAAATTCAATTAATCCATTTGTAACATTTTAAAAAGAAATTCTTCTGATTATTTCGTTTTAAAATAAATATACCCCATTCCCTCAACAATTCTTCATATGCAAAAGAACTGCAAATATACATATACATCGTAAGATATAAATTGTTTTAGTGAAATATATTTGTTGAATATTTAATATTTCGAATATTGCATTTGGTTAATCAAACCATTATAACATAGACAATAACAAAAAAAGTACTTTCAAAGCATTTACAACTACGCAGTTACAGCTGAACAATTGTAATTCATGTTCAAATTATATTTCCACGGCTCTAAATTTTATTTTAATCTGAAGTTTGAAGTGAAATATAATTATAATTAATCTATTGTATAAATAACATCAAGGATCGTATTTGTTAATATTTGCTATCAAGAGATGCTACATCATGAAGAACATCATTTAAACCAAAGTGACGCTTAATTACCCCGCTAGAACGATAAGTTTTCGTCGATCAACAGTAACGCTTCGTCACGTTATTGGCGATTTTTCACGGTATTCGACCGGAGGTGAGATAATTTGTCGTATGGCATCGGGACGCCGGACGTCCCGCAGGGTCGCTCCCTCGTTTGTCACCTAAGAGGATATTAACGCTATTGAAGTCTCCTCGGAATCATTACAAATCGCTCCTTCATCGACCACATGCGACAGTACCTGGAGTTATGATGTATATATTACAACATTTACATGGAGGATCAATTCCAAAGATGATTCAAGCAATAACTAAAAAAATAACTCGTATCGTCGAGTTTCAGATTGAGATATATTCTACAAAATTTATTCAAACTAAACATATTTATTGTACAGGGTGTTCAGCCAACCCTGGGAGAAATTTTAATGGGAGATTCTAGAGGCCAAAATAAGACGAAAATCTAGAATACCAATTTATTGATTGAGGCTTCGTTAAAAAGTTATTAACGTTTAAAGTTACGCATGTAGAACGGCAATCTGCGAACAGCTGATTTTTTTCTCAAAAGTATGTAGGATTTCGGGGGTATGTTTATCCACCACAAATGATTGTAATTGACCCCCGCAACCGAAAATAATTTTTCCAGAACAATTTGAAATTTTTTAATTTTGTCAAAAATTTGTCCACCTACTCGAATTTTTTTCTCGAAAGTGGATAGGATTTCGGGGGTTTGTCTATTCACCAAAGATGATTGCAATTGACCCCCACAACCGAAAATAATTTTTCCAGAATGATTTCAAACTTTTTAATTTCGCCGAAAAATTTAGACACCTACCCCCCGTTGATTTTTCTTAAAAATTCGTTTTTCATTTTTAATAAATTTGGTTGGCACTGTACAGAAAAGTTGTTTAATACTTTTTGTAGATATCCATGAACTCTAGTTCCCCCAAAAATTTCAATGAAATGTATTCACTATTGTAGGAGTTATGGTCGTTTGAAAATTAGACAATTTTTATGAGGTTTTTCTCACTTTACGGGGTTAAGGAACAACTTTTCGAACATTTTTGGAATTTTTACATATTCTCCACTAAAATACGCGTTATTTGCTTTTTGAAACATTAAAATCCTCCAATCCGTTCTGAAGTTATGATGTTTTAAAGATACGCATGAAATTTCGGGGAACCATTAGATTTTCGGTAATGAATTTTTTTCTTGAAAGTACGTACAATTTCGGGGGTATATCTATCCACCAAAAATGATTGTAATTGACCCCCGCAATCGAAAATAATTTTGCCCGAACAATTTGAAATTTTTTAATTTTGTCAAAAATTTGTCTACCTACTCGAATTTTTTTCTCGAAAGTGGGTAGGATTTCGGGGATATGTCTATTCGCCAAAAATGATTGCAATTGACCCCTGCAACCAAAAATAATATTTTCACAATATTTTCAAATTTTTTAATTTAATTTTTTAATAACTTTTTAATAAAGCCTCAGTCAAGAAATTGATATTCTTGATTTTCGTCTTATTTTGGCCTCTAGAATCTCCCATTAAAATTTTTCCCAGGAATGGCCATACACCCTGTATAAACGGACAACGATAAAAATATCGTACAATCTTTTACTAAATTACAATGTACGATGCCACATCTAAAACTTTATTTCAGAGAAACACATTTTAATAAATAAAATTAGAAGGAGAGAACATTAAAATTAGCTCTTTTGTTACCTAGATTGATTTATCCATGCTATCATAACAATGATTAGGAGACAAATTGAATAAAAATAACAAAAAACACTTGTTTCAAGAATTAATTTTTAACAAATTTTTATAACAAATTCTTCATTAACAAACAACGGCGTTTTGGTCCTAGACCTCTTGGTCTAGTGATGTTAATGCACTTAAAAGCAAAATATAGTGTGTTCCAAGGTTGAAAATACAAAACATTAATTTTCATTTTACTTATTTTCAATAAACGTATAAAAAAAGAATAAAAGTAACAGATACTTGAAAAAAATAAATTTAATTCATATTAAATAATACATACTTTAATACATTTAATGTCATATATCTTTTATTTACTTGTACAGATAACTCAGTAAGAGTATCAAACTTTTAACTGCTACAACTATGTAGCACCGCTTTATATTGCGTCGGGTATTTCCATTTTATCATCAACCTGTTCATCGACTTCGATTATAGTCGAAACATTCGATTTAATTTTTTCAATTTCCGGACTCTTTTCTCCGTTAATGTCCTTATTATCGGTTTTTAGAGAACGCATATTTTCACTTTCTTTAACATCTTTCGAGATGTTTAAATCGTCTGTTTCTAAATTACACGCAAAAGACTGAGCAGCCTGTGTTTGCGGAGAAGTATCGAATTTCAATATTTCACGTAACGCCATTGTCGCGTATGTCGAAGCTTTTAAGGACATTTCAACAATTAAAGCTTTATATTGTCCCTCTGAAAATTTAAACACTTTATATGCATATATCACATCCTACCACTTCGATCAGCTCTCTTATAATCATTTATAAAAAATAATTGGTTAATTATAGCTACTCGCAGCATCCTAATATAGTTAAACCTAACCTAGTATGTATCTTAGGAACTATTAAATTCCTGAAGTTATAATTTTATATTTGCCATCTGTTCCCCCATCTCTCTAACTCGCTAAATTTGATGTCGATCGACCGCGGGTACCATTCGAAAGAACAGTCGTTACTCAAATCAATGAGGTCACTCCTAATCTGTATAATTACTAAAATTATACCTGGTTCGTCTTTAGGGGCTGTCGACTTTCTCATTTCGTCAATATCGCACATAATAAGATCACTGTGTTTTTCTTTATAATGCATGATTTTCCATGATATATTTGAAGGGATTTGCAATACTTTCCTATAACTGCCACCTAAACTATATTTTCTAAAATAAGAAAATCATCATACAATATAAAAGCAACCGTTCTCTTACTATAATATACACAATATTTTTCCTAAATCAGCTTACTTATTTTTGTGTCTGAGGTCTGTAGTCAACTCATCCTTTGCTAAGAACTCATCAAACCAGGGTTTAGCATAAGGTGGATATGTGACTTTCCAGCCAACCTGAGGCATTAATACATCAGCCAAAGTATAATTTGGCAAATCTTCTTCCTTAAGAATCTTTACTGCCGGAAGACTTGGTAAATCTTCATTTTCACCATTCTTATTGGTATTATTACTTGGTTCAACATTCTCGTCTATTTTTAGGCAACATTCTGTAACATCTGTTACTTCATTAATCGAACTAAATGTTGATTCTGTGGTTATTGCAGATATTTCTTCTGTTTTTATCATATCTGTCCTTATTTCACTCTCAAATTTACTTACTTTCTCATTAGCTTCTGTACTTGCTTCTGTTATGACTTTGCATTCGTTATCATAAGCAAGATCCTGATCATCATTATCATTATCATTTTGTTTTGTATTATCTTCGTAGACTAAATCTCCTACAATAGGCTTCCTTCCAAATTCCTTTATTCTTTTTGATACCATGTGATTCCACACAAAACTTTGATATGAGTGAATGTACAGTAAGCGAACATTCCTTGGTAACGAATCTAAGGCTCCTTGAGGATTCTTACTACCAGATTTAGAAATACCTTTCAAAAGTGTAGCCTCTATTTTGTCATATCTCTTAATCTTCTCGTATGCAGCACATGCATCTTTGGTTGTTTCGTATATTTCTCTAGCTTTTGCTAAATCTCTGTCATGTTCCCCTTCACGAGGTTTCAAAATCAATTCAATTGCTTCATTCCATTTACCTATAATTAATAAGCAGGACATACGTGTTCATGCACAAAAAAAATAAAATAAAATGTAATCAGTGTTTAAATAAGTACAATTACCCTGTAGCAAAGCTTTCCCTATTTCGTAAGTTGGAATGGCAGCTACAGTCCCAAACCTCTGTAGACCATAATAGTTTATAAAACCATTGTCCCTCAAAGAAACCATTGTTTCTTCGATCTCATCATCTGTTCCATTAACATTTCTCAAAGCGATCCTAAAGCGATTACCACTAAGCATGCCTAATTTCAAAGAATTTTTAACAAATTTAAAGTTTCCCACATAAGCTCCGCGTACATTTTTTGCTGCTCTCAGTATGTCTGATGGTTCCACTTTTCTCAAACTGATCCACTGAGTAGTCCATGCTCTACGATCTTTTGTTCCTGCATAACCAAAATTATTTGGCTTCATACGTAAATTCATAGCCAATTGATTTAATGCATCCATTGTATCCATATTTACTTTATGCAACACAAAGTAACAATATTCACCACCGCGTTTTTTCCAATCTATCCGGTTATCCTCTCGCAAATTATGAGCTGACAGAAGAAAATAGCATATTTAGAACAAAAAGCAAAGGACAATGTTAAGTCATAGAGGGGTTTACTGACCCAAGAGCGTACAGCCTATGCTATACACCGTTGGAAAGGTCTCGCCAAGGCGAATCGACTGATACCGTTTTTAACTTCGATATCAGATGGGATCATGTCGAAAAATGGCCTGAAAATTCGAGATTTTGCGGTTTTGAACAAAAGAATCCGGTCGTAAAAGCCCATCCGGCCCGAGGGACCTCGGGTAGGCACCTGAGGGAAAACCGAGCGGTGTAAGCAATACTCTAGCAGATTGGGACGGCAAATGTGCCCCACCACCTTCATTTCAGTGCCGTGTTGGGCCTGCGTTTGCCGCATGGGCCCCGTTCGAAATGCCCAGGGCGAAATCGCCAATGGATCAGTTGTTTTTCATGAACATAATATATTCATGATAGACGATTCGCAGGTATGAGTTGGGAATGTGCAGGTTAGTATTCAGTATTCACATCATTATGTTTCGTTCAATCAATAAAATGTCACTCCATTCACTATTGTAAGTGATGCATTAGTCTGAATACTAACCTGCACATTCCCAACTTATACCTGCGAATCGTCTATCATGAATATATTATGTTCATGAAAAACAACTGATCCATTGGCGATTTCGCCCTGGGCATTACGAACGGGGCCCATGCGGCAAACGTAGGCCCAACACGGCACTGAAATGAAGGTGGTGGGGCACATTTGCCGTCCCAATCTGCTAGAGTATCGCTTACACCGCTCGGTTTTCCCTCAGGTGCCTACCCGAGGTCCCTCGGGCCGGATGGGCTTTTACGACCGGATTCTTTTGTTCAAAACCGCAAAATCTCGAATTTTGAGGTCATTTTTCGACATGATCCCATCTGATATCGAAGTTAAAAACGGTATCAGTCGATTCGCCTTGGCGAGACCTTTCCAACGGTGTATAGCATAGGCTGTACGCTCTTGGGTCAGTAAACCCCTCTATGACTTAACATTGTCCTTTAGTTTTAGGAGTGATGTTTTAACATGTAACATACTAATATTGTCTTTATTATTTGGTAGAATCATCATAATCTTCTTGTTTTCTTTATTTATAGTTTGACTAATGACATTTGTTATCTTTTTAGCGATTGTATGAATTGCTCTACGCTGATCCTTATCTAAATTTGTTGCATCTATTTCTATAGAAGGTGATCCTGAATCTTTCAATGTTTGTAGCTGATTCCATATTGTATCTGATACTATTTTTTTTAAGTCTTCCAGACTCTCATTTTCTTCCACATTAGTTGGAATATGTTGGTTTGTCAATTTTGCTATTTGCTCGTCAAAAGAAATTTCATTGACATGGAAGTCTGTGTATCTTTCCTTAATTATACCAAAAAATCCTTTATCTCCTATAAATTCTGTAATACCAACATTACATTCCTTTAATCGATTTCCAACTTTCATTTTCTTTCTCTCGTCATCTTTTTGAAAGTTCGACCAATTACGTTTGTAGGACTGTCTGCCAAAATTATCATTTCGATATCCTTGAAAACAAAATTTAAAAAATAAACAAATCAATTAGATTTTTGTAATCTAAATCTTACCACTATGGTATGGACCTTGATTTCTCCTGAATTTATTGTTAAATGAACTATCTTTTCTGAAAACTCTTTTATCTCTATGACGTCCATATGAATTTGCAGATTTTTGCTCAGACCCACTATTTTTAGAATTCAACATTGACGAGTCCTTAGAATCAATATTTTTACTTTCCAGTTCAGACATTTTCGCTTATTTAATAATTTATTAAGAAGTGTAACAGAACTTTATTTTTTTCACCTAAACCAGTATAAAATTACTTGATCGAAACGATTTACACTTTATTTGCAAATAACTAAAGTTACCGGTACAATACTTTTATGATTAAAGTTCTATAGACAAATTGTTATCTATGGAATTGTAACCTGTATGACATGTGCTTTGAAACAGTGTTTCTCAATCAAAAATAAACTCCAACTGATAAGTTCATATAAACGTAACATGTAATATTTAAATTTCATAGACAATAGTAATAATATATTACAGAAATTAATTCATTGCTCAGTAAATACAGTTATAATTATTAATTTTATTTAACAAATAGAGATTGATCGAATTATACAAAATTGAAAATAATACAATGATATGGAATATTAAAAACTGTGTTAAATAGTTTTATATTTAAAAATATTTTCTTATTATTTATATCATACGCATAGATTCTTAATATTTGATATAAAGTTCAACAAAGAAATTCGATAGGTCGAAAATAAAAGTCGATGTAAGTTCAGTCGATACAGAACAGTCATCTCAGTCGTATTTTTATCTATGCGAGACTATTATTCTAAAAATTAGTTGTCACAAGATTAACGCAATTAGTGAAAGATTCGTCGCTGTCTCGTGTCGTTTTTGAAAAGTTTTATACTTGGTAGGTGACAAAATGATTTTCGAAAGAATGAGTGCCAACATTTTCCATAAGGTTAGACAGTTAGGTAAGTTGTAATTGAGATTTGAAAATATATATTCAAATTCTTTCGGTTTACATAATCCTGATTGACTATTTAAATAACTTTACTAACAAAAACTTTTCCATATTCCTTATCTTATCGGCTACAATGTTATTTGATTCAAATCGGTATTTTAAGAAATAAAGGATAAATCATGTTTATAAAAATATAATGTTAATTCTATCCTGTCGATTCATAATGTTATATTAATCTATAATATATTTTAAAGGGTGTGAAGTAATTACTACAAATTTTTTTAATATTGTCTTCTATTAATTAAAGAAAAAATTCTGATATAAACTGTGCTTTATCTATGTTTGTAGAATCTCTTTCCAAAACTAGCCTTTTTTCAAACTCTTGCAAAGCAGCACAACTTAGTAGAACATCAACAAATTTTGCTGGTGTTAATCAATGTTTAAATTCTACTGTAACCAAATATGGAAACACTAGTTTCCTGAAAAAGGTAATAATTTTTCAATATTATTTGATTTTTACTATAATGTTGTATTTTAATGTTGTATAATATTGCAAATTCTTTTTTTCTTTTAGCTTCCAACAATTACAACTGTTGGTTTGCAACAAAATCGTAAAGCAGCTACAGCTTCAGGTGACCATGTACGTTTGTGGGTATTTGAGAAAATTGTCTCTGCAGCACTTCCAGCTGTAATTCCTGCTGCTCTATTAATGGAAAATGCAGTTCTTGATGGGTTAATGTCCATATTAGTTGTAATGCACACACATTGGTAAATACTTGTTTTTCAACACTGAATTATCAATGATTTCTTTCTTAAAATTTATTAACAGATAATAACTGTTATCTAATTTATCATAATATATCCAATAGGGGTTTAGAAGCTATTATTACAGACTATGCAAGACCTAGTGTTGTTGGACCGTTATTACCAAAGATTTTGCATATTTCATTGATCCTACTTTCTGCAGCAACACTTGCTGGACTACTTTTGCTTATACATAATGGACCTGGAGTTGCAAGGGCTGTTAAAGATGCTTGGGCAATTGGTAAAGAACCACCTACTCCTCAAACAGAAAAACCTGTTTCAACGTAAATTATCATTATTATCTATTTGATTTTTAATAGATTATTAATATATTAATTTAGAACTTGTAATTCAACTTGTAAGTATTCAAAAATAAATTATTTGTCTCCAAATATCTTATGTATTATTTAATACGAGAAGGTAAAGTATGAAATTCTGCGATTTAAGAAAATGTGAAACATTGATATGCTTGTAGAAATAATGTTTATTTATTAAAATTGTAAAACAAAGTAAACCTAAATATTAGGGGTGTGCGAGAACCCGATGGTCAGGACGAATCGGAATGAGGTCGAGACTCCCGAAAATTGTTGAGACTCTTGAAAAGAATTAGTGATGGACAACATTCTTTCATTTTCTTCTGCCAATTGTCGTGAAGTTATTGGAAACACGGATTTTAAGAATCATGTAACCTGATGTAAACAAACGTATGACTGCATGCTTGGGCATTGTGTACGCTGTTCATCGAGTTCTCGGAATTTTCGGGAATCTCGATTATGTCGAGTATCTCGAAACTTTCGGGTACTCGTCCCGATCCTGATATTTCGGGTTCTCGCACACCCTTACTAAATATATTGTTCATATTGTGTTTATAATATAACACATTGTTAAGACAACTTTCACAGTGTACTATAAACTGTAAAAAATTCAACAGACAGGATACTGATGCACAAAATTTGATTGAAGTTTTACAGACTTGACGTATTACATAATTCAAGTTTTAATTTTCATCCATTGTAGTAGCCTTGTCTATAAAGGTAGCAAGCTTAATATCCCTTTTTGATAAACCATTTACATCGTGAGAAGAAAGGGTAATGTTTACTTTATTGTAAACATTAAACCATTCAGGATGATGATCCATTTTTTCTGCCTGCAATGCCACTCTTGTCATGAAACCAAAGGCCTACAAATTTAAGTAAGTAAGGAAGTAAGAAATACATTTTATGACACAAACAGATGTAAGCAATAACAAGTAGCATCATTAAACTTGTACTTACCTGGTTAAAGTTTTTGAACAAAAATTCTTTATAAATGGCATCCCTATTTGACTGAACTGACCAACCACTTGCCAATAATGGTTTCAAATTTTTTTCTCTTTCTTCTTCAGTTAATTTTGCCTTAAAAAATGACATATTCCCATAAAATCTTATATTTAATCCTTAGTAAAAGTTGAATATTATTTCATAGAGTACATTTGATTGGTAATTATTTAAATAAATTTGAGTAAAAAATAACTTTGTTCGATCAGGAAAAACATCGATCGCTCTTTAACTCGTAACATATGACACGAACAAATTTTCTGTATTCGTCAAAAAATAATTGTTCCGATACGCAAACACTCTAGATAGATTAAATCTATAGCAGTTTTTTGCGTAACTTCGAGTTCTTCGTCGTAATTGTAAAAGTATAATCCGCGCAACAAGAACGATTACGTCTCAACCACTTGTTACACTTTTAGAACACAAAGCACTTTTATGTACAATCTTCGTTCATACATTATTGTTTTATTTTAAAAAATGAAAAAATGTTAACGTTCGTAAGATATCAGTTGTAGGGATAACGATAAATCGAAGACAAAAAAAAAGGAATGTAACGTCTACAAAATAATCCAAATATTTCCATTTCATATTTATATTCGTTGGAAGTTAAATATTCTATCTTTCATGCAATAGAAAATATTTTTAACACATTTATTTTCTAATTTTACTATAAAAAACTTACCATTTTCACTTTTTTCAAAGCAGGAGCAGATATTCCTCTTCGGTTGAAAATATGGAATATTTTCTCGTAAAGGATCCCCCCACCACTGGTATACCGCATGCGCGTTAAAGTCGACATGGATTTTGCTTTCTTTTTCCTCGATTGCGTTAAAAAACTTTGTTGTCACGAAATAAATGAATATCTGACTATTATGTAATTAATAGTTACAGTTAAAAGCTATTCTATCGTAAATTATTTGATACAAACTTTAAATATACATTCATCATATAATTTGATATTTGTATATAATATCAGTATAATTTAAGAATAATTTACATTTCACAATGATATTTATCGGTGTATAAACCGATAAATGATAATAACTATGTATTATTCAGAATTATTACGAAAATGTGTCAATGCATCAGAGCTATAACCTCACCGGTGAATTTTAATCACTGATTTAACTTTTAGAAAATCATGAACACACTTTTAATGATAATTTTATAAATTTTCGATTGATTCATTATTTTTACGATTAAACGCAGTACATTAATATGATTCCAGTTACTCTGTATAAGTCGACGAAAAAGTTAACCTTAGTACACGAGACGAGTTTGTAAACTAAGAACGATGGCGGTTTATTTAAAATCAGTTCACTACCTGTTTCGTTCTCTGAACATTTCTTTAATTAAAATTCAAACTATTATATTAAGTTTCTCCCCGATTAAATGATTATTTAATAATTATATTGTACGTGTACATATTTTTATATAAATAATAAATATTTATATAAAGTATGGTATTTGAAATGGCTAATAATTAAACTAAGCTTTTGTTTATTAATTAAATGTAAATTTAACACAATTATAAGTAATCTGATACCAATTGAAGTATCAACGATAAATTATCTGCGTATCCATTTATATTTTCTGCGGTTTAATTGCATACTTTGATCCTGGTGCGTTTGTCTTGAGGAATTTAAATTACGAGATACTCGAATCGACTTTTAATAATGCCTCTTCATTGCTCTCTTTACGTACACCGTTTCCCACAAGGACTTTCATTCTCACACGTGCTTCAATTCTAGGATGACGATTGCGATTACGATGCCTTTTACTCACTCTTGCTCGTTGCGTTGCCTCACTTTTAGATTCACAATCGTTGAAGAGGGAATGTTTCGTTGAATGCGATAATCTATTTAAAACTACATGCAAATTGCTATTCGTGACGAAGCAAGGTGATGCGCAGAAACAAATCGAATGCAATTTAAAAAGTGACTAGCACAATATAATAAATCAGTTGCAATTAATTTTGGACGTTAACTATTACAACTTTAAATCGTACAATTATGGGTTGTTGCTTAACATAATCGGTTTGAGGAACGAGATATCTGGTTATTCAACAGTATTGACTGTAGATAATAAATCAAGGTAATTCCCGTGGACCGAGACAGGGTTAGAGTTCTCCATCGGTAAGGACATCGTTATCCTTTTTCGAAATAATGGCGATGGCTGCCAGGCAAAGCCAAATATCCAATTCCTGCATAGTTCTGCGATTATTACTCGTAGGTCTGGTCTCCGATCGATGAATTTTCATCTCACTTATTCGTGCCAGCACCGAAACGATCTGCGATCGAGTAACTACCAGCTACTGCTTGGATTTACTCTCTCCTGTCACGGATATCCAGTCGCCAACACATACCATCGTTGTATGCGCGGCAACGTTGTTAACATCGTATATTTGTGCAATATATTTTCAGATCGGATTGCATCTTCGAGCCAGTCTGCTCGGGTTATTCTGGCCGTGATGAAAAATAAGATTGCGCAGCCCTTTCGATAGAATGTTAGCGCATCTAACGACGTATTGCTACCGTTTCTTCGACCCAGGATATATATGATGTATCCAGATGGTGTTCGAGTCGAGAGAAATCGATATAATAATGTAATCAATAATACACACGCAACGAACAAATAAAATTTTAAAATGTCTTTATGTTTTTCCAAATAATTATTATTTATTAGATATACATATAGAACAGCTTTTTAAATATTATTCGAAATTTGAAAATTTTACAACTTGTCTGATTTTGAAAATTTCCACTACAGAATAATAGGTGTTTAAAATATAAGCGAATAATATTTGACAAATAAGTAAGATAACTTACTAGAAATAATTATAGTTTATTATTTCCCTCTTTTGATTATGTATCAGTTCACCGTGTTAACCAACGATGTTGTAACAAACGAGATGTATAATAAACATTGATTCGTTCGTGGAAGCAGATGTGATAAGTACTTCACTTCCTCAATGACATAAGTCATGTTTAATGATATGTACTATTCAGTATCCATTTGTTTTGCAAATATTAATTTTTAAATAAAAATTATTAAGACGAGTATTTTTTACACATACAATAGAAATGAAATAAAACTAAATCATATGAAAGAGAAGCTTCGATTGAAAATTGATATGATATGATTTGTTTTTAATAAAAGCAACATTTAATTTATATACCACACTGTAGAAATTATATTCCATTATTGTGAATAACATTCACAAATAAAACGTCGAAGTAAAAAATGAATGACTTTCTAAGTTGCATTATCAATTATACATTGAGCGGAAGGACCTCGAAATTGCTGAAAATATGTGCATATAACGATGTACAGTGTATCAATGGAGTTATACACTATAATGTGCAGTATCATCGTTATATTGATATAAAGTATATATTATCAGCACATATCCTCAAGAATTTCAAGGTCTTTCCGTTTATGTACATATAAAATCATCACCAACTGCATCGAGTTGGACATTTTACAATCTGGATGATCGAGTGTCACGTTATAGTTCAAGTTTACATTTAGCAGTGTCTTATCTTTTACGTTATTAAAATGGTACAAGTCGTACGGATTTTGTAAGTAAATATCACACAAATCAGAAAAGAAATCTTTGAAATAATCTTCAATTAATATTCGATACTAGTTCAATATAATTGTTTACCGACTGAATCGGATATTGATTTTCATAGAGCGTTCATTGGCGCTATTACCGGTACTGCTTCCACATTCTTGAACTACCCACATCATTTAAACCGGTTATTTGGTGTTAACGATGAACCAGACACCGAACAATCAAAAGAAAACCGCTCGCTTTGCGATAGTAAACAATGCCAAGAACTCGGTAGGTGAACTTCTTTTTCACATTTTTACTTTGATATTTGAAACATTTTTAGACCCTTTTTATAATTTAACACGAAAATAAAATAATATAAATATAATTACAATATTACTGCGTTTAAAATATTAGATGTATTGTTACAAGCTATTTTCTCAAAAGCCAATGAAAATATTGACTTTACTTTTTTAAATTAGATTTATAGATTTCTTTTATTAAAATTAAATTAAAAATATTTCATAAAAAAATCGGCCCCCTACATTATTTAAGTAAAAAGAAAAATATGTAGTCGATGTCTGTGAAATTTAATTATTATATCGCTGCTTTTGGTTTAATAGCTAAAATATTAATGGAAGGCATGGACGAATCTGTGGACCCGTGCGAAAACTTTTACGAGTACGCGTGTGGAAATTGGAAAGTACACAATCCACTTCCTAAAAATGAGAAAATTTGGAACTTGATGAAGAAAACTCAAAGCATCGTTGACAAACGCCTTTTAGGTTTGTTTGAATTCGGCATTCCGTTTAGGGTACACAATAGTACGTCCAAATGAGTCTTATCGTTCGAAACGTCTCTTTCTTTATAAATAAAATACCTTGCAAATAAATTTTATCGTTTCTGTTTGTTTCTTAAAATTCTGCATCGTATTCACAGACATAATAGAACAAGATCCAAGCCCTGATGATTTCTTAGGCCTGAGACTTACCAAACGAGCATACAAGGCTTGCATGAATGCAGGTAGTATTTTAAAGTTTATCTACGAAAGTTGATTGGAAGATTAGTGCAATTTGGGAAATCCTGATCTACGAGATATAAATTTCTCAAACGATTTACAGATGAATTAGACAAGAATGGACTTCAAGGAATCGTGTTCACCTTGGCGAGAGCAGGTGGTTGGCCATTGATAATGGAAGAAGATGAATGGGACGAGCAGATATATAAATGGCAACAAGTGGACGATTATTATGCGCGTTTAATAGGATTAAACAGTTTGCATGACCTCAGCGTCGACCTGCTTGATTGGGAAAACATGAAGGGCACATACTTGCGTGTAAGTTCGTATTGTTTCCATTAATTTAAACAATAATTGTAATATTATACGATACTCCAGGTGAATAACCCGCACTATCCGATGAGAGCGTACAGACTCGTGGGTTACGATGAAGACGACATGGACGACAGCGACGAAAACAACGAAAGTGGAGAAGGCAGTCAGGAACGAGGCAGCGAGGAAGAACCTAACAGCGAAGAGATCGAAGTCGAGGACGAGGATGATAAATATCAGAAACAACTGCAGAGAAGAGCAAACAAAAGGACCAGTGTTCATCGAGGCAAGACGAAAGCGAGGAAGAGTACCGTGAGAAGAACTGCTCACAGTGTTCGTCAAAGCAAGGCGAAGTCGAGAGAAAGATCGCCGAAACGTATGCAAAGGTCTTTGGCTGTCGACAAGTCTCTGAGGAAGAGTATCGTGAGAAGTAAACGGAGACACGAAGTTGCAAATGATGACATGTATTTTGACGATGTGACGTATAACGCGAGTAACGACGATGATGAAGAGAACGAAGAAGACAATGAAGAGGACGAAGAAAATGGTAGTGGTAGTGGCGGTTACAATGATGATGATGATGAACAGTACAAAGAAAATGGTAGTGGTAGTGGCGATTACAATGATGATGACGAAGAGGACGAAGAAAATGGTAGTGGTAGTGGCGGTTACTATGATGATGAATATTATGAAAGAAAAAGAAAAGAGAAACAGGAACGAGAACGATTGAAGAAAGAATACGCAGAATACATATTAAATGTTAGCTTGGCGCTTACTGAAGCCACAGGAGTCTCGATACCGAAAGAGAAGCTCGAGGAAGATATTGGCGACTTGATTAACTTTCAGATAAGCCTCATAAAGGTATTAGACATGTTTTGGGTTTCAGAAAATATATATTTCATTATTGCGGATCTTTATGCAAATTGATATTTTTATTAATAGAATTAATGAAATGGGGGCTTTCTAGAGAGTTGTCTCAACCCCTAAATATAATAATTCGTATCACACCTTAAGTATTTCTTGGATTTTTGCGTATTAAGTGTATTCTGCAGTTTTATGAGAATTAAAATTTTCCATAAATGCGTAAACATCCGCAGACTAATTATAATATAGTAATGGTTATTTTTACAGCTAATATACAAGGACGACCAAGGACAGAACTCCACACTTCGGTCGTTACAAAAGCTATACGACGATTTAAAACCTACTACGAGCAACGGCAAAGTAAATTTTATTCTGTTTAGAAAGCTGTTTGAATGTTTCTAAACAATTTCTTTTTTTTAGATCGATTGGATCAAGAAAGTACAAGATTTGTTCGCCACAGGAGGAATGGAAATTGATGACAATGTGAAAATATTGATTCCATCTAACGGTTATATCAAGGGTTTTCGGAAGCTATTGGACAGAACACCTAGCAGAACAATCGGTACGAAGCATATGTGTCTATATAATAGTAAACAATTGACGAACGAGTGATGAAAGAATCTGTAAATAATTTGATACAGTGAATTATATACATTGGAACTTTCTGAGCAGAGTAATACAAGTTACTACGAAGGAAATGAAGGATCTGTATAATAATTGGTCACAGAAGGAAAAAGATCCCAACACGAGGTAATATTTGCAAGATATTTCCAAATATTTTTAAGCTGAAGCAGCGCAACAAAATTGTATTATTAAGTAAACGTTAGTAGAATCTCGATGGTTGCAAGAAAATGGGATTAATTCTTAACCATTTTTATGATAAAATAGATAATTAAGTGTTCTGTTAGAGTAACCCGTGTATTTATAAATAAAAATTGCACTTTTACAGATCAACTGAGTGTATCGAAGAGATAGATGCGAAATACTATTTGGGATACGAGTATATAAAACGCCATTTTCCTGATGAAATTAGGAAAACGGTAAAGATTGTGTGCTTGAAAAATGTTATTTCTGGTAGAATTTATATAGTCTTTCCTTAACTATTTATTTAAGGCGTTGGACATGATCGATGATATCGAAAAGGAAGTCGAGTATCAGATCGAAGAAGCAACTTGGATGAACAATGACGCCAGACATTTTGTTTTAGACAAATTGATGTTCATGAAGAAAATGATCGGTTATCCGAAGCAGTATCGAAACAGTACCGTCATGGAAACTTATTTCCGAGGAGTGAGTTACTTCAAACCAGTACGCATCCAATTTATAATTGTCTGCTAATCTTAAATCATCTTTTCAGCTCAGCATTACTCCGTCGCGTTTCGAAAACTTTTTAAGCGTTAAGAGATATACCAAGCAACAGAAACTAAAACTATACTACTCCATGGAAGAGTTTACTCTATCAGAGTTGTATGCTTTTTAACAATTTATTATATGTCGTGTAATGTTTACAGCAATTAAAAGAAGAAATTTATTCGCAGCTCATTGTTGAATCCCTTGGTCGTGAATGCCTTCTTTGTACCCTTCATGAATACCATTGGTAAGTTCTGATATCAATTATTTTCTTAGCATTGTTCAAGACACGTTGTCGTTTCAGAAATAACAGCGGCAGATTTGCAAAACCCATTGTTTGAATTCCACCATCCATGGTAAATAGGAATTAACTTTACAAATAAATTACTCCATGGTATCCAATATTAGTAATTATTACTATGTATTTATTGCATAGGTATAGCAACTTTGGTTTTATAGGATACGTCATGGCCCACGAAGTGAATCACGGATTCGATAGTGGGGGTTAGTTATTTTAAAATATCTTATAATTGTTCCAATATTAACAATTAAGCAATGATTGCAGGTATCGTGTTTGACAAAGAAGGTAATTTTATGAGATTACCAGATCCAATGCAAGAGGAATATGAAAAACGAGCAGAGTGTTTTGTAGCTCAATATACTAAATACAGTATGGAGGAAAATAGAACAGCAAATATTCCTTCAATGGTTGTTATTATGCATTTTATATTATTGTACACGAAATTTCCATAGTGCAAATCCTTTGATTCAACAAAGTTACTTATAACATGACATCCTTTCTTTACTTTTTTTAAATCGTTTACATTAGATTAGGTTTTTGCATCGAATGTTAACACAACTTTTCTTCTTTCACGCTTGTATTGAGTTATGTATTCTCGAAATAATGTCTTTTTTAATATTCCTTTGGCGTCAGACTTATGGCAATAGAACTCAAGAAGAAAATATTGCGGATTCGATGGGCCTGCAAGCTGCTTTTAAAGCTTACCAACGAAGGCAAAGAAAATGTGCGAGCCCGGATCCCATGTTGCCAGGATTACAGAATTTTACCAATGAACAAGTTTTCTTTTTATCGTTCGCCAACGTAAGTTAATTCTCTTTTTCGCTAATTTAACTTCATTAAAAACATGAATATAATAGATATTTTATTCCTTATCCTTCCTGAAAGAGATATATTTTCAATAAAACACTTGTCGAAAAAATTGAAAATCTGCACAGACACAATGAAAATCTAAGTTTTCCAAGTTCTGTAAAAAAATTATTTTAATTTTCATTGAAAACGTCAATTAAGGGGGTCTTCCAGCGTGAACCTTTGAAAAAATCAATTTTTCTGTTGCATTTTTTTAAAGAATATAGCTTGGGCAATTTATTGGCAAAATATCCAATTTTTTCACGCAAACATTTTTAAAATGTGTTATAGTTTATTCGCAAAAATTCCCGCCAAAAATCTAAAAAATGCACTTTACACTAAAAGAACCCCTTAAATGTGTTCAATGATATTTTATAAATGTTTTGAAACTTTCAGATATGGTGCGAAGATATTGATCTAGAAAAAGTCAAGGAACAATTAATGAAGGACCGGCACAGTTTGGGACCATTAAGAGTAATTGGGTCTGTATCTAATTCTGAGGATTTCTCCAAAGCTTACAATTGCCCTAAAGGCAGTCCCATGAACCCCATAAAGAAATGTAACATATGGAAATAGAAATAATTTTAATACAATTTGTACCACTCAAATGCAGTAATTGTATATCAATAAAAAAATAAAATATATATTAATTTGGTGTCTGTATCATATCTCATCATGTTAAATTAAAATTCTGTACTGTACCCTATGATTGATTTAAACACAAAATCACTATCTTAAATATTTAACGGCATATATTGTTGTATAACTCATGTACTACATGTAAATTAAATTTTTGAAATATAGGAAATAATTAAATGAAATTTTCTTTAATTTTTAAATGATAATGTTTAAACTTTTAATATTGTATTATAACCATACTTGGGTCAAAAGAACCTACTTGAATTGTATTGTATTACATAAATTTCAACAAGTAGCAAAAATACAAGTATTGAGGATGGCTTCTAGATATTTACTTTTTTATATACTAGTTTTTAATGAAACTAAAATGTTCACTATTAAGAATACCTTTTCTCTCTCAAGTAGAAATATAATAAACACAAAAACCATAACAGTTGGTTAGCAAATGCAATTTGTTGAAATAAAATAAATTTATGAAGTGGAGGAGGAGATGAGGAAAGGAAGATGGGGAGGGGTGGAGGTAGGGGGGAGGAGAGTTTGTACGTTGGCGTATGCGGATGACCTGGTGATGGTGGCGAAGGACGAGGAAGAGATGGGGAGTATGATTAGGCGGCTCGAAGGGTATCTGGATAGGAAGAGGTTGGAGGTGAATGTGGAGAAGACGAAGGTGGTAAGGTTTAGGAAGGGAGGGGGAAGGGAAAGGAAGGTGGAGTGGAGGTGGAAGGGGAAAAGGATAGAGGAGGTGAAGGAGTTTAAGTACCTGGGGTACGTGTTCAAGAGGAACGGGGGTCAGGAGGCGCAGGTTAGGGATAGGGTGAGAAAGGCGGGGGTGGTAATGAGGCAGGCATGGGGAATCGGGAAAAGGAAGTTTGAGAGGGACTGGGGAAGGAGGATGTAGCTGTTCGACGCGTTGGTCTGGACGGCGGCGGGATATGGGGCAGAGATTTGGGGGTGGAGAGAGAGGGAAGAGATGGAGAGGATGCAGGAGAGGTTTATAAGGTGGTCATTGGGGGTGGACTGGAGGACGCCAGGGTATATGGTAAGGGAAGAAACGAAGAGGAAAAAGTTGAGGACGTGGGCGGGGGGAAGGGCAGGGAGATATGAGGAGAAACTGAGTAGGGGAGAGGGAGGGGAGTTGGCTAGGTGGTGCCTGGAAGAGATAAGGGAAAGGGAAAGGGAAGGGGGAGAGGAATTGTCGGCATGGGAGAGAGACAGGTTGGGGTGTAGAGGGTTGGGAGGATTGAGGGGTGGAGGGGGAGGGGCAAGTGGGCGAGGGGGCTGGGAGGGATGGGAGGAGGAAGATGGGAGGAGGCAGGAAGAGGAGAGATGGGGAAAGGTGGTGCAGTCGAGGTACAATAGGTGGTATAGGGAGTTGGAGGTGCGGGAGTTACCGGGGTACCTGAGGGCAGGGTGGGGAGTGGTGAGGTATGGGAGGTTAGCTAGGTATAGGATGGGGAACGAGATGAGGGGGGGGGAGATACTGGGGGGATGAGGAAGAGTGGAGATGTAGGGTATGTGGAGGGGAGGAGGAGACATGGGAGCACGTTTTGGAGAGATGTACGGGGGATGAGGCAGAGGGGAAGGGGATCGAGGAGAAGATAAGGGAGATTTTAGACGAGGGAGGGGGAGGGGAGGGGTGGATAAAGAGGCTGGAGGGCAGGAGGAGAGAGAAAGAGGCGGAGAGGGGTGAAGGGGGGAATGAAGGAAGGAGTGAATGAAGGAATGGTATGTAAGGGCGGAAATGGAAGTCGAGGGCGGGGAGGGCGAGCGGGGGTAGAGGAGTAGGAGAGAAGGGAGGAGGGAGAGAGAGAGAGAGCGAGTAGCGTAAGGTTAGGCTAAGAGCGTGCGGCGAAATGAAATGAGAGAGAGAGAGAGAGAGAGCGAGTAGCGTAAGATTAGGCTAAGAGCGGGCGGCGAAATAAAATGAGAGAGAGGGGAAAGACGGCGGAGGGAGGATGTAAGGGCAGTGTAAGAGTAGAGTAAGAGTAGAATAAGTAGGATAAGTAGGATAAGGTAGGCTAAGGGAGAGATGTAAATGTAAGGTGGGGAGGAGGTGTAACCCTAAGGGGAATCAGGAAATAAATCTATCTAAATAAATTTATGAAAAGTATTATATCTTTTAGAAAATAACGAAGAAAGTTATTTTTACAAAATATCTTTAGAAAATAGCATACGATTTTTGTACTTTATGTATTCATTTCAAAGTTACGACCGTCTTAAATCAGTGAGTTCCAATTTATGGAAATAATTATGTGACACTTTCAAAGACAGTACTGTTACATATCATTCATGCATGGGGCTGAAACGTTTGGTGACTTGGGCGTTGGCTCGAGCATCTAGCGTACAACCCTTTGAACGGGGTTGACTCATGCCGTATGCGAGCACCCGGCCCAATTTTCATTACCTTTTATGGTAATACCCCGCCTTAGTGCTGAGCATTTTTCAACTATATAAGGGCCGCGGTTTCTTACTCGGGGAACTCAGTTTTCCTAAAAACTCTCGGCACGACGTTATTGTGACACTCAGGGCCATATCGGGCTATAATCCCCTTCATGCAACTATCTACTACTATCTACCTTGGCGGGTTATCAGTGAGTGTCCATTAATCGAGTACGAGCTCCCGCGAACGCGCTGCTTAAAAGCCGATAACAAATCTATCGCCTTCGAGGCAATTTAGCAATTGTACAACTTCGTGTAAATCCATAGCTGTACTTGAGCATCGTTAAAAATATATATTCAAGTAGTATTCCTCACGAGTATTATTCACTGAATTCAACCCTGAACCATATTAACCGTAAGGCTACGGGGTATCTCACGAACCCGGTACACTTTTACCGCTCGAGGTGTACCATCACGACAGAGAGCAAGATCCTAAAAACATCCTAAAAACCTACGTGGCTCCCAGGGTATAAAGCCCATGGTTCGTCAACTCCTACTAGCGGCTCCCAGGGTATAGAGCCCCTAGTTCGTCCGTGAAACCTTACATTTTCCCTATATCATTAAAATATCAAATTTTTAAAATGTGTTATAGTTTATTCGCAAAAATTCCCGCCAAAAATCTAAAAAATGCACTTTACACTAAAAGAACCCCTTAAATGTGTTCAATAATATTTTATAAATGTTTTGAAACTTTCAGATATTTTGCGAAAATATTGATCTAAAAGAAGCCAAGAGAGGAGTAATGACGGACTCGCACAGTTTGGGACCATTAAGAGTAATTGGGTCTGTATCTAATTCTGAGGATTTCGCCAAAGCTTACAATTGCCCTAAAGGCAGTCCCATGAACCCCATAAAGAAATGTAACATATGGAAATAAAAATAATTTTAATAGAATTTGTACCACTCAAATGCAGTAATTGTATATCAATAAAAAAATAAAGTATATATTAATTTGGTGTCTGTATCATATCTCATCATGTTAAATTAAAATTCTGTACTGTACCCTATGATTGATTTAAACACAAAAACACTATCTTAAATATTTAACTGCATATGTTGTTGTATAACTCATGTACTACATGTAAATTAAATTTTTGAAATATAGGAAATAATTAAATGAAATTTTCTTTAATTTTTAAATGATAATGTTTAAACTTTTAATATTGTATTATAACCATACTTGGGTCAAAAGAACCTACTTGAATTGTATTGTATTACATAAATTTCAACAAGTAGCAAAAATACAAGTATTGAGGATGGCTTCTAGATAGTTATGTTTTTAGACATATACTAGTTTTTAATGAAACTGAAATGTTCACTATTAAGAATACCTTTTCTCTCTCAAGTAAAAATATAATAAACACAAAAACCATAACAGTTGGTTAGCATTACACAAATGCAATTTGTTGAAATAAAATAAATTTATGAAAAGTATTATATCTTTTAGAAAATAACGAAGAAAGTTATTTTTACAAAATATCTTTAGAAAATAGCATACGATTTTTGTACTTTATGTATTCATTTTAAAGTTACGACCGTCTTAAATCAGTGAGTTCCAAATTATGGAAATAATTATGTGACACTTTCAAAGACAGTACTATAAACACCACCTCAACTCTATAACAATCTCATAATTATATGTAATTAAATTATTAATTATTAATTATTAATTAATTTAAATAAAATGTAATTAAATTATTTAAATACATTTTTTTCAACACTGGCTTATATTGTTATGCAGGTTGGAGATCGCCAGCGTGTCTAATTGGTTATAGTATTGTTGCGCCGGGACGGGGTATTTCGCGCACAACTCATATTATCGCGGAACAAATTATCGTAACACTAGGAACACGAACTAACTAACAAGAACAAGCTTTATTTAAACAGAGCACAATTTTAATACGTCAGTTCACTATGAGGTCTGGCGAAGTTCTCTACTTTTAAATCGTTGCCGGTTCCTCTGGCAACCGGAAGGAACGGGCTCTCGCTTCCGCTCGTTCGAAGGAGCAGCTTCACATCGTTGCGGAACAGCCTTCACGTTGCCGCAACGATGCATCTTCAGTCCGTCGCAACACTGCTCCCCCTCTTCAAAACGCGGACGTCCCGACCGCGGCAGATTCAGCTCGGACAGGCAACTTCAGTATGAGCCTCCAACCTTCAAATCTGCCTCGAGTTTAAAACACCTCTGTCTGTAAAGTAAATAAACGAATAGATCGAACATTTACCTGAGTGGCCTTTACCAGACATTTAGCGCCTTGACATTCGTCCTCTGTTTCAAGGAAAACCACTCAAAAACCTTGAGCAAGACGCCGGTGTAACTTCCAAAATTCTTCTGCGAGGATAAAGAGATCCCGACTGCTCCTCGCCCTTCCCCTTGAATACTTGCGACTTGCGCGCTTCTTTCTTGACGTCTTCTCGGATGTGAGTTCCCCCAGCTAAACGGAACAGCCCCCCTAGAGATGTTCCCCAATCATCAAGGAGAATTTCCTCGATGAAATGGTTGTCCGGAACATACTAGGACTTTGCAGTCCGGCCACCAGAACCCCATCCGGATGGAGCCCCGGCTGTGGGGTAACCCTCCCGGTGGGCATTACGCTTCCACGACCGTTTGCGACACGCAAAGAAGAGAGGCTGTCCGCCGCCAGCAAGTAACCCCCACCCTAGCCTTCTGGGACGAAGCGTCCTCTTCCTGGGCGAAGATGTCGGCCATCCTCCTCGATCCTCATCTCCCAGTATTCTTGCAGGAGACCTCCCGTGAATCGTACCGAGCGAGTCGATTCACATATACGACCCTTAGACTGGATTTCGGGGAACGGACCATACGGAAAACCAACTCATCCAGCCGACTCCTCACGTCGCCTTCTTGTCGTCACCTTCAGCAAGGACCTTGGCAGGGGATCCACAACATCGAGCACTTTCCCTTCAGAAGGTGCCCCTACGAGCGCCATCCCTTCAAAAGGTGCTCCCACGAGCCCTATCCCTTCAAAAGGTGCTCCGACGAGCGCTCTCCTTCCAAAAGGTGCCCTGGCGAGCCCTATCCTTCCAAAGGATGCTCCCACGAGCCCTCCCCCTCCAAAGGGTGCTCCTTCGAGCGCCGTCCTCTCAAAAAGGTGTTCCTACGAGCCCTATCCTTTCAAAAAGGTGCTCTTCTTCCCTTCTTCAAAAGGTCCTTCCTTCGCGGACAGCCATAACGATGACGACATACATCTTCTAGATCTCCTCGGCGTTTCCTTCGACGCTTAACTATCATCTTTCCGTACGACGGGGTGGAAGAAGACAAAGCCGAAGTTTCTCCCTCTACGCAGACTTCTTCTGACTCTTCTTAGGGCAGTTCCACCGCATATGCCCCGTTTCCCCGCAGCTCCAACATTCCATGGGCCTCTCGCTTCCAGTCTCCTCTTCCGTTGGCCTTCCTTCTCCGAATCTTCTTTTACGAGACTCCCCCTCCGAAAAAGGAAAAGGCTTGAGATACTGTTCGGGCCTAATAAATGGCGTCAACACCGCCTCGACGGCTTCGATCTCTAGAGCTCTCACAACCGCGGCTCGTAATGAGACGAAACCGCCGAGTCGCAACGTCCGCTTCATCTCCTCATTGGCTAGCGCGGCAATGAACTGAGAGGCCGCGAGCTTGTCCCTAACTTCGATTGGGCAATCCCCAAACGCGGCCTGCGACAGCCTCTCAATTTCCGCCGCCAAATCAGAGATGGACTCCCCTCTCCGTTGTTTGTAATTTTTAAACATTACATAGTTTAGATTAGCCAAATTTCTCATTTCGAAACGGAATTCCAAGGCCGAAATCAACGCGTCATAGCTAAAACGTTTCTCAACGGGGAGAGTCGTCAAAATGCTTCGAGCCGGCCCCTCCAACGATGAGACCAAGGCCAAAGCATTCCTTGGTCCATCCCAACGATTTGCCTCAGCGACCGTCTCAAATTGAATTTCATACTCCTCCCAACAAGACTTCCCATCATACATGGAGGGCTTCAGAGTTTAGCCCAAATCGGAAATACTCTGATTCACCCTCTCCACACTCTGAGGGACTGGCTGCGAAACCGAAAGGCCCGCGAGCCCGATAGAAGATACAGGCTCGCGCTCCATTTCGCGGACCGCAGCTCCCGAAAGCCGATCGAGAATACGCGCGACATTCGAGGACAGGACCTGATACTGGCCCTCCACGGCCCCAATCCTCTCCTCGACCGCGGCATCCCTGGCCGAAGCGGCAGCCCTCTCCATCGTACTCCGCTCCTCAGCTCGCTCGCGTTCCTCCACGAACATTCACTGTTGCTCCTGGAACTGCGTGGCGATATTCCGCTGCAACCCCTCCAGAAGCGACTCCAGCGACGACAAAGCCTCCGCCCCGGCAGCAGAACGAGTCACTATCCCACTTCTGACACCACTGTTGCGCCGGGACGGGGTGTTTCGCGCACAACTCATATTATCGCGGAACAAATTATCGTAACACTAGGAACACGAACTAACTAACAAGAACAAGCTTTATTTAAACAGAGCACAATTTTAATACGTCAGTTCACTATGAGGTCTGGCGAAGTTCTCTACTTTCAAATCGTTGCCGGCTCCTCTGGCACCCGGAAGGAACGGGATCTCGCTTCCGCTCGTTCGAAGGAGCAGCTTCACATCGTTGCGGAACAACCTTCACGTTGCCGCAACGATGCATCTTCAGTCCGTCGCAACAGTATAATCTATTTCGTACAGACCTGCTCTCTTGGGTCTGATTAATTATAGTATAATCTCCTTATTCTTGACAGAGGAACGAATATAATTTGATTACGTTTGTAACGTGTTAGTGACTATTTATATTAAAGTTCAGAAACTTACCATTGAGGATTGGAATAAAAAATTTACTATTGACATTTGAAAAAGTAAAATTATTGCAATATTATTAAAAATAAATAACTTTTCGTTTCGTTGAATTTCAGGTTGCTAGAAACTTACTAAAAATCAATATACTGATTATACGTTAAAGTATATTATATTATATATTATAAAATTCAATTTATTGTTACGAGCGCGAGCGCGAAATCCTGGATACGGTCGAGGGGCAATACTCGACCGGTGGTTTTGGGTATGGTTAGGAAAAGAAAGGAGGTCCGGACGAACCAGGGGCTCTATACCCTGGGAACCGTAGGTGGAGGTTACGTGGACGAACCAGGGGCTCTATACGCTGGGAGCCACGGGGTTAGACTTATAGGGGAAATGTAAGGTTTCACTGACGAACCAGGGGTTCTATACCCTGGGAGCCGCTAGTAGGAGTGGACGAACCAGGGTCTTTATACCCTGGGAGCCACGTAGGTTTTTAGGATGTTTTTAGGATCTTGCTCTCTGTCGTGATGGTACACCTCGAGCGGTAAAGGTGTACTGGGTTCGTGAGATACCCCCTAGCCTTACGGTTAATATGGTTCAGGGTTGAATTCAGTGAATAATACTCGTGAGGAATACTACTTGAATATATATTTTTAACGATGCTCAAGTACAGCTATGGATTTACACGAAGTTGTACAATTGCTAAATTGCCTCGAAGGCGAAAGATTTGTTATCGGTTTTTACGCGGCGCGTTCGCGGGAGCTCGTACTTGATTAATGGACACTCACTGATAACCCGCCAAGGTAGATAGTAGTAGATAGTTGCATGAAGGTGATTATAGCCCGATATGGCCCTGAGTGTCACAATAACGTCGTGCCGAGAGTTTTTAGGAAAACTGAGCTCCCCGAATAAGAAACCGCGGCCCTTATATAGTTGAAAAATGCCACAGTACTAAGGCGGGGCATTACCATAAAAGGTAATGACAATTGGGCCGGGTGCTCGCATACGGCATGAGTCAACCCCGTTCAAAGGGTTGTACGCTAGATGCTCGAGCCAACGCCCAAGTCACCAAACGTTTCAGCCCCATGCATGAATGATATGTAACAGTATAATAAACATTGATTCGTTCGTGGAAGCAGATGTGATAAGTACTTCACTTCCTCAATGACATAAGTCATGTTTAATGATATGTACTATTCAGTATCCATTTGCTTTGCAAATATTAATTTTTAAATAAAAATTATTAAGACGAGTATTTTTTACACATACAATAGAAATGAAATATAACTAAATCATATGAAAGAGAAGCTTCGATTGAAAATTGATATGATATGATTTGTTTTTAATAAAAGCAACATTTAATTTATATACCACACTGTAGAAATTATATTCCATTATTGTGAATAACATTCACAAATAATACGTCGAAGTAAAAAATGAATGACTTTCTAAGTTGCATTATCAATTATACATTGAGCGGAAGGACCTCGAAATTGCTGAAAATATGTGCATATAACGATGTACAGTGTATCAATGGAGTTATACACTATAATGTGCAGTATCATCGTTATATTGATATAAAGTATATATTATCAGCACATACCTTCAAGAATTTCAAGGTCTTTCCGTTTATCTACATATAAAATCATCACCAACTGCATTGAGTTGGACATTTTACAATCTGGATGATCGAGTGTCACGTTATAGTTCGAGTTTACATTTGGCAGTGTCTTATCTTTTACGTTATTAAAATGGTACAAGTCGTACGGATTTTGTAAGTAAATATCACACAAATCAGAAAAGAAATCTTTGAAATAATCTTCAATTAATATTCGATACTAGTTCAATATAATTGTTTACCGACTGAATCGGATATTGATTTTCATAGAGCGTTCATTGGCGCTATTACCGGTACTGCTTCCACATTCTTGAACTACCCACATCATTTAAACCGGTTATTTGGTGTTAACGATGAACCAGACACCGAACAATCAAAAGAAAACCGCTCGCTTTGCGATAGTAAACAATGCCAAGAACTCGGTAGGTGAACTTCTTTTTCACATTTTTACTTTGATATTTGAAACATTTTTAGACCCTTTTTATAATTTAACACGAAAATAAAATAATATAAATATAATTACAATATTACTGTGTTTAAAATATTAGATGTATCGTTACAAGCTATTTTTTCAAAAGCCAATGAAAATATCGACTTTACTTTTTCTAAATTAGATTTAAAGATTTCTTTTATTAAAATTAAATTAAAAATATTTCATAGAAAAATCGGCCCCCTACATTATTTAAGTAAAAAGAAAAATATGTAGTCGATGTCTGTGAAATTTAATTATTATATCGCTGCTTTTGGTTTAATAGCTAAAATATTAATGGAAGGCATGGACGAATCTGTGGACCCGTGCGAAAACTTTTACGAGTACGCGTGTGGAAATTGGAAAGTACACAATCCACTTCCTAAAAATGAGAAAATTTGGAACTTGATGAAGAAAACTCAAAGCATCGTTGACAAACGCCTTTTAGGTTTGTTTGAATTCGGCATTCCGTTTAGGGTACACAATAGTACGTCCAAATGAGTCTTATCGTTCGAAACGTCTCTTTCTTTATAAATAAAATACCTTGCAAATAAATTTTATCGTTTCTGTTTGTTTCTTAAAATTCTGCATCGTATTCACAGACATAATAGAACAAGATCCAAGCCCTGATGATTTCTTAGGCCTGAGACTTACCAAACGAGCATACAAGGCTTGCATGAATGCAGGTAGTATTTTAAAGTTTATCTACGAAAGTTGATTGGAAGATTAGTGCAATTTGGGAAATCCTGATCTACGAGATATAAATTTCTCAAACGATTTACAGATGAATTAGACAAGAATGGACTTCAAGGAATCGTGTTCACCTTGGCGAGAGCAGGTGGTTGGCCATTGATAATGGAAGAAGATGAATGGGACGAGCAGATATATAAATGGCAACAAGTGGACGATTATTATGCGCGTTTAATAGGATTAAACAGTTTGCATGACCTCAGCGTCGACCTGCTTGATTGGGAAAACATGAAGGGAACATTATTGCGTGTAAGTTCGTATTGTTTCCATTAATTTAAACAATAATTGTAATATTATACGATACTCCAGGTGAATAACCCGCACTATCCGAAGGGGGCGGACAGACTCGTGGGTTACGATGAAGACGACATGGACGACAGCGACGAAATCAACGAAAGTGGAGAAGGCAGTCAGGAACGAGGCAGCGAGGAAGAACCTAACAGCGAAGAGATCGAAGTCGAGGACGAGGATGATAAATATCAGAAACAACTGCAGAGAAGAGCAAACAAAAGGACCAGTGTTCATCGAGGCAAGACGAAAGCGAGGAAGAGTACCGTGAGAAGAACTGCTCACAGTGTTCGTCAAAGCAAGGCGAAGTCGAGAGAAAGATCGCCGAAACGTATGCAAAGGTCTTTGGCTGTCGACAAGTCTCTGAGGAAGAGTATCGTGAGAAGTAAACGGAGACACGAAGTTGCAAATGATGACATGTATTTTGACGATGTGACGTATAACGCGAGTAACGACGATGATGAAGAGCACGAAGAAGACAATGAAGAGGACGAAGAAAATGGTAGTGGTAGTGGCGGTTACAATGATGATGATGAACAGTACGAAGAAAATGGTAGTGGTAGTGGCGATTACAATGATGATGACGAAGAGGACGAAGAAAATGGTAGTGGTAGTGGCGGTTACTATGATGATGAATATTATGAAAGAAAAAGAAAAGAGAAACAGGAACGAGAACGATTGAAGAAAGAATACGCAGAATACATATTAAATGTTAGCTTGGCGCTTACTGAAGCCACAGGAGTCTCGATACCGAAAGAGAAGCTCGAGGAAGATATTGGCGACTTGATTAACTTTCAGATAAGCCTCATAAAGGTATTAGACATGTTTTGGGTTTCAGAAAATATATATTTCATTATTGCGGATCTTTATGCAAATTGATATTTTTATTAATAGAATTAATGAAATGGGGGCTTTCTAGAGAGTTGTCTCAACCCCTAAATATAATAATTCGTATCTCACCTTAAGTATTTCTTGGATTTTTGCGTATTAAGTGTATTCTGCAGTTTTATGAGAATTAAAATTTCCCATAAATGCGTAAACATCCGCAGACTAATTATAATATAGTAATTGTTATTTTTACAGCTAATATACAAGGACGACCAAGGACAGAACTCCACACTTCGGTCGTTACAAAAGCTATACGACGATTTAAAACCTACTACGAGCAACGGCAAAGTAAATTTTATTCTGTTTAGAAAGCTGTTTGAATGTTTCTAAACAATTTCTTTTTTTAGATCGATTGGATCAAGAAAGTACAAGATTTGTTCGCCACAGGAGGAATGGAAATTGATGACAATGTGAAAATATTGATTCCATCTAACGGTTATATCAAGGGTTTTCGGAAGCTATTGGACAGAACACCTAGCAGAACAATCGGTACGAAGCATATGTGTCTATATAATAGTAAACAATTGACGAACGAGTGATGAAAGAATCTGTAAATAATTTGATACAGTGAATTATATACATTGGAACTTTCTGAGCAGAGTAATACAAGTTACTACGAAGGAAATGAAGGATCTGTATAATAATTGGTCACAGAAGGAAAAAGATCCCAACACGAGGTAATATTTGCAAGATATTTCCAAATATTTTTATGCTGAAGTAGCGCAACAAAATTGTATTATTAAGTAAACGTTAGTAGAATCTCGATGGTTGCAAGAAAATGGGATTAATTCTTAACCATTTTTATGATAAAATAGATAATTAAGTGTTCTGTTAGAGTAACCAGTGTATTTATAAATAAAAATTGCGCTTTTACAGATCAACTGAGTGTATCGAAGAGATAGATGCGAAATACTATTTGGGATACGAGTATATAAAACGCCATTTTCCTGATGAAATTTTGAAAGCGGTAAAGATTGTGTGCTTGAAAAATGTTATTTCTGATAGAATTTATATAGTCTTTCCTTAACTATTTATTTAAGGCGTTGGACATGATCGATGATATCGAAAAGGAAGTCGAGTATCAGATCAAAGAAGCAACTTGGATGAACAATGAGGCCAGACATTTTGTTTTGGACAAATTGATGTTCATGAAGAAAATGATCGGTTATCCGAAGCAGTATCGAAACAGTACCGTCATGAAAACTTATTTCCGAGGAGTGAGTTACTTCAAACCTGTACGCATACAATTTATAATTGTCTGCTAATCTTAAATCATCTTTTCAGCTCAGCATTACTCCGTCGCGTTTCGAAAACTTTTTAAGCGTTAAGAGATATACCAAGCAACAGGATCTAAAACTATACTACTCCATGGAAGAGTTTACTCTATCAGAGTTGTATGCTTTTTAACAATTTATTATATGTCGTGTAATGTTTACAGCAATTAAAAGAAGAAATTTATTCGCAGCCCAATGTTGAATCCCTTGGACGTGAATGCCTTCTTTGACCCCGTCATGAATACCATTGGTAAGTTCTGATATCAATTATTTTCTTAGCATCGTTCAAGACACGTTGTCGTTTCAGAAATAACAGCGGCAGATTTTCGGAGCCCATTGTTTGATTTCCACCATCCATGGTAAATAGGAATTAACTTTACAAATAAATTACTCCATTGTATCCAATATTAGTAATTATTACTATGTATTTATTGCATAGGTATAGCAACTTTGGTTTTATAGGACACGTCATGGCCCACGAAGTAAATCACGGATTCAATAGTGGGGGTTAGTTATTTTAAAATAGCTTATAATTGTTCCAATATTAACAATTAAGCAATGATTGCAGGTCTCGTGTTTGACAAAGAAGGTAATTTTATGGGATTACCGGATCCAATGCAAGAGGAATATGAAAAACGAGCAGAGTGTTTTGTAGCTCAATATACTAAATACAGCATGGAGGAAAATAGAACAGCAAATATTCCTTCAATGGTTGTTATTCTGCATTTTGTATTATTGTACACGAAATTTCCATAGTGCAAATCCTTTGATTCAACAAAGTTACTTATAACATGACATCCTTTCTTTACTTTTTTTAAATCGTTTACATTAGATTAGGTTTTTGCATCGAATGTTAACACAACTTTTCTTCTTTCACGCCTGTATTGAGTTATGTATTCTCGAAATAATGTCTTTTTTAATATTTCCTTGGCGTCAGATTTATGGCGAAGGAACTCAAGAAGAGAATATTGCGGATTCGATGGGCCTGCAAGTTGCTTTTAAAGCTTACCAACGAAGACAAAGAAAATGTGCGAGACCGGATCCCATGTTGCCAGGATTACAGAATTTTACCAACGAACAAGTTTTCTTTTTATCGTTCGCCAACGTAAGTTAATTTTCTTTTTCGCTAATTTAATTTCATTAAAAACATGAATATAATAGATATTTTATTCCTTATCTTTCCTGTAAGAGATATATTTTCAATAAAACTTTTGTCGAAAAAATTGAAAATCTGTACAGACACAATGTAATATTTTATAAATGTTTTGAAACTTTCAGATATTGTGCGAAGATATTGATCTAGAAAAAGCCAAGGAACAATTAATGAAGGACCAGCACAGTTTGGGACCATTAAGAGTAATTGGGTCTGTATCTAATTCTGAGGATTTCGCCAAAGCTTACAATTGCCCTAAAGGCAGTCCCATGAACCCCATAAAGAAATGTAACATATGGAAATAAAAATAATTTTAATAGAATTTGTACCACTCAAATGCAGTAATTGTGTATTAATAAAAAAATAAAATATATATTAATTTGGTGTCTGTATCATATCTCATCATATTAAATTAAAATTCTGTACTGTACCCTATGATTGATTTAAACACAAAAACACTATCTTAAATATTTAACTGCATATGTTGTATAACTCACGTACTACATGTAAATTAAATTTTTTAAATATAGAAAATAATTAAATGAAATTTTCTTTAATTTTTAAATGATAATGTTTAAACTTTTAATATTGTATTATAACCATACTTGGGTCAAAAGAAACTATTTGAATTGTATTGTATTACATAAATTTCAACAAGTAGCAAAAATACAAGTATTGAGGATGGCTTCTAGATATTTACTTTTTTATATACTAGTTTTTAATGAAACTAAAATGTTCACTATTAAGAATACCTTTTCTCTCTCAAGTAGAAATATAATAAACACAAAAACCATAACAGTTGGTTAGCATTACACAAATGCAATTTGTTGAAATAAAATAAATTTATGAAAAGTATTATATCTTTTAGAAAATAACGAAGAAAGTTATTTTTACAAAATATCTTTAGAAAATAGCATACGATTTTTGTACTTTATGTATTCATTTCAAAGTTACGACCGTCTTAAATCAGTGAGTTCCAATTTATGGAAATAATTATATGACACTTTCAAAGACAGTACTATAAACACCACCTCAACTCTATAACAATCTCATAAATATATGTAATTAAATTATTAATTATTAATTATTAATTAATTTAAATAAAATGTAATTAAATTATTTAAATACATTTTTTTCAATACTGGCTTATATTGTTATGCAGGATGGAGATCGCCAGCGTGTCTGATTGGTTATAGTATAATCTACTTCCTATAGACCTGCTCTGTTGGGTCTGATTAATTATAGTATAATCTCCTTATTCTTGACAGAGGAACGAATATAATTTGATTACGTTTGTAACGCGTTAGTGACTATTTGTATTAAAGTTCAGAAATTTACCATTGAGGATTGGAATTAAAAATTTACTATTGACATTTGAAAAAGTAAAATTATTGCAATATTATTAAAAATAAATAACTTTTCGTTTCGTTGAATTTCAGGTTGCTAAAAATTTACCAAAAATCAATATCCTGATTATACGTTAAAGTATATTATATTATATATTATAAAATTCAATTTATATACACAAACTTATCAACTGAAATTATTTTGAATTTTTTTTGTATAAATGTATCGTGCTTAGAATGCAATTTCGATTTCATTAAAGACATACTAATTTATTATTGTATGCCGAAATAAGTCGTAGCTGTTATAGTTAACAAAATATTAAATTTTAGATTGTTATTTACCATTATATTTTGTAACAGTGCAAAATTAAAAATAAAATCTTGTACTTGGAAAATTACGTAAAATAAAACTTCTATACGTTTATTAAAATAGAATAAAAATAGAATAACAAATATAATACATGAAAAATTCTACGCAAATATGGTAATAAATTATCATTTTCTAGAAACATACTACAGATTGTGCTTTTATAAAATCTTCTAAAACTATACTTACTATTCGTTTTACATTATATTTTATAAATGTTTTTGAATATAGACTTGTATAACTAAACAATCCATCTCTTTGTATAATTAAAATGTTAACAAATAAATTGCAGGTCGTGCTAAAGAAGTTTCGAAAATTAATATTACTGTTTAATATAGACTATCGAAATTGCGAAAGCCTTGTGTACGAGTATAATCATTAGTACTAACCGGAAGGAAATAAAATCTTGTAACGAACGAATTTCCTGGGTGCAACATTGAGATATTGAATCTGCAAAACACCGAGGACAGAGGATGTACGCATTTTTTATAACATATTATGCACGCTGTGTTATAAAATCTTATCAGAACATATCGTTAACAGTATCATGGCTTCTCCCAGTCTTCAATGGATATAAAGTTGTCAACTATCATTTTCTACATCCATTCTGCAAGAAGACAGTCTGGGTGTCGCCTCGACAGTCCAGCTCAGTCTTCGTCTAGTTTAGTTCTAATTGCGTTATCAAAATGATCCGATTTCTAATCCTGTAAGACGAAATGTTTACGACCGAATATTCTAAAAATGAATATGAAATTAATTCTGTAATAATTCTTGCAGAGTGTCTTTAGGCGCCATTATAAATGCCAGTTTGTTTGACATTCCTCGTGACTTGGAAAATCTTTTTGGTTCGAGACGAGCTGTTACTGTTAAAACGGAAAAGAAAGAACGTTCGGTATGCGAATCCGAAGAATGCAAAATAATTGGTAAGTACTAACTACACTATAAAACATTATGAAACAAAAATTAATAGGTCTATAAATTACAAAGACGAATTATTAGAATGGAAAGTAATTTTTACATGTTCAGAGATTTAGTTTAAATATATTAATGAATCATAACCATGAATTTTGAATCAATCTACGAAAGCTCACTGAAATTGGAATTGGAGTCTAATTTCGTTATTTTCAAGGTTGAAGGTCTATATTGAAAGATTATTTGACTCAAATAAAGGAAAGAGAAAAACTAATAAATTAAGTTCTTATGTAAAAAACTAAATACAAATAACAGCCTGCAAATAATTAATAATTGGTAATTAAAATTAATTTTCATTTAACTCCCGTAGTTTAGACACTTTGATGATACAATATAACTTTAATGATGCAATAACAAATTAAATAAATAAGAAATCGTAGGAATAATATGTGAATATTCTCCTAAATTTAATATTGTCTTATTATCAATACTATATAATAATTTAATGCAAATATTTCGTTCCTTAATTTGTTAAACTTGTATTTGGAATATATCAGGAACAAGGAAAAGCAAGTATCTCAGGATTCAATCATACTTTTTTAAACTCACTGCACGAATGTGAAATAAAAATCTTACTTAAAATTTTTGGTGATGCATTCTCTATTCTTATATTTAATTATTATGTATAAATATTTCCTTTGTTAACAGTTTCTTAAATTATGATTAAAACACATTTTGTTGTCTCTAAAATATAGCAAACGTGATTAAGGATGGTATGGACGAATCTGTGAACCCGTGCGACGATTTTTACGACTTTGCGTGTGGAAAATGGTCAAATAATAATCCTATTCCTGAAAACGCGACTTCGTGGAGTTTATGGGACATGGTGCAAAAGAAAGTTGAAAAACAGGTACAAGGTTAGTACTACAAATTCAGAAACTGATCTGTAACAATTTCTATAAGACTTATATTAACAGGAGAATATTTTATTTCTATAGTAATATCGCCTGAATTGTTTATGTCTATCTAAATAATATTGAACTAAACGTACTTAAATTTTTCCCAAATTTCCAGGAATAATAGAGGCTGAATCAAAACCCGATGACCTGTTTGCTGTGAAACTTGCCAAAAAATGGTACAAAAGTTGCATGGATGAAGGTATTCGTTAAAGTATCCTAAATCTCCTTAAATTACGTGTAAATGTTTTCTGAAACATTCAAAATATTTCGTTTTTTCTTTCGAACTAAACAAGTAACACAATTTAATATTGTGGAAACCGTTCCAAGTAAAAGCGTTAATTAAAATCTCAGTATCGTAACGAACACACTTATCTTCAATCAGCAGAAAAATTAAATAATCATTCCATAGAGGCACAAGAAAGGAGAGGTCTCGAACCACTATTGTCCACATTGTGGAGACACGGTGGATGGCCGTTGATAATGGAAGAAGGAGAGTGGGACGGACGCATATACAATTGGCAAATAGTTGACGACCAATTTGCACGTTTGTTGGGAATGAACTCACTTCATGATCTATCTTATCACCAATATACTTATGATGGCAACAGTTCGATAATAGTACGATCGTAATACATATTAAAAATATGTATCAGTATTACATAACTCACATTTCGAATTATTTCAGGTCAGAGACCCACATTTACCACCGCATATATACAAAATTCTATCTACGGACGATAACTCCGACACGGATAGCAGCGATGAAAACAACGAAAGTGGAGAAGGCAGTCAGGAGCGTGGAAGCAAAGAAAAAGAGGACGACACGAATGTAGACGACGATGAGGAAGATAGTGATAATGTAGAAGATGAAGAGAATAGTGAAGATAACGAAAGTAATGAAGAGAACGAAGAAGAAGATACGAACGAAGAGAGATTGCGAAAGAAGAAACTGGCCAGAAGGAAGACTCACAGACAGACGAGGAAAAGAACAAAAAGGGACATTATGAAGGCAATAGCGTTTCACGATATGCGCAAATATAGAAAACATGCCGAGCATAGTGTTCATCACAGTTCGAGGAGGACGAAAGGAACTTCGTCTAAACGTGGACATTCGTCTGTATCTCGTCACGATAAATCATCCACAAAACAGAACAGTTTGAAGCACAAAGAAAATAAGAAAAGCACGAATGATGATGTGCACAGCCGAAGGAATAGTAAGAGAAACAAAGCGGTAGGAAACCATGTTCATGAGAAGAAGACGAAAAACAAATCAAAGGGTACGTCTATGAAAACCAGTGTTCATAGTAATAAGCAGCATACACGGAGGAAGATTGATAGCAATCATAGGATTCATCACGTTGGACAAAAGACGAAAGTATCAAAACACGTAGACAATAGGATGTCTTCTAAGCGTAATAATGTTGAAAACGAAAGCAACAATGAGAACGATGATGACAATGAAAGTAATAACGAAGAGAGTGATAATAACAGCAACGATAACGAGATTGATAAGGAAAATAATGACGACAGTGTTAATGTTAGCAACGACGATGACGAAAATACTGAAGACGACAGTGCAGATGAAGATGACGACGAAGGCAACGATGAAGAAGACGACAGCAATGACGAGGACGATGAAGGAGAGGATAATGATAAGGAAGACGAAGACGAAGATGAGGACGTAGATAAAGAAGAAGAAAGGAGATTAGAGATAGAGAAATATAAAGACTATATATTTAATGTTTCTTTACTGCTTTCTAAAGCCAGAGGAATAGAAGTACCAAAAGAAAAATTGAAGACGGATATTGCAAGCCTGGTCGAATTCGCAATTAAATTGGCAGATGTAAATATATTGCATGACTTTAATTATTCCGCTTTAGATTTCAATTTATTTCGAGCAAGAAATAAAACGAAAAGATTTATTCAAAGATAAGAAATAAATTATTATTGGCGAGAAATTTATTTAGGAATTTTTATTCGTTATTTAAAGAATTGTGTGACATTAGAATAAATTATTTAATTAAATATTCAAATATTTTTTCGAATGAGAATTCTGAAGCACGTATTTCATTGTTTTAAACATTTCAAGCAGTTCGTGGGTGACTAAGATTAACATTTTTTAAGCTAATTAAATGCAATTAATTTTTTTAGCTTACACGTTTGGACCATGGACCCTACGAAACGACACTGGATTCTTTCCAAGAAATGTACGATTCTATGAATCCCGCTACAAGTGACAGCAAGGTAAAATATGTTGGCTATTAGCAATTTGATTTATAAAGTTTGGATAATAATTTCAGAGGTAAGACATAAAGTTAAAAAGAATTTAAGTAAACATTTACTGCAGCTAACTTGGTATCTGACTGACAAGAATTTAATATTTTTAAAATAACGAAAACTCTGGTGTAGTTAATTCAAATTAGGCAATCGAGTGCACATTACAAAGTGCAAATCACGCCAATCAAGTGTTTACAAACACTTTTTTAATGTTCTATGAATTATTCTAGTTTGTACCTTTGAAAATGACAGCACATATTTTTGATAATAAATGAAACTTACTGTTAGTCCGAATTTTCTTTATTATTTTTATATATTTATGATATCATGGAAATTGAACATATCTCATAAAATACTTTACTAAGAATAAGTGTGATGAGACAGAGAATTGTGATGAAGTAATTGATAAATATTTAGGTAAATTGGAGAAAAAAGGTGCAGAAAGTATTTGCAGAGGCAGGTGTGGACATCGATGGCAACCCAGACATCGTGATCGCCCGTAAATATTTCAAGAAACTTCCTGCTTTACTCGACGAAACTCCAAGCGAAACAATTGGTAAAACATAATATTTTTCGTCTGTTTCTATCTCCAATTTGTTTCAGTTGTTGAAACTATAATTTTTAGATAAAAACTATCTACGTTTGTTACAGTCAATTATATTCACTGGCTTTTCATAAGTAAAATGGTGGAAATGTCCACCAAAGAACTCCAAGAGCTGGCTGAAAATTGGTTCGGATCAAAGTACTATGAGTCCAGGTAATATTATTCTTCCGTTATTAATAATTGCAAAGAGATAAGAAACTATTCTATTTTATTTTCAATTTAGAGAGGAACAGTGCGTGCAACAAGTAGAATTGAGCTCAGTAATAGGGTACGAATACGTCAAAAAGCATTTCCCGGAACAAATAGCGGACACGGTACAAATTTAAAAAAAATAACAATATTACACTCTTCTAATACAATTTCGTAATCCTTTAGTATTATCTAAAACCTGTCATTTGTTTCCAAATATTCTATGTTGTTATTAAAGGCCAGAGATATGATCGACGATATACAAAAGGAAGTCGAGTATCAGATTAAAGAAGCAACGTGGTTGGACGAGGAAACGGAACACTTCATTTTAGATAAATTAGTGAACATGAAAAATCTAGTTGGCTATCCAGACTGGTATCGAAACACTACACTTGTGAAACAATACTTCCAAGGGGTAACTTTTCTTTGACTAATAATTAATTTCATAAAACTGAGTACATCCATTTAGACGATTCTTTGTAAAGGTTTCATTGAATATTATATTTATATTAACGTTAAGGATGTTGCAATAATTTGTTAATTGATATTAAAGCTCACGATTGGTACATCCTATTATGAGAATGTATTGAATTATATGAGATATATAAAATGGAAGAGACTGCGGCAAATAATAGAGACTGAAGATAACATCGAGTAAGATTAATATTAATATCAATTACGAGCGGATCCAAGGAGCAATAGTGACGATTGTAAAATATTATATTCATTGTTCATTTTACATTATACTCTATAAATATTTAAAATATAAATTATAACTAAATTTCAAGTATTGCAAAAGTCTGTTCAAAAAGGCTCCTGGATCTGTCTCTTATATCAATATTATACAAGAAGAGTTCAGGGGCATGAAAATTATTTTCAGGATAAAACTGAGTATAATTTGTAGTATAGTATATGTATACATAGTGTTCACAAAAAGTTTCACTTTAAAGTAACGTTATAATCACAATAATAAGTGTTTATGTCTATTATTGCCTATAATTATAATACAATTTTATACTGAAATTAAAAGCTATGTTCACGCCCTTGTGCTCTCCTAATTAGATCAGCAGTATTGACACATTGTTTTATAGGGAAATGGTAGACCCTCTTATGTTGAATGCTTTCTTCGTACCGACGGAAAATATTATAGGTACGTACATAAAATCAACATTTTCATGTCACAAAATAACAAACCTGGATTACACTTCTTTTACTTACACGCTCTTTATAAAATATTTGAAACAAATACTTAATTAGAGTGTTTTTATTTAACACAGCGATCACCGCGGTAGATTTCCAAAGCCCCTTCTTTGCTCTTAACAGACCATGGTAAATATTTTATAGTTCTACTATTTTATACCCCACGTTGAAAATAACGTAATTGTTAATCATAACGTGTAACCATTAGGAATGTTAATTACGGTATAATTGGAGTCATCATGGCGCACGAAGTGAATCATGGATTCGATGATTCTGGTAAGTTGTTGCAATTACAATTTTAAGTAAAGATACTTAACGATCAATGATTACCAGGTCGCCTCTACGATAGAAAAGGATCACCGATGGAATGGTTAGCAGCAATGGCTGCAGCTTACGATCAAAGAGCTCTGTGCTTCGTTGATCAGTTTAACAACTACAGTCTAGTCAAAGGGAAAAATGCAACGGTCGAGGTGGATATTATAACTCGTTATTATTAAAAATATAAGGAAATTTCTAAATACATAGAAATTCTATTTATGTACTCTTCTAAAAATTTTCCTGCCTGCATATGAAATTAATAATTTTTATCGATATCGCTAATGGTTCCCAAGAAATCAGTAATAATTTACGTAATCTACTCCGTAAGTTACATATATTAAACTGAAACGTAGAGTTTGTGTGTGTAGACATCATTAGAACGTTAAATAATACATGATTAATTTTCCAAACGATATAATCTTTCGCAGCAAAATATCTGATTGATCTATTTTACGTAACAATGTTAAAAATTTCAGGGGTATGGTAACCAAACGATAGGTGAAAATATCGCCGATACAATGGGCTTGCAGGCTGTATATAGAGCTTATCAACGAAGGGAACGAAAGTGTGTACAACCAGACCCAGCATTGCCAGGACTAGAGAAATTCAGCAACGATCAAACTTTCTTCTTGTCGTTTGCAAATGTAAGTTTCCACCATATTTATCAAATTAGAATTCGCAGGATTCAAAAAATCATCGAGAAGTGTCATCTTGTTCTATGATTTCCTGTCATCTTTGGGGCAATTTAAATATTTCTTCGCGATAAATTCATAGCTTCATGCATTTATAAAATCCAGACCCGCGTTTATGTATTTCCTCGGTGTTTTTAAACGATTTTTCATCGAGGCATTTTTTCAATGTACGAAATAAGTAAAAATTAATCGAAACAATGTCTGTTGAATACAATAGTTGAGATAAAGCGTACCAATCAAAACTTTTGTCCCGTTATTAAACAAATATTGGATCGTACGTTATCAAGGTGGAAAACAACCCGTTTTCTAAATATGAGTACACGAACGGACTTATTATACAACCTAATAGAACTATCTCAAATATTATAAATTTACTTACAGTTATGGTGCGAAGCTGAAGATCCTGAATTGACATTAAAAGTTGCCAAATACGACGTACATAGCACAGGACGTCTCAGGGTAATTGGTTCAGTGTCGAACTCAGAAGACTTCGCCAAAGCTTTCAATTGTCCTGTGGGCAGTCCCATGAACCCTGAAAAGAAGTGCAATATATGGATATAATTTAGTTCCATTTCAAAATTTGTAAACTGTTCCAGACTTCTATTTATAGTCTTAAAAGTTATTCAAAACTGAAATATAGCATACAATTTTATTTGTGTACTGTTTCTTTGTTTCCACGCTGACATGGATAACATACTTTGGTTTCAATAATTTATCGCATAAATATGTTGACAGTTTGTCTTACCTTCGAAGTTTCTTATCGTCAAACGTACCAATAATAATATAAAGTCGAAAACAATATTGAAAATAATTGCAAAGAAATACGTAAATATAATTTAATTGTATTTCCCAATTTTTAAACTATTCTAAGTTTTTATTTATTACCTTGGAAGTGTAATTTTGTTCTAAATTGAAGACAATTCTATTTGTGTACCATTTTAATAATTAATATCAATATACAGGGTGTTAGGCCAACCCTGGGGATCATTTTAATGGAAGATTCTAGAGTCCAAAATAAGACGAAAATCAAGAACATTAATTTGTTGATTGAGGCTTCGTTAAAAAGTTATTAACGTTTAAATTCCGCCTGTAGAACGGCAATTTGCGAATTTTTTTCTCGAAAGTGCGTAGGATTTCGGAGGTGTGTTTATTCACCAAAAATGATTGAAATTGACCCCCAATACCGAAAATAATTTTTCCAGATCGTTTTGAAATTTTTTAATTAAATTTTTTTATAACTTTTTAACGAAGCCTCAATCAAAAAAATGATATTCTTGATTTTTGTCTTGTTTTGGCCTCTAGAAACTTCCATTAAAATGTTTACCAAGGGTGACCGATCACCCTGTATGTCGTTCCAATAATTTTTTGCACAAGTATCGCTAAATTTTTAAATGCCTGCATTTTGAAACTTTGCATTACTTCCGGGGTCTCTTAATGGTAAACGTAATAATAAGAATATTATGAAATGAAAAATAAGTAATGAACTAAAATTTAATGTTGAAACAATTATAAAATTTATCTAACGTTAATTGTTAAAGAATCAATTGTAAATAGTGTACAACCTTACTTACTCTATATTTATTTTGAATTTATACGAGCGATATAAAATTTACAATAAAGGAGTAACTTAAAATGATTAATTGTAACAAAACAGAATAATAAATTTCCTTCAATAAATTATACTTGTACCTTACTTTACATTTTCCAAAACGAACCAGCAAAATGTCCTGTGACTTATGGATAATAATATATATACAATTGACCTAATAAATCAAATATGAAATGATCTAATGCGTCCAATTTAAAGAATATAAAAATCGAATAAGAATATGTATACAAAATATGGTAACAACTAAACCAAACGTACATGTTTGGTTTTGTGTATATAAAATTCAAATTGTTTGTTGTAATTTTCATTACTATATGTAACTATAATTTTTGCAATATTATGAACGCTGAGTTTTGTTAAACGATCAAGCTATGGATTCTTTTTTAAGACTCTTATCCATTTATTTCGAATTATTTCTCCACAAGCATCTATTTCAGCTCTTCAGTAATATCAATAACTAATTTTACTGATTCGTACAATATAAATTGTTTCCTTTCTAATTTTATTATGGTAACTGGTAATCACCGGAAATTAGTTGTTATATATTTTAAGTCATCAAATAATGTTTCATTTTTTATAACTTCTTGGGCTAATGTGATTCAATGACCTCGAAATAAATAACGATCGTTTTATTTCGTTTGAATAATATATATATTAAACAATAACTTTACTTTTCTTATACTGTGCACGTGCTTTGCACGTCCTTCGTCTTGTTAAAACAAGTTCCAGTGGCAATGAAACATTTGATAACTTTTATTATGATTATATACACACTCTAATTCTCTAGAACTGTATGCAAAATATGTAACATGCGCAAAAAATATGCAATATGTAAAATATATGCAACATCCAAGAAAAAGAATTATATATTTAAAATCATCTAACGATGAAAAAAATTTCTGTCTAAAACGCACAATTTTATTTATTCCCTGTAAACATATGCATTTCCACATACATCCTAGACTGCGGATCTTTATGCAAATTCATATTTGTATTAATAGAATTAATGGAACGGGAGGTTTGCAGAGGAACGTTTCAACCCCTAAACATAATAATTCGTATCTTATCTTAAATGGTTCTTATATTTTTGTATATTAAATGCATTCTCTAGTTTTTTATGAATTAAAATTTTCCATAAATGCATAATCATCCGTAATCTAGTCATAACTAACGTAGTTCCTGGATATAACATTGAGATACTGTTCTGTAAAACGCCAAGGACAAAGGATGGACGTAGAAACGTGTTGTACATCTTATCAGAACATATGGTTCGCAATATCGTGGTTTCTCCCCATTTTACATGCATATAAAATTCCCACTTATCGTTTCCTACATGCATTCTGCAAGAAGAAAGAGTGGATGTCGACTCGACAGTCCGCTCCAGTTTCCAAAATGATACGAATTCTGATTTTGTAAGTAGAAATTATTTTCAGTCGAACATTCTTAAACAACAATTCGTTGATTGAGCATTTATGAAGTTAATTGTATAAAAATTCTTTCAGAGTGTCTTTAGGCGCTGTTATAAACAGCGCTTTGATACCATCCTACATGGATTTCTCTCATGGTTTGGGAAGACTTTTCGGTACGAAAGGACTAGCTACAGTCAAAAAAGAAAAAAACGAACGGGAGATATGCGAGTCCGATGAATGCAAATTAATTGGTAAGTATTAACCACTATTAATCAAAAATTATTTCCACAGATCTTTAAAGCATTAATGAAAATTAAATGAAAATTCACAGCAGTGAACTAATTTAGTGTAATTTAAGGTACATTAATTAATGAAGTATACAAATTAATTACCTTGTTTGATTGAAAGTTTCGAACCTCAAAAAAGGAATTTTGTTGCAACCATTTCTAAAATTGAAAAGCTGCAAAGGACTTACACGATTTAATTAAGCAAAAAAAGCAAATAATATGAAGTTTATCCGTTTTCGATCATGTGGTGATCACGTAAAAATACAACTACAAATACAAATAATAAAAAAAATTTATTTTTTAATACTACGTTAACGTTTCATTATTGCTGGTTTTTAAACGACGTTTATAATTGAACATTGCGTTGTTTTTAAAATATAGCAAAAGTGATTAAGGAAAGTATGGACGAATCTGCGGACCCATGCGACGATTTTTACCAGTATGCATGTGGAAACTGGTCGAATATTAATCCTATTCCTGAAAATAGGACTTCCTGGAATGTATGGGACATGGTAGAGAAGAAACTTGAGAAACAGATTCGAAGTTAGTATCGATTATACAGATTTTATCTGAAACAATTTGTAATCAATTTAACACAAGTGCCCTATATTTTTTTTAAACTGTTGAATGAAATATTAAGTGTTAATTTAATTAAAAATAGCAATTTAAATTTTTGGCTGTTTCTAGAAATAATCGCAACTAAACCAAAATCCGACGACCTGCTTGCTGTGAAATTTGCCAAATTGTGGTACCAAAGTTGCATGGATGAAGGTATTAATAAAATTTTTAGATATTATAGTAACTATAACAGAATTTACTAATGCTAAGGCTATAAAGAAATATCGAAAATATTAGTAAATGAAATTAATTTCTATTTTTGTTATTTCAACACTAGAACTATCGACAATTATGGTATATTTATTTGCACCAAAGAAATTAAAATGATAGATATTTGAAGAAATATATAATGCAGTGGAAATAAATGTTTATTCTATCTTTTATAGAAAATTACGGTAAATTTTCAAAAATTCAGTCCAGTAAGTTTCTTACAATTTTTATTAAAAACTATCAACAATTTTTACCACTTCGGTAGTTGTAGTGTTAATAACAAATAAACAAATACTAACTAAAAATTAACTTCAACAACTACTCCGTTCGAATTTGAATAAAAATCACTTCTATTCAAAAATACTATGGGATCTGTGACATGACAACAGCTATTAACACGACTGATTTAAATTTCAAACAATAAAAATACTTAATATTATAAAACGGATAGTTTACACTGATAATTGTGCTATTTTTTACTGAGAAAAAACATATATGTATAATGGTGGGGATGATTCTTCCTAATACATCCAGAGCAAAATCTTTGTGTACAGAGTGTTCGGCCACTCCTGAGAAATATTTTAATGAGAGATTCTAGAAGCCAAACTAAGACGAAAATCAAGAATATCAATTTCTTGATTGAGACTTCGTTAAAAAGTTATTAAAAAATTAAATTACATTTCAAATCATTCTGGAAAAATTATTTTCGACCGCAGGGGTCAATTGCAATCACTTTTGATGAACAGACATATACCCGAATTCCTACGCACTTTCGAGAAAAAAATTCAGAAAATGTCTAAATTTTTCAGCGAAAATAAAAAATTTCAAATCGTTCTAATAAAATTATTTTTGGTTGCTAGGGTCAATTATAATCATTTTTGGTCAATAGACATACCCCCGAAATCCTACCCACTTCCGAGAAAAAAATTTCTTACCGAAAATATAATCTGTGGCCTGAGAAATGGCCCCGAAATTTCTTACATATCTTTAAAACGTCATAATTTTTGAACGGATTGAAGGATTTTAAAGTTTCAAAATGTGAACAACGCGTATTGTGATGGAGAATATGTAGCTATTCCAAACATGTTCGGAAAGTTGTTCCTTAACCCCGTAAGGTGTGAAAAACCCCATAAAAATGGTCCAATTTTCAAACGGCCATAACCCTTACAATAGTGAATATATTTCAATGAAATTTTTTGCTGAAGTAGTGCTCACGGGTGCCTACAAAAAAAGTATTAAAAACGAATTTTTAAGAAAAATCGACAGGTGGTAAATTTTTCGGCGGAATTAAGAAGTTTGAAATCATTCTGGAAAAATTATTTTCGGTTGCGAGGGTCAATTACAATTATTTTTGGCGAATAGACACATCCCTGAAATCCTACACACATTCGAGAAAAAAATTCGTGTAGGTGGACTTTTATTAATAATTTTGTTACTAACTTTTTAACGAAGCCTCAATCAATAAATTGGTATTCTTGATTTTCGTCTTACTTTGGCCTTTACAATCTCCCATTAAAATGTTTCCCAGGGGTGACCGAACACCCTGTATACGCGGTTTGTAACTGTTTCGCAGAAGCAGAAAGAAGGAGAGGCGTCGAACCGTTAATATCAACACTATGGAGACACGGAGGATGGCCGTTGATAATGGAAGAAGGAGAATGGGACGGTCTCATATACAATTGGCAAATAGTTGACGATCAATTTGCTAGTGTGATTGGATTGAATGCGTTGCATGACTTACGTTACAGGGAACTTTATTACGAAGACAATCGGACTCTAATAGTACGATCGTAATTCACGTTAAACCTGTCTATCAGGATAAGTCTATTATTTATTAGCTATGATAATCTCAATATTTCATACGGAGATTAGTAATTAATATTAGCTATACTATTTCCCAACATTTCAGATGGAGAGTAGTAATAAATATTAGTTACGATATTTCTCAATATTTCAGTTGGAGACTCCACATTTACCGGTCGGCATATACTCAATGCTGTCTGATAGTTTTTACCCTTCCTTGGATAGCAGCGATGAAAACAACGAAAGCGGAGAAGGCAGCCAGGAGCGTGGAAGCAAAGAAAGGCGGAAAAATGATAATGAAGATGATGATGATGTAGAAGATGAAGAGAATAGTGTAGATAACGAAGATAATGAAAAGAACGAAGAAGAAGATACGAACGAAGAGAGATTGCGAAAGAAGAAATTGGCCAGAAGGAAGACTCACAGACAGACGAGGAAAAGAACAAAAAGGGACATTATGAAGGCAATAGCGTTTCACGATATGCGCAAATATAGAAAACATGCCGAGCATAGTGTTCATCACAGTTCGAGGAGGACGAAAGGAACTTCGTCTAAACGTGGACATTCGTCTGTATCTCGTCACGATAAATCATCCACAAAACAGAACAGTTTGAAGCACAAAGAAAATAAGAAAAGCACGAATGATGATGTGCACAGCCGAAGGAATAGTAAGAGAAACAAAGCGGTAGGAAACCATGTTCATGAGAAGAAGACGAAAAACAAATCAAAGGGTACGTCTATGAAAACCAGTGTTCACAGTAATAAGCAGCATACACGGAGGAAGATTGATAGCAATCATAGGATTCATCGCGTTGGACAAAAGACGAAAGTATCAAAACACGTAGACAATAGGATGTCTTCTAAGCGTAATAATGTTGAAAACGAAAGCAACAATGAGAACGATGATGACAATGAAAGTAATAACGAAGAGAGTGATAATAACAGCAACGATAACGAGATTGATAAGGAAAATAATGACGACAGTGTTAATGTTAGCAACGACGATGACGAAAATACTGAAGACGACAGTGCAGATGAAGATGACGACGAAGGCAACGATGAAGAAGACGACAGCAATGACGAGGACGATGAAGGAGAGGATAATGATAAGGAAGACGAAGACGAAGATAAGGACGTAGATAAAGAAGAAGAAAGGAGATTAGAGATAGAGAAATATAAAGATTATATATTTAATATTTCTTCAGTACTTTCTAAAGCCAGAGGAATAGAAGTGCCAGAAGAAAAACTGAAGAAGGATATTGCAAACCTGGTCGAATTCATAATTAAATTGGCAGAAGTAAGTGAATTAACCCTTAAATATTGTTGTTCATTTCAACAGGAATCTGACCAGTTTCCTATTTAATTTTTGTATTATTATATTTGTAAAATGTTTATTCATCGATGCTGTAAATTGTATAAGTTTAATGCAATATTATTTATGGACAGTTAAAGCTTCAGTATTTTGAAAGAAATAATATGCATGGGTCAAAATGAACCGGGTATCCGTTGGGCAATATTATTATTACTAATTTAATTTTGCATTACACTACAACATTCTTGACCGTGAAGAAGCACAGTTCATTGTCTTAAATGTGTTCCATAATTGTTAATGAAACTAAGCAAGCTAGTTCAATTTAACGAATTTTTTTCAGCTTTCTTCTGTGGTTTATATCTACGATTCTAAAGAAATTTCAACAACACTTGATTCTTTCCAAGAATTGTACGACTCATTCAAACCTATTACAGCTAATAGCAAGGTAAGATGTTTTGCTTGGATAATGTTGTTTCAGAAAATATGATAATAGTGATTACGGAATAAAGAAAAGAAAGAATTTGTATAAATGCTTAAATTGACAAACCTTTGTATGGCTTTAATAACGTTTACATAAAATTGAAGTATAATTCAAATTGACCTTTTTATATCAATGTATATAAATATTTATAAATATGTAGAAACATAATATAAATCAAAATTACGATCTCTTATTACCAATTTTAATTTGTTTTTCTCTAAGAAATCATATAACTTCTTATATGAAGGTTGACAAAGAAATGATGCAACATAAAATGGATTATAACTTTGCTAACTATGCCATTTAAATTATTCGCATGTTTCATGAAACACTCGACAAAAAATAAGTATAATAGAGGAAATTAGGATGAAATAATGGATAAATTTTTAGGTAAATTGGAAAAGAAAAGTGCATAAATTATTTGACGAAGCAGGTGTAGAGATCAATGATGACGTAGATATTCTTATAAATACTCCTGAGTATTTTGAAAATCTTCGTTCGTTGCTTGATGAAACACCGAGCGAAACAATTGGTAACTTTCATATTTTAAATGTTTTTCTGATTGTTTCCAATCTTTATTGAATATAAACACATACCGTATTCCTTAATATAAACACAGTGCGTTTGTTACAGTCAATTATGTTCACTGGTATTTTGTTGAGAAACTAGCATATATCATAGAAGATTTGCGAGGAATAGCTGAAAACTGGATGGGAATGACGATATTTGAATCCAGGTAATGCGATTATTATGGTTCGAATAGTTACGAAGGAATATTAATATACTCTAGTTTGTTTTTAATTCGCTTTTCCGTAGAGAGGAACTATGCGTAGGACTTTTAGAAATGAATTCAATAGTGGGATATGAATACGTCAGACAGCATCTCCCGGAAGAGAGAGAGAAAATGGTATAAATTCCAAAAAAAGAAAAATACTTTTGATGCTCTCCTAATACAAAACTTCGTAATACTTTGTTATTATTTAAAAGCTGCCAATTGTCCTAAAATATTGTACGTTGTTATTATAGGCCAGAGATATGGTCGACGATATACAAAAGGAAGTCGAGTATCAGATTAAAGAAGCGACGTGGTTGGACGAGGAAACAGAACACTTCATTTTAGATAAATTAGTGAACATGAAAAATCTAATTGGTTATCCAAAGTGGTATTTAAACGATACGCTTGTGAAAAAACACTTCCACGGGGTAACTGTTCTCCGACTAATAATTAATTTCATAAAACTGAATACATCCATTTAGACGATTCTTTGTAACGGTTTTGTTGAATATTTTATTTATATTAATGATAAGGATGTTGGATTAATTTGTTAATTAATGTTAAAGCTCACGGTTGGTCCATCGTTCTATGAAAATATGCTGCAATACGCCAGATATGCAAAATGGGATAGTTTACGAGAAATAGAGGAGCAGGATGATGACGAGTAAGATCCTGCTTATTAACATTAATAACAATATTTCAAATCAGTACTGTAAGGTCTTAATATTTTACAGAGATGTCATGAATCCGCTTGAGTTGAATGCTTTTTTCATGCCGACTGAAAATTCCATCTGTAAGTACATTCAAAGATATATTATTACGTTACAAAACTTAAATTAGTTGTCTGGAAAAAAAACACAAAATAATATTTTTATTTCTCATAGCGATCACCGCAGTAGATTTACAGAGTCCCCTCTTTGCACTCAACAGACCATGGTAAATATTTTAAACGTCTACTGTATCGTACGCCATATTGAAATTTATGTTTTCTTCAATTCGTAACAATTTTTTATCAGGAGTGTTAATTATGGTATAATTGGGGTTGTCATGGGACACGAAGTGAATCATGGATTCGATGATTCTGGTAAGTTGTTGCAATTGCAATTTTAAGTAAAGATACTTAACGATCAATGATTATCAGGTCGCGTCTACGATAGAGTAGGATCACCGATGGAATGGTTAGCAGCAATGGCTGCAGCTTACGATCAAAGAGCTCTGTGCTTCGTTGATCAGTTTAACAACTACAGTCTAGTCAAAGGGGAAAATGAAACGATCGAGGTGGATATTATAACTCGTTATTATTAAAAATATAAGGAAATTTCTAAATATATAGAAATTCTATTTATGTACTCTTCTAAAAATTTTCCTGCCTGCATATGAAATTAATAATTTTTATCGATATCGCTAATGGTTCCCAAGAAATCAGTAATAATTTACGTGATTTACTCCGTAAATTACATATATTAAACTGAAGCGTAGAGTTTGTGTGTGTAGACACCATTAGAACGTTAAATAATACATGATTAATTTTCCAAACGATATAATCTTTCGCAGCAAAATATCTGATTGATCTATTTTACGTAACAATGTTAAAAATTTCAGGGGTATGGTAACCAAACGATAGGTGAAAATATCGCCGATACAATGGGCTTGCAGGCTGTATATAGAGCTTATCAACGAAGGGAACGAAAGTGTGTACAACCAGACCCAGCATTGCCAGGACTAGAGAAATTCAGCAACGATCAAACTTTCTTCTTGTCGTTTGCAAATGTAAGTTTTCACCATATTTATCAAATTAGAAGTCGCAGGATTCAAAAGATCATCGAGAAGTGTCATCTTGTTCTATGATTTCCTGTCATCTTTGGGGCAATTTAAATATTTCTTCGCGATAAAATTCATAGCTTCATGCATTTATAAAATCCAGACCCGCGTTTATGTATTTCCTCGGTGTTTTTAAACGATTTTTCATCGAGGCATTTTTCAATGTACGAAATAAGTAAAAATTAATCGAAACAATGTCTGTTGAATACAATAGTTGAGATAAAGCGTACCAATCGAACTCCAAAACTTTTGTCCCGTTATTAAACAAATATTGGATCGTACGTTATCAAGGTGGAAAACAACCCGTTTTCTAAATATGAGTACACGAACGGACTTATTATACAACCTAATAGAACTATTTCAAATATTATAAATTTACTTACAGTTATGGTGCGAAGCTGAAGATCCTGAATCGGCGTTAAGAAGTGCCAAATACGACGTGCATAGCACAGGACGTCTCAGGGTTATTGGTTCAGTGTCGAACTCAGATGACTTCGCCAAAGCTTTCAGTTGTCCTGTGGGTAGTCCCATGAACCCTGAAAAGAAGTGCAATATATGGGAATAATTTAAACATATTTATGTATTGAAAGTTCGACGTTTCAATTTACAATCTTAAAAGTCTAATGTTATTCAAAACTGAAACGAAGTACTTGTATACATTTATTCGTAAAATTATATCTTTCTAAAGATTATTTGTGTGTATGAATCACCTTGTATATGTATATCCTTGAGCTACTTATTTTACGAGGAGCAGAAACGTTCAATAGATGATTAATTAGTAAACCAATTACATTGCATTACACTTTAGTATCCGACGATGATATATCCACTTCGGAGCTTACCTAATAATTAGAATTATCTGAAACAGCCCCGGGTAAGATTGTAAGATCCATCATCTTTCGATCTACTTGAAGGAAAATAATTTTGCACACGTATTGTTGTGTTGAAAAATCAAATCTTAGTAATACTAACGACACGTTGCTCTAGTTTATCTATTAATATGTTTTGCAAGTCATATGATCTGTTAACAAATTTTAATTTGAATTATGTTATTATGCTTCCTCTACCCTCACTTGTTGACAATTTAATTTTTCTTAAATCGATCAAATATGTATATTTGGACAAAGGTTATTAAAAAGTTTCAAATCATTCTGAAAAAATTATTTTCGGTTGCGGGGGTCAATTGCAATAACTTTTTATGAATAGACATACCCCCGAAATCCTATCCACTTTCGAGAAAAAAATTCGAGTAAATGTGAAATTTTTCGACAAAATTAAAAAATTACAAATCGTTTTAAAAAAATTATATTTAGTTACAGGGGTCAATTACAAGCATTTTTGGTGGATAGAGATACCCCGAAATCCATTGCACTTTCGAGAAAAAAATTTTTTTCTGAAAATATAATGTCTGATCAGAGACATGAATGATTCCCCTGAAATTAAATGCAAATCTTTAAAACATCATAACTCCTGAACGGATTGGAGGATTTTAATGCTTCAAACGGCAAACAATGCGTATTTAGGTGAAGAATATGTAGAAATTACAAGACTATTCGAGAAGTTGGTCCTGAACACCGTAAAGTGAGAAAAACCCCATAAAAGTGGTTAAATTTTCAAACGACCATAACTCCTACAATAGTGAATATATTTCATTGAAATTTTAGGGGGATGTAAAGCTCGTGGATACCTACAAAAAAGTACTAAACAAAATTTCCGTAGAACGTCAAACAAATTTATTAAGAATGAAAAATGAATTTTTAGAAAAATTCGACAAGTGGGGGTAGATGTTGAAATTTTTCGGCGAAAAAAAAAGATTCAAATCATTCTGGAGAAATTATTTTCTGTTGAGGGGGTTAATTACAATCATTTTGGCGAATAGACACACCCTCGAAATCCTACATACTTTCAAGAAAAAAATTCTTTACCAAAAATATACTGTGTGACCAAAAATATTTCCCCGAAAATGCGTATGTTTAAAAAATCATAACTTCTGGACTGATTGAAGGATTTTAGTGATTCAAAATTCAAACAATGCGTATTAATGGAGGTCTAGAGCCGCATAAAAATGGGCCGAGAAAATACATTGGATGTAAGGTCTACTCATATACCTCGTCTATGGTGAGAATTACTGTCGCTTGCACGCAGCTGTTCGCAGATTGCCGTTCTACAGGCGTAGCTTTAAACGTTAATAACTTTTTAACGAAGCCTTAATCAACAAATTAGTATTCTCGATTTTCGTCTTATTTTAGTCTCTAGAATCTCCCATTCAAATTTTTCCTAGAGGTAGCCGAACACCCTGTATAGTATAGTTTGCGTATAATATTTAAAGCAAATGAGGATGTTAGGCTACCATTTTACCATTTTACCATTAGAACAAATATATTTGAACCGGCCTAAAAGTATCCTTTAAGCTAAAATGAGGTCGAAAAGGAAAGTTTCGATTTTAGTCCAGTGTGCAACGTACGGCGCGTAACAATGTTAACCCAGCCATAAGTCGTTCGCGTTATATCAGAAGCGTAAGCGCCTATCCACATTGCATCGTTAACGGCATGGGTGTTGCAATTCGGTGAGACAGTTGTAGATCGATGTAGGGACAGTAAATTAGATCGGGCAAAGGAACATTACCTAACTGTAGCACGAGCGCTCATCTTCAGGCGCAGGCCTTCAACACTTTCACAGATCAAATAGAAGTGGTGAAACTCCTCCGATTATACCAGTACATCGGATGGGTATATATCGCGTTTGCTCGGCCAGAGAAAGCACGCTCTGAATCATCGGAATAAATGGTCGCCGTTTAGAACGGATGCATCCTATTATAATGTGCACATCCACCGATAAAACTAACCCTATCGCCGATCGATCGTGATATCGTGATAACGTGCTTAGAATTGCTAAATTTGTACCGTGCATTCGTTGTTTCTCTCTCACCGTACCAATGATCCGCCATATTGCGCTTTTCCCTTATGTCGCGTAAGCCGATATTCCATAAACAAGGACGAATCAGACTACTTTTACTATTTTACTTCACTGTTATGATTACTTGTAATTTTATACTTAACTTTTACAATTACTTATAATTTTACACTTCACTTTTACAATTACGGAACGAAACTTTTATTTTCGAATAAGTGTTTCATTTACCGAATAACGAATAAAAACGTCATTTTTAATTTAGTATTTCTTGTTTTTCACATGCCTACATATCGACACAATTATTTTACTTTTTTTGGTATATTATTGTACTTTAATTTAACTAATATTATGATTCCTCAAAATCCCCTAGTTACAGCCAACCCAGGGTTTGGGACACCATTTTCTTTCCCCTAGATCCGTCCCTGTTTATTGGTTTCGATCTTCGGTAGATCTTCAAACGCCGCAGACAATATTTACAGTAGTAATTTCTTAGCTTTAATAAAATCTTTATTGAACATTTATTATTTCACATTTAACATACGAGAAAATATTCGAAATAATCTAATATTTGGATGTCATTTCGTGCTCAATGATTGTCTTTTACTATTATAGTTAATTATTTGTTCAGTAAAGTTGTCAGTGAACTAAATCAGAGTTGGAAACAGTTTATTTATGACTAACAAATATAAAAGTTTTGATCCATTCGTAAACTAAATTCTGTTTACGTTTCGTTTGTAAATTTATTATAAATTAAAATCAATTGACGGATTTTTTTTAAATTCGAAACTTTCAACGAACATATCTACAGAAACTAGTCGTTTCAGAGATTTCAGAAATCAGCTTTCCAATTTGTACGACCACACATGCTGTTGATCGCACAAAACGGTTCAAACGAAACTCCAGTTGCGATAGATAATATACCATAACAAGACATACCCTTTCTGAGATCATCTATTAGTTACTGACACGCTGAACGTTCGAAAAACCAGTTATTCTACAACACGTATAGTTGTAAAAAGCTAAGCATCTCCTACACAATGACTTTCTGGATGTATTTATTAAAATTGTTTTCTATACTTTGTTTATATTTGGTACATCTAAAATTTTAAATATATCTGAAGAGGCTTCAAAAAATGTTGCCCAAATTAAAGTTACTACATTTGATGATTCTAAAAACTGGGACAAGCTGGAGTTCATTTCCAAATGTAAATGCAAAATTTGAAAAATTATTGATAATATAATTTTTTAATTCTTAACTAATAAGAATTCTTAAGAAGAATTTAATTCTTTTCTAAATATAAATGGTAATTAAAAAAAAAACTGTATTTATGTTTTAAACATTTGTATTTAATTTAAATAGTTTCACAAATTAGAATTTATTTAAAAGTATATAATAATAAATTTCTTAGCATTTTTGGGGCTAAAAAATGTATAAAGAAATATCTCAATTTTGGTAGTTAAAAGTTAAAAATAGTTTCAAGTATTTCTCTTATTTCATAATATGATTTTTCAGAATTTTAAAAAACTCTATATTGAGATGTGATTATTAGAAATGTAATGGAATTTACGCGATACATACTTCATATTTTATGTATGTGTCCAATGACTTAATCATCATGTTAAAATTACATTCATCATTCTAGATTACATAGCATTGCTGACCGTGATTACAGGTTTCAAGTAACCAATGTAATTTGTAGACACATTTCATTTAGTTTACCATATATTATAACAAGTGTAACAAGTTGAAAATATCGATTTTTTAAGATTTTAAAAATTTCATCTAATTTTTTATTTCTGTCAATCTAAATAGTATATTTAAAAATTGAAATGTGATCGACAATGTCAAATTCAAAAGGAAATTGAAAATTTTGTTTAATTTTAAATATCTATAAGTCACGAAAAGAATATATTAATTACCCTCTAAACTATGTACCTATAATTAAATTACAATCAGTATATACTGATTATTTATTATTATATATTATATATGTTATATTTTACAATTTTATTATTTTAAATTTCAATTTTATGTTCTAAATATACTGATTGTAATTTAATTATAGGTACACAGTTTAGAGGACCGTTTTCGTGACTTATATAATTTCAAATTAGAGAAAATTTTCGATTTTCTTCTGAATCTGAAATGCTCATTTTTTATTTCAATATACGAATATGTAGAACATAAAATTTAGGATTGAAATTGAAAATAATAAAATTGGATAAAAAATGGCGATTCCAGATTCAGAAGGGAATCGAAAACTTTTCCCAATTTTGAATTTTTATAAAGGGAGCTGAAACTGAAGTAAGAAGAAGACAATCATGAACGAGACCAAAGGTAGCGAGGAATAAGTATTTATCATTAGCGAATCAATCACGCTGAAAGAGAAAGAAGAAAATCATAAAGCATTTAAGAGATAGAGCGATTACAGAAATTGCGCTTTGCGAAGGAAAGCGTACGCGATATAATGAGCATAATAAATTACTCGTTTGAAGTGCGCTTACGATGTCGTGGAGAAACAATCGGACTGCATAAAACTGCAAAAGTTGCACTGCGTACGTAAGCCGGAGCAATTGCTTCACGTAACAGTTATCTCCGAAACCAATTTGCTATCTTTCCTCGTTGACGCACCGTTGTAGATGATAATCATCGGAAAAACTATTAAGCAAGTTCCTCGAGTTAATTTAGCTATTCGTAATTTCATCTATTCTTGCCCATTTACTCCCCCCCAATGGTAATGTCTTTCTACTCAGAATGCAATAGAGATTAATCTCTACGTATCTCGTACGATGCGTTTAAATATACGTTCAATTCCATAATGGCCATTGTAATTCTTCTAATTTCGCATCAATACGTTTTCGATAAATTAAATATTGCGTTTCTCAAAGTTCCTGAACGATATGCTACGATACAACGATAGAGAAAATTCTTATCTACATAACTTCGTTATTTGTTCGATGAAAATTATGATTCGAATCTACAAATTTCTTGTTGAAGAAATGAAAGTGGTCGATCTAATAAACGTAGTAAATAAATCTGTATGGTGATTCTATTTATTGTGCATTGCTTGAATAAAGCTATTTTTGCACGGTTCCTTGTATCCGAACATTCCCTCGAAATTTGATCTTGAAATCTGAAAGGACCAAAGTCGTTTTTCGTGCAAAGAGAATTTAAAAAATCTTATATCTTAAAATCAATAACAAAAATAATTGATTTTTTACGTCAAAATTTGACACTAAAATCGACACAAATTGTCTAAAGCGACAAAAGTATTATAAGTATGATTCTATCCTATTTTGAACGAACTTTTTTCTCGAGCAATCGTATTATTTTATAAAAGTAAAAACATCCCCAAGAATTGGCTCATATCGCACGTCCTTTTTCGAACAAACTCTGAACAAATTCGTTACGGATTATCTAAAAATAAAAACACTATCGGTAGAAATGTTATTTAAAATAAAAATGTTGCGTTAAGATGGATCGACGATAAAGTTGTCGTTGCGATTGTGTCGCAAGTCGCGAATGGGTTTCTTTTTCCAACGGATTCCGAGCAAATTTCGACGGCAGCTTTTCCCAAGCGATGCATCAATGCCACAGGGAGCATCAGCTTTATCAAGCATAAAACAGTTCGCCTCTGGTCATTTATTAAATCTGAATACTCGTGGCGGTGTTGCGCGATGCAATTTATGCACAAGGATTCATCGAGTCTCGCAACGCGCAACGGTACATAGTCGATGTATAATAAAACGGACACGACGAGATACAATCGAAACTGTTCTAAACCGATTAAGACGAATTTCAGGATTCGCGAACACTATAAATCTCTGATCGTAAAAATCCAAGGTACCCGACGCGCTATCTCGCTTGTTTACGATGAGGTGCTGATACAATAAACCTGTGACGCAATCTTGCATAATGTATCCCTATCTTAACCAACATCCCACGTTGCCACCACCTGTATTCAGCACGAATTCACTGATTGCACAAACTTTCTGCATCCAGGATGCAAGCGTGTGTACACATTGAACAGTTGAATCCGTCTGTCTGCGTGCCCTACTAATTCCGAGACGCGACATTTTTCGGTATAATTATAACAAATCTGGGCTTAATTAGTCGGGCTAAATTAATTGTGCATCCGCTCAAATACATTCGACGTCGCACGGTTTCCACCGAACAATTTCCCTCCAACGACAAACGACGTGTATTTAAATTCGGTATAATAAAAATTCATTTTGTGCGTCGAACAGAATGCCATTTACCATTTTTGTTATTACAGCTGTTAATAATAATGAAATTAAGATACCAATAAACCATACACGAACAAATTGAACGAATTCATTTTTAGTAGAAAATTTACTTAAAATTAAATATTAAATATAAAAATAATTTTATCTCTCAAATAAAAAAATACCAATAAATCATGCATGAATAGATTAAATGAATTGATTTACAGTCGGAAATTTAATCAAAATTAAATATCAAATATAAAAGTAATTTTATGTTTCAAATTTACCATTTTTATTATTGTAGCTATTGATAATAATGAAATTAAGACACCAAAAATTATACATGAACAGATTGAATGAATTCATTTAGAATAGAAAATATATTCAAAATTAAATATTTTCGACCACAATATTTAATCAAAAATTAGCAATGAGAAAAAAGAATGCATCTAAAAATGAGTTACTAATAATACGAAATACTTATTATACTAAACAGAGATGGGCAAATTTCTTATGTTATTTTTCCAATTAAATTACCTCAACGACTGTTCGAACACGTGGATAAACAATCTAGTAATAAACAAATATAAATATGATTTGAAACACAATTTTCTCCGAAAAGCTTCATTTAAACACAAGATGCGTACCAAGAAGTATAAATTTTATCAAAATTTACCATTTCTGTCGTCGCTAATGAAACATAACGAATTTACAAACGCATTTTAATTACGCAATACGAAATAATCAATATCGGATCACGTGACGCGAATTCGCCTGAAAATCGGTTATACGAAAGTGAAGTTACGTTGTGTAATTTGCTAGGATTCGGTGCATCTCTTCATTCAATCCGTTCACTTATCCAGCGTAGTCCATAATTCCATGCTAAAGGATATGATTAAAATGCATTGATTCCAGTTGATCAAGATTCACGTATGTACATTTTAAGCAGCGATGTTCTTAACTCCTTCATGTCTCAATGACGTGTATCTCGTAAAAACGTTATGAGAAAGTCTCGCTGGCAGAAAGTACATCGTTGCCTTAACCGCGCGGGACATAATAGGTTTAATTGCCATCTCTCCTTTTCAAGTCCTCCCTCTATGAATTACGCGGTCCCACTTTTTACAGAATCTTTCGGTCGGTTTCGTGCACATAGATGGTACACTTTTTTTAAATGTAAAGAAGAAGCTATATATTATTCCGTGCAAACGTTAGAAGTTTAAAGGTCTCGTTGTCCCCGTTTGCGATTCAGAAAAACAGTTAACGCATTTATGTCACCAGCACAAGAACTTAAAAAATGGCGACGTTTCCTATCTGTACAACTTGTTCTAATACATCAAAAATCGTTTCCTTAAAATTGTACCTTTACTCTTATTTAACTTACGTTTTCTTCATTTTTATTCGTTTTTCAAACTTGTGTGTATTATTTTTTACTGTTTGGATAGCTGAAGAGGACCATGTATGTTGACGTATTGCTTGATATTACTAAGGAATATGCATCATAAGACACGCAAAAGCAAACAGTAAAATAAAATTTATTCTACTCACTTCTTGAAGAAATTCTTCTATTTGTCATTATCGATTGTCTGTAGTAAATTGCATGCCATTTCGATCCGTTTAAGGCCAATAAAGGACAATTGTATCTGGATCTTCTACGAGGTAAACTTTGCGTTCTGAAGTTACACGTTCTAGAAGATTACCAAATTGAAAGTACAAGGAAAGTGTATTACGCCACGCAGAAATCGTCCCGTATCAAATCCATGACATTCGCATCGAAGGCTGCTTATAGGTTGTGAAATTAAAAGGATGATCGGGAAGAATAGAGCAGTAGCTTTAGGGTTACCGATGAGTAACAAAACATTCGCTAAATCTATGAATCATTTTGTTTCGTAATCAATCGAATCTCCAATTGAAACAGATAATAATGTATATATAGTAGATTGTATAACTTCTCAGACGGTGGTGTAAAATAAAAAGTTAACGTTTATTAAAATATATCTTATCGGTAATTTGTATTTAGAAACGAAATAGAATTTTATCCACGGAAAGTTGTGATATAATACCATCTCGATGTCGGTTCACTATACTTCTCTTGATACATTAAAAAAATGGAGGGTCGTAGAGCTGTAGCCATCGTCTCGGAGGCTCGAATTTACCAACCAATTAATTATCAATTAGACGCGCCCGATATATCATCCATCGGTAGATAACATTCCAGATTCTAATTAGATGGTTATCTCGTAATTAGCGCACTCGTTTAGCGTTGCCCAACGTCTCATTCGACGGGATGCATCGAGGAAGAGCACGAGGCATCAAACAATTTCGTGAAAGTCCCAATGCGAAGACGAGCAGTATTAATCAAGCCGGTTAACGAAGACGAGCGGTCGAAGTTGCCATCCTTAGAAGGTCCGTATCCTTACGAAGTCCTGCATCCTTCTTCGGACCACTCGTCTCCGACAGAGAAGCACCACGAGGAGAGCGATGCTCCAACTTAATGATGCGCCGCATTGCGTTACAATATAGGATTCGTAACCCGTGAAATATGGAACGAACCCGTACTCTTGGTGGCTGCTGCTACGGTCCCACTCTTCTTCACCATCACTACCGTCACCGACTGATTCAACACCACCGTGACACAGTTACACGGTGCCTCGCTGTAAATCCTACCGCTTGCACCAAACCATGATCTAGAAACACGGATGAATCCCGGGATATATAAAGCGGATTAGAACCAAAGTTTGTCATTCCCTCGACACCGTCCTACGGTGGAAGGTGTGCACACAGTCAAGGTAGTCCCGAACGCAGGAGCACAGGCGTACCTGGTGCAAACACCTCGCGTGTTCCGCAGGCTCACCTTCTCAAGGATAAACGAGGGAAAACGTGGTTTATTGTTCGACGAGAGACCCGCCGATTTAGCACCATGTCTAAGGTGAGGAAACTGAGGGCAGAGGTAGAAGGGAAATTATATCTGTTGCAACTGATAAGCATCGAATAGGAAGAAGCTCGCGGCGAGGATTGCCTCTGTGCCGGAATGTCGTGGCGTTCTATGTCGAAATCGCTACTATAAGATCAAGTATGCTCTCGGAGGACAATTGAAACACGTTGTACTTGGGATCCTAGAATTCTCTACGAAGGGATGGAGAATGTAGATTGTCGTATTGTTTGGAAGAGAGAGACCGCGATATTTGCGACATCGTGCCCTATTTCGATTGCTTGTAGGAATAATTCGCGACAAACTCTTGTCGAAAATTAATAACTTGGAAGATCCTTTTTTTCTCTGTGATCGATCGATAGCTAGATATCAAATAGACCTAAATTATGCCTTTGCAGATCGGATTAGCAGTATTCATCGTGGCCCTCACCCTGGTGCGCTCCGAGCCTCCAGTGAATTCGTATTTACCACCGGGCGGCGGTGGTCCTGGGGGTGGAAATGGAGGAGGCGGCGGAGGACCGTCGAACACGTACGGACCACCCGGTTTCGATAGTCAAAATGGCAACGGAGGAGGCAATGGGGGAGGTGGCGGTTTGTCGAACAGTTACGGGGTACCGACCGGTGGAAGTAACGGTTACAATGGCGGTGGTTCTGGTAATGGAAGACCCGGTTCGAACGGTGGGAGAAACGGTGGCGGCAGAGGAAACGGTTTCGGAGGTGGTCAGCCTTCCAGCTCCTACGGGGCACCGTCGAATGGATTTGGCGGAAACGGGGGCTCAGGAAACGGAAGACCATCGAACAGCTACGGAGCACCTGGTGGAGGAAACGGATTTGGCGGTGGTAGCAACGGTGGTCCAGGCAAAGGCCAGTTCAATGGCGGACCGTCGAGCAGTTACGGAGCTCCCGAAACCGGAAATGGTTTCGGTGGTGGTAACGGTGGTGGAGCTCCATCCGGTCTTTACGGGCCACCGGGAAGGAACGGAAACGGGCAGGGGAGAAACGGTGGGAATGGCGGCAACGGTGGACGGCCATCGAGCAGCTACGGTGCACCATCTGGGAACAATGGAAGACCGTCGGGACTTTACGGGCCACCAGGCAGAAACGGAAATAACGGTGGTGGAAACGGAGGATATAACGGTGGTAATGGTGGCAGTGGTAGTTTTGGTGGAGGCAACGGTGGATACTCGTCCGGAGGACAGAACGGAGGCAGCGGCGGATCAGGTGGAAACGGAAGTGGCAATGGCGGTTACCCGTCTGGTGGACCGGGTGGAAACGGCGGTGGCAATGGCGGTTATCCCTCGGGAGGACCGGGTGGAAGTGGAAATGGTAACGGTGGTTACCCGTCCGGTGGACCGGGTGGAAACGGTAATGGTGGTTACCCCTCCGGCGGACCGGGTGGAAATGGCAACGGCAATGGCGGAGGTTACGGCGAAAATGGACAAGATGAAAGTAACGTGAGTAAAACTTACAAATTATGCACAATATGGGACTGTTTATCATTACTGATATCATGACATCTATTTACTATATTCGAAGTCGAATTATGAGTAGCAATTTTCTGAACCCTCAAGGTCTCCACACTTTTTCCCAAGGAAAAGAATCCTTGTAAAGTTCACTGAAAAATAATCAAGTAGCTTTGCAAACTTGTTCACTTACTGTTTCGAACATTACCGTCTCGAACATTATTTAATTCATTAATATAAAAAATAAAAATCGTACAATAGAGGATTAGACTGCAAAATTCTGGCTTATACTACAGAAAAATAATAGCTTAAAGTAGTATCTTACGGAACAGTGAATTACACTAAAGTATTCTATATTACGATCAATATATTCATGTAATTTGTAATGACCTATTGTTACCGTTGCTATGTTATTCAGTGTTATAAACAATTGGAAAAAGAATAATTATTGTTTAGGAACCAGCGAAATACGAATTCTCTTACGAAGTGAAGGACGAACAGTCCGGAGCTGATTACGGGCACACGGAAACCAGAGACGGAGATCGTGCACAGGGTGAATTCAACGTTCTGCTTCCTGATGGAAGAAAGCAAATTGTTGAATACGAAGCCGATCAAGATGGATTTAAACCTCAAATTAGATACGAGGGCGAAGCAAACTCCGAAGGATACGGTTCTGGTGGACCGAATGGAAACGGTGGAGATAATGGATACCCAAGCGGAGGTCCTAATGGAAACGGAAATGGAAATGGAAATGGCAATGGCAATGGTGGCTATCCATCGGGAAGGCCAGGTGGCAACGGCGGTGGTTCCGATTTTGGTGACGGTAAACGAATATCATTATTCGATTAGAATAATAATATAGTTTCATGTATGTTTTGATTTTAAAAATTAATATGTTCATTAGTTCTAATAACTAAGCAAGAAACGTTTTTGACCCTAAGGTATCGATCCTCTTTAAACTTCACAAAGGTTATCTAAAAAAGAAGACAAGAAGAGAATACGGAATTGTAAACTATTGATATTGAAAATGTATTATTATTTTAAATAACCTTCGTGAAATTTTGAGAAGATCCAAACCTTAAGAGTCGAGAACGTTTATTATTCGTTTGTCAAAACTTATAGATATATTAATTATTCAATTAATTTGCATCTGTGGCGCCATACAAAACTGTATCCATTACTGTAATAGTTTCTTTTATCTATTTAAAACAATTTACAGCTTTAGATAAACACGATATACATCCAAAATAATGCAAATTTTATCGTTTTGCCGACCGGTAGCGGTTGACCTTAGGTTACCGCACGTGAAACTTTGCAAAAGTACTTACTATATTCTTTGCTTTCTGTTATTATAGGGTAATTAAATCTAATAACATTTTTTATTTTCGTGACAACCGATTAATAAGCCACCTATTAGTAAGCGTTGACGGCAGAAAGCCGACTAATAGGCTGCCGGTCGGTAAAGTCTTAAATAAAACATAATTCGTTACAGTAGTACAGCGCATGCGCAGAACGAAAGAAGAGAAAATGTTTAACGCTAAAGTTGGCATTTCTTAAAGTCTTAAATAGCGAATATCTTAAAAAATTATTACCTTGTGGTTTTCTTTTTCAGGTGGATATCCATCTGGAAGACCAGGCGGTAATGGTGGCAATGGTAATGGCGGATATCCATCAGGAAGTGGTGGCGACGCCGCGGCCAACGGAGGATACCAATATTAAATACTCATCTAGGTGTAGTGATATATATATATATATATATTCGTATATCACGTGTACTACAGAAAGGGAATGCATAGGGCAACGTTTCTTCATAACGCATAGGATAGTCTTCGTCTGGAACAGTAGAAACGCAGCTGTAACTATATAACGATAACTTTAGCACGATTGAATTCTTACATCGATGTCTAGTACACTCGATCGTTTTAGAACATTTCTGATTTATAACAAATATGAAGGATAGAAAACGATCGCTCGTTCGTCCATAAAAACGAGCATGCTTTCGGGACGTAACGGTTCGTTTGTTTCAGACGCGGTATCCTATAGTATTACTATAGTATAAAAAAAGAAATTGTTCATACAATACACACAAACACCTCACAGTCGACCCTTAGGAGTAAAGGATACCGTTGGATATTACTTGCATATGTATTATACATTATATTTATGATAAAATGTACGTTGCAGTAATATTAACGGTGTCGCTTAATTGACTTAGCAAACGCAGCGTCGTTTATTTTTTATCGACGCGTTTTTCAGCATATACAATAAGGCTCACACATCGATTGGTTATCTTCGTATGTACGCACATGTAATTTCACGCGTACGATTTTCGTGTTCTTTAGTAGAACATTGAAAGTATTTTCTTTTTCTTAACCTACGACAATTTACCTACGAGTTTACGACCATAATTAGATGTACGCTAATATTTAACGTTTGTTAAGATGTATTTTGTATTTATTACTATTTATCATATTATGTATATTTTAATGATGTTTAAAATGTAGCTGTAGAAACGAACGTCCGCATAAATAAAAGTTGCGGTAGGCCATAATGTGTTCAGTTTTTCACTCACACCTTTTTCACGCTGTGTAAACGCGTTTTACAAATTATTGTATGAATGTGCGTGACACAAATAACATTGTAACGCTTTAACGTTAACCTTGTCCTTACATATCGGTCACTTTTCAATATAATAGAAAAAATAACCGTTAAAGAAACAGGTGATTACAATACCGAAATAATAATAAAATCACTTTTGTCGTTTTCAAATTAAGTATCGAATTTCAGACACGAAGTCAGATTTGACAAAAAATATGCAATACACATTTCCGATGGTACACTAGAAACGAATAAACTAACATTCGAAACTACGTTCAAATTCAGTATACGTCAAAATTTGTACTACTTAAACAAGCCAAAAGTCTTCTTCAAGGAAACACCTTCATAGAAAACTAACTAAAAGTTTAAATAAGTTTTTATTTATCTTTAAATTAAACATTTTGAACAATAATTAAAAGATGCACGAAAGGTGCACGTTCCGGGTCTCGATAACGACTAGCACTGGCGGCACCAGATTCTACCAATTAGAAGTCACGTACGTCATTACACCAATCGGAAGATTTTACGTCTTGTAACGGCTTTTCTGTTCTCCAATAGCAAACGCTACAATTTCAAATATCCTATTAATACACCAACGTATTTAAAAATTATTCTTAGTTCGCGTAGAACTACTAACAATGGATTGCTAAATATGTACAACATAGCATTAAGTAATACGAATTACTAAATATGCGTATTTTATTTATTTCTTAAGTTACACGTTTATACAGCTAAATGTGAAGGAAAAAACAATTTTAAATAATATTTAAATTATATACAATATTAATTTTAACTAATACTTATTTATTTTGTATCTTGAATAAAACTAAATTATAGATCTACTAAGATATATTTGAATGTATTAAATCTATTATAGCTTTCTGTCTGAGAGTATACAGCTTTTTCACCCATCTGTCAAATCTTGCCTCTTGATCAAGCATTATCTGAAACAACAGAACAATAAACCATATAGATACAAGGTGTTTCAGAAATACCCTGTATATATTCTTATATCTATAACAATTTATATACAACATAGTTAATAGTAATATTAACAAGTAAATAAAGCAAAATACAATACCGATGAATGAAAAATACTCTCAGACCCGGGAGGAATATCAGCTACTGTTGGAACTTGTATAGTATCTGCAGTAATATCTATAACAATATTTTTGAACTTCTTTTCCTTTGAACTGGATGATATAAATTGCTTAGGTGCAAAACCTTCAGAATTTATGTCCTCCAAAACACCTTCCTTAAAACGTGGCTCAATTGGAAATTCATCTGAAAAATATAATCTAACAATAATTCATCTTAAAAATATTTGAGATTATGATAATCGTACCTTTTATTACTACATTCTTGGGTTTCTCAGGCACAATAATTTTTACATTCGACTGTGAACTACTTGAACGACTGCCTGACTTTTCTCTCGAAATAGACCTAGCCTTCCTCTTCGAACGATCAGACGAACGTGACTTGGAATGGTGTCTATGTCTTTCTCTACCTTTTGAATTACTGTTCCTGGAGCTTCTATAACTCTTTTGACTACGATCTCTGTCTCTACCTCTGCTTCTAGAATGCGAACGATGTCTGCGTTTTATTCTCGAATGCTTAGATGATCTTCTTCTGTGAGACGATGAATCACTGGAATCTGAACTAGACGATCTAAAATGAAAATATAATTTCAATATCTCGACTATATATTTTAATATATATAGTAAAATAAGTTATACCAAACATCGTATTATTTACACTTTCAAATTTTTAAAATAATACTTACCTAGATCTCCTGCTACGTCTTCTTCGATATCTGCTGTTGTGATCTGAATCTGATTCACTAGAATATCTTGCCATTACTGTGAAACAATTCTTTGTTTACTTCAGATTTAAGTTAAATGCAATATTGCTGATGCCAAGAGTATATGCATACATGACTTGCTTTTCAGTATCGTTCATAGTGTAGGGAGCATTAGTAACTCCCTAGTTACTCCCGCAGATGGCGCGAGTGGCGCCGATGCCAACCATTGAGAGAGGCCGGGATGCTATAGGGAATTTGTCCCTAGGTACTCCCTGGGCCTCGAGAGACAAGAAAGAATCGGGAGTTCTTCCCCGAGCAAGCTAAGGGACAGTCCAGAGATGCCAGAAAAGCACCGCCGGGTGCACACGCACACATGCCAGATACGCGTACGTGAGCTCGTGGAGTTTCGGAAAGTCGACAAAGGCAAACTGACGCATGCCCTCTTTCTCGATTCTCCGAAGCTGCCCGAAGTAATTTCGGATCGCCTCGTGGGAGTCGAGCGAGAAAGGCTCACATTTGCCTTCTCGCTCTTAACAACTGAAATCCGACCTCCCGTCAACGGCATACGATTTGGATTCTCGAGCCGAGATTCTCGACTGCCCAGGCATTTTTACTTTCCGACCTATGTATGTAGGCGCACATAAGCAAAGTACCCATAATGAAAACAAAATTTTGTAAAATTTATTTTACGGAAATACACGTTTTAAGACCCCCTGATCATATTTTAATTATTGAAAAAAAAGAAATTTTTTTTATTAGTCCCATGTATGAGCGCACATATGTATATTATTAATACGATTTTTGAAAATCAAAATACTTTCAGATTGAAAATTAATAAATTAAAATGAGATTCCCCTTTTTACCAGTATTGTGCACGCTGTGGCATTTTTCAATAAGAAGAGTTCTTACTTTTATAACATAAACAAAACAGTAGAATTAATAATAGTAGAAATTAATTAATAATGATTTTCCTCGATTGTTTTGAGATAACCGTATCAATTTGTTATGACGAACTAAATAGAATTAACTAGAAACAAAGGAAAGGTGATCCCGTTTGCCAGTTTAATACAAAGTATGGGTTGGATCTTAACTTTTAACAGGACAGTCGAATATTTTTAAAGGTACAAAACATAGCGTTTCATTTTAGAACAGTAACATGAGTTAGCAGGTAGTGTCATAAAACTGTTTTTCCCAGTTATATCCCTTTTTACTTGAAGTATAAGGTAAAAAGTACGAGCTACAAGGTACGTCTATCCGAAAATCGTTCACATTTTATCAATGTAAATGAAGCGGCCTTTCCATCAGAGTTAGATACAAAATTTTGTTATTTCTGTGAAAACAAAACTTTCAGTAAATGTACGTGGTGCTTGAAATTTTTATGTTTTGACTGTATTTGTGAAAAGTACCATCCAGATTCATGTACTTCGTACATTGAAAATAACATATGTTAAATGTAATCGATTAAATTTAACTTTAAAAAAAAATATTCGAAGGTCAGACAAAAATATAATGTCATATTTAGTGTACGATTAAAGTATGATTGAAAAAATAAAAAAAAAAAGTTCAAGCAGGGTTCGAACCAGCAGAGCAGAAGAAGTTCGGAACTTGCAGGCAAAGACCTCATCACTTACGCCACGCTGATTAGTGGTGAACATAGTTCTATTTCTAAAAATAAGAACCTGTAATAACTTTAATAATATCTCAAAGTAAAACCTAACCCAAAACCTGGTACCATTCCAACTTTTCCTTGTTAGAAACGAGTTAGAAAATCGTAATCACATTTTGCACATTATTCTAAAACATTTGTAGTATTCGTTTTCAATGCGATTTAAGTAAGCATGTAATGTATAAGATTTCATTTAATGTTTTCTTTTCTAGAGAAGATAGAGAAAAAGTGTATATAATTTTTTTTATATAAAAATTAATTCGTCCTAAGATTTATATGAAACATTTAAAAGATTTTTTATACATTATGCCTATATATCGGAACAACTATGAAACAAGAGGTATAATCTGTAAGGAGTGTATGTGTGTGGCTAGGAACCGTTATCGTTTGCGTCGATAGGAGTGTTTAGTCTAAGCTAGAGTAGGTATCGAGTGAGGTGTTTAGGTTTAAGCTGAAATACGTTTTAGAGACTGCGTCTCGAACGTGCGTTTTGTTTAGATCATTATTATAAGATAGGAATAAGGAAGGGTCGACTTTGACTGCAGGAACGTCACTCTGTATCGAAAGTTAGTCGAGAGCAATCACAGTTTTACGTTTATGATCTTTTACGTTTACGTTTTATGTCTTTCTTTTATGTTCTTTATGTTAAATAGTTAGTAAATATTAAATAATATAATTACATCGTTACGTTTAGTGTTCACGTATTTGAATCCGTCCACACGCCTTTGAAATGAGAACATAAAACTTAAATGTAAAGTTTCATTTAAATTCATTCAGCTATTTATATTCAATCGTATTAATAATACATATACATATTGTGCTCATACATGGGAATAAAAAAAATGTCTTTTTTTTCAATAATTAAAATATGATCAGGAGGTCTTAAAACGTGTATTTCCGTAAAATAAATTTTACAAAATTTTTTTTTCATTATGGGTACTTTGCTTATGTGCGCCTACATAGGTCGGAAAGTAAAAATGCCTGGGCAGTCGAGAATCTCGGCTCGAGAATCCAAATCGTATACCGTTGACGGGAGGTCGGATTTCAGTTGTTTAGAGCGAGAAGGCAAATGTGAGCCTTTCTCTCTCGACTCCCACGAGGCGATCCGAAATTACTTCGGGCAGCTTCGGAGAATCGAGAAAGAGGGCATGCGTCAGTTTGCCTTTGTCGACTTTCCGAAACTCCACGAGCTCACGTACGCGTATCTGGCATGTGTGCGTGTGCACCGGGCGGTGCTTTTCTGGCATCTCTGCTCCCTTTCCTATTACATTCGTGTAATCTGATTTAAACCTCGCGCCCCCCAGAGCTTCTGCTGCACGGCGCCAGGCGGCGACCGCAACAATTGTAATGTTACGCTATCACGTAAACGTAGGTTTAATGCACATAGCACCACAACGGGAATTAATTGAAACCCGATTATTCACCGTCGAGTGCAGTCATGCAATTGCATTCTAATTAAGAGCGAAATTCAAACGGACCAGCGTATTATAATGAACAATGCAATTGTTCTGTGTTGTCCTCGGTGTTCAACGCTTTTCCAGGAAAATTTCAGATCCTCCTTCCGGGTTGCCCTGATCCAATCGGGGGTTCCCTCCGAACCGCATGGGGGTGGGAACTACGCGGCCATACTCGTACTATACAGTGATGACTTGATGGGTAACCGTACGCTAAAAATACTAGCCATGAATAGAACAAAAGTGTATCTCTTGTGATCATGGAGATTCTACTACTATGTAGCGTGACGTCAGAACGGGCCTCTATGGTGGGAATAAGGTGGCGCGTAGGCCTTCTCTCCTTGCCCTTGCCCCGTTTAGTTTGTGAGTGCCTAGCCAACAAGTCATCGTTGTATAGTATCAGGCACATGCGGTAAGGGAAAGCGTGGGAGTCCAGAGAGAAAACGAAGCTAGCTAGCGGGCTAAAGCAACTCTTAAGAAAATTTTTGTCCCTCTTGGAGAAAATGAACGGAAACGCGAAGTACCGTGAGGGCCCCGTTGTGTTTCAAGATCCTCGCGAGATTGAGCAAAAATAGAAATTCGTCAGGAGACGACGGAAACTTCGATTCAACACGGCCCTTAGAAAATAAACCAAGTATTTCTAAGGAATGCCTTCTTTTCTCTTTCGACCCTTGACTTTCCCTACTTGATAGCCCACATTGAATCTTATACAATAGTGATGTACATTATAAGACGCTGGTTCGTTTGAATCTCGCTCTGAATTTTAATGGAGTTACATGATCGCGCATTCGATGGTCATTAATCGAGTACCCATTAATTCCCGTCGCGGCGCTATATGTACTAAACCTAAATTCATGCGATAGTATAACACAATAATGTGTCACAAACTATATGTATGTCTATACATTCTTGTACTCTCATTTGTGTTCATTTTTCTCAATGCATTCATCTCACCATTAGGATAAATGTATTACATTTAAATAATATTCTGTCTATTAAATATTGACATTAAATATTGTCAAAAATATTTAGTACTTTAAACATTCAGTCTAGATATATAGTATTGTCTTTAATTATCTTTTGACAATTTACGTAATTTGTAGATTGGTTTCTCTGTTAGGTACATCTCCTCAAGCTTTTGAATATTGGTATCTATGTTATTATTTTAAAGTTCTTTGAATGTTAAAAGAAATTTAATTTAACATGGCGCCTATTGATAATTCACCAAGAGGAAATATGGAAGGATTTGAACTTACACATTCAGTAAAAGCTAATGATACAGTACCAATACATGTTTATAAATCTATAAATACTGGAATTACGGTTTGTATAGCAGATGTAGACGGACCTGTTGTTTGTGGCTACTTTGGTTTAGGTAGCTATCATTGTCTTCATATTCATGTCTTCGTTCTGTCGTAAAAGTAGAAATTGTCTACAATAACAACATTGTTACATTTAATTCATTGAAAATGTAGCTACCGAGGCACACGACGACGATGGACTACCTCACACATTGGAACATCTTATTTTTTTGGGAAGCGAAGATTACCCCTATAAAGGTGTTCTAGATTTATGGGCTAATAGATGTTTAGCATCTGGTACTAATGCTGCAACACTCATCGATAATACTCATTATACTATGACAACTGCTGGTAGCGAGGGATTTTTATCCTTAATGCCTGTGTATCTTGAACACATCCTTTATCCAACACTTACGGTATTATAATTTAATGATTCATAGATTATTGAATAATATTTTCCAAATTTTCCTAACTTTATTGCATTATACTTTTTATAATAATTTTGTAGGATGCAGAATATCTTACGGAAGTACATCATATTAGTGGTAAAGGTGAAGATGCAGGTGTGGTTTATTGTGAAATGCAAGGCAGAGAAAACATTGGGGAATACTTGGTAGACATAGAGTTATGTCGAGCAATTTTCCCTGGGCGATGTGGTTACAAATCTATCATTGGAGGTGAGAATCGAAATGACCAGAGTGTTACAGTTTCTTTTGTATTAAATAATTACATGAAACATTACTTTTTCCATAGGAGCATTAAAAAATCTAAGAGAAAGCACTAATAATGAAAAAGTAAAAGAATATCATAAAGAATTTTATAGGCCAGAAAATTTGACATTGGTAATAGTAGGCCAAATACAACATGATGATGTGTTTAAAGCATTGCAACCTTTAGAACAGAAAATAATATCGAAAGTATGTAGACAACATAATTGCATTTGAACGCTCGGATGATGGATGGTTGGGCAACTATGCAAACAACAGTGATAATTTATGTACACTCATGCATACTTTTTCATTTTTCTTCATTATCACAATTTATAATATAAATAATAGCAATCGTTAATAGGAATACAAAAATAAATAAATGCAATTAAACAATAGTTATTCCAATACGGCACAGTTTCAAATGGACCTAGACGTTGTCATCCAAGTGTTAATTTCTTGTTGGTTCTAATATAAGATTAAAATTAAATGGCAAATGTTTCAGGGAAATCGAGGTTCATTTAAAAAACCATGGCAAAGTCCTGTACCGCCTCTTACTGAAAGTGTAGATTTGGATGTGTACTATCCTTGCGATGATGAAGATAATGGTGTAGTGAATGTTGCTTGGCGTGGACCATCTATTATTAGTGAACTATATAATTTCCTTGGTTGCAGTTTATTTCTAAAATATCTCACAGATACATCAGTTAGTCCATTGCAAAAAGAATTTGTTGAAATTGATGATCCATATGCCAGTAATATTGCTTTTTATTATTCTGAATATTCAGTATCTATTATGCATCTTGAATTCGAAAGTGTACCAAAGTCAAAAATTTCATTTATAAAAGATCAATTATTAAAGGCATTAAATGATTTACATAGCAAAGGCATTGATATGAAACGAATGAGTACAGTCATTCACAGACGTATTCTCGAAACATTGAGTACGCTGGAAGATGTTCCCCATGATACAGTAGCGCAAATGCTTTTTAAATATGTACTTTATGGCAGCACCAAAGAAGATGTAAGTCATTTTTACAGTATATTCGATATTTTTCAATTTCCGATATATTTCGATTTTGAAATTTTAGTTGGATAATAGAACGAACCAAATAAGGACTCTTAAACAATTGAGAACCGAACCAGAAGTGTATTGGCTAAACCTTTTGAAAAGATATTTCCTTGATTCTCCATTAATAATAGTTAAAGGAATTCCCAGCCTAAAAAAACGACAAGAATTGTCTGAGAAAGAATTAAAACGTGTAGCTAAACAAAGAGAAGATTTAGGCGAAGAAGGTCTTCAACAAAAAGGAAAAGAGTTAGAGGAAGCACTGGCTAAAAATAGTGTATGCCCCGTTTGAAAGTTCGCTGCACGAGTATATTTTTTTTTTCTTTTAAAATATCTAAATTTTATGCATTTTTAGGTACCAGTACCTGATGAAATGTTAAGTTCGGTACCTATACCAACCACTGATCTTATCAGTTTTCATCACATCAAAAGTTATACAACCGAAACTGTTGAGCAACATTCTAGATTAGTTTTGCCAAAACTACCATTTTATACATACCTGGATCATGTTAATACAAATTTTGTTTACGTACGTATAAATTTAATGATTAATTATATTTGAAACGCTCATCATTTATCTACTTAACCGTTTAATTCATTTTGCAGATGTTCGTTAGTATGAACACGTCAAATATTGAAAGAAAATATAGACCCTACATTCCTTTGTTATTGGAAGTTATTATGGAATGTCCAGTAAAGCGAAATGGACAACTCATTCCATATGAAAAAGTAGTGGCTGAATTAGAAGTAGATACTGTGTCAATTGATACTAGTCTTGGAATTGATAATCCTTCAAAGTTTTCATGTGGATCATTTAGTTACAGTGCTCATTTGATGCTTCATGTAATATATAAATATTTGTATAAAATTTTACTATCGTTACTATTTAGTGTTTTTAAACTATATTTGTATTACTTAGCTTGAAATGGAAAAATATGAGAAAGGTGTGCAATGGATTAAAGAGCTTTTATATGAAACTGAACTAACTCCTGATAGATTGAAAATAATAGCTGCAAAAATGGTAAATAATGTTGGACAATTTAAGAGAAAGGGAAATAAGATTGTAAGCGATTTAATGAAAGGATTAATGTATAACGAAGGTAAACAATCATATCTCGTAGCGTCATGTAATAATTTCACAAAAAGCTATAATAATATGAACTTTAATTTTTAGATAGCAATCAGTTTTCATCTAGTATGCTGCGACAACACAAGTTTCTTACTAATGTCTTGGACCGTTTAAATGATGAAAAGAGGCAGAAGGAAATTTTATCAGAAATTGAATTTGTTAGAAAAGTTTTAACAATGCCTAAAAATATGGCATTGTACATGGCAACTAATGTGGACAAATTAACTGTTCAAGTACAAAACGTGTACAATCCATGGAACACTCACTTTTCTGAATTAGCCACGTCAGATAAAAATAAGTAATTATTACTTTTTAAATATAATTGTGTAACCATATTTATATGTAAATTCTAAATATGTAATTTAATTACATAGGCTTCAAGCTATTCCTGACTCAACATTCATAAAACCTCTAGACAAAGTCCCAATTGAAGGCTGTGTTACAGGATTAGGTTGTATAGAATCCTCATTTTTATGTCAAAACTGCCAATGTATAAATGATCACCAAAATCCAGATTTGGCGCATTTGCTTGTTTGTTTACAATATTTAACCCAAGTAGAGGTAAGTAAAAAAAAATTGATTCTATACTTATTTTCATTATTTAAAAATTATATTCTTTAAAGGGTCCTATGTGGAGACTTATTAGAGGACAAGGTCTTTCTTACGGGTATAATATCTACCCAAATGTACATGAAGGTTTACTATATTTATCATTCTATAGATCAACAAATATTGTGGCTGCATATAAAGAAGCAAAATCAATTGTAGTAAGTACATATTTTTATACTTAAATAATAAAATGTATAATATTTATAGGAAAAATGTTTGAATTCTCAATTGCATTTCTCTTTGATTATATTATTATAGAAAAATCACATCTCTGAAAATAAATGGGAAAAGTTACTTTTCGAATCGGCAAAATCTTCGTTGATATTCGAAATTATTAAAAAAGAACAGAGTATACGTGATGTGATACGACAGTCATGGTTATCTTATTTTAAAAATGTCTCGCATAATTACACTCAGCAAATGGTAAAACGTATATCCGAAGTAACAGTCGAGGATATGGGCCGCGTGGCATCTAAATATTTGACACCATTATTCGATCCAAAGGAATCCAGAACAACTATTGTTTGTCATCCCTCTAAAGTATCGGATGTAGTTGATGCATTTAAATCGTGAGTAAATCATTTTCATAGTTGTGCATCTTAATAAGCACAAAGCCTAACACGTAACATTATGTATTTATATATATTTTGTTTACAGATTCAATCATGATCTTAAACTATATAACTCCCTTGAAGAATGTTACTTAAACGAATGGTAATTTTAATTTAAAATTATGCAATAATATTATTAGCTAAAATGTATTACAGAGCAAATGGATGTTATATTATTTTTATTTGAGTCATTGTCTAAAACAAGACAACAGTGCAGATTAATATAAGGATCTAATATGTATTCAAATTTAATCACGAGTTTCACTGTAATGTTCAATGAAGAAGCATTTATTATTACTACTTAATTTTACAGAAATTATATAATTTTATAATAATTAAATAATTCTACAGATTTAGTATATTAATGCATTTTTTACTACTCTTTGTACAAGACTCTAATAAATAAATCAAAAGTAATTGAAAAAAAATCAATCAATTTATAAAATTTATTAAATTATTTATATTTACATTCATAGAAGAATCATGATACAGAAATATTTTCTATTTCTAATGCTGAAACACCTTTTTGTTTGACTGGTAAATAAACTCCACCATAAATTTGTAAACCGAACATTGTAATGTTTGACGTATCCAGTGGTTCTGCATTAGGTATCTCTCGTCCACGATAATATGGTTTAAATTCGGTCAATGGCAATATAATTGTTACAAATGTATTACTCGATATTGGCACCTGGTTAATTTTAAACAATTAGAACTGAATATAAAATATATAGCTTACACAAATTATTAGACGAAACTCTAATGTAATAGAGTTTATTACTGTTACTTTCCTATAAATAAATTATCATGGATAACGAAACTAAAATTTACCATGAAAAACTGTTCATACGTTATATCTTTGTCTGAGTGAAGACCTTTGTGTCTAAGAACAACTTTGTAATGACTATTGTCACCTTGCCCTCTGCAAGTGATTTCAATATTTTTAAAATTTAATAGATTCAAATTTTTCCTGATTCGTACTCCCGCAAAGCCAGCGCCATTTGGTTGTGGATTTAGAAGATTAAAAAATATTGCACGTTGAAAAATTTGAGTTGTTTGCAATGTTAAAACAGCTTTTGACATTCCTACTGTTCTAACAGTATCAGATATCTCCCTCCAGTTATCCACATTGTCTATGGTCGTAAAGTCAAAAAGTATCTCTTTGTCCCTAATTAATTATAAAACAAGAAATGATTACGTCCTATGTAAACAATAAAAATTATATTTGAAATTCAATTCTGCTTCACTTTTATTCAAAACATTTACTTTGATATGTATAATAGTACAGTGAAATCTCAAAATTACGTTTACATTAAAAACCTTAATATACATAATTACTCATTAAAATTTCCTTCAATGCATTAGGTGTGTCAAGCATTAATAACAGAACTTACGATTCCTTAATTCTTTGTAAAGTATTATCAACGTAACGAAATAGGTTATAATAACCGCGAATAATAAGAGCAATAAGAAATTGTATTGTTAACATTATTTATAACTAATAATAATGGTTACGTTTTCTATAGAAAAAGCGTTTATGGTAGGCAATATAGGCTACAGCGATATTTTTTTCTACATATTTACATAAAATTGTAATATTTTTCTACAATGATACGTTAAGTACAACGAAATGTACTTATACAATGTACCTATGATAACATATAGAAACACGCATAAGTTCTGCTTAGGAATTTTGTAGTGGTATACGTGAATAAAACCGATTGTCGCTATTGTTCACATACACGTACGGAGTATGTATGTAATATGATTGTCACGTTTAAATGCATATAGAAAAATAGCTATATTAACGAAAATCTAATACGACGACAACGCGTTAACGCAATTATCGCCTCTTTTATTGAAACAAAAGCATATGAATGTTGTTATCGATCTAGCATAATATACATAGCATAAATGCCCCTTATAACTTTTGTAATGGCGATACGATTATATATACATATATACATATAAAGAGCCACTCTGCTATTCTTTACCTAAAATAAAATGATACAACCCAGTGGTTCTTAACCTGTGGTCTATGGACCCTAATGGAACTGTAGTTCCTGAACTTTGCACACAGAGAGTTGGAATATTTATTTTCATTGCATACATTATACCCAAAAATGTCAACTTTATCTTTGACATTACGATAACGATTAAACTAAAATAAATATTTCAATTCAATGTCCTGAATTTACCATTATGAGAAATTGTAACTCACCCCCTTGTTAAATTGAACATCGTAATAATCATAAATATACAAGAAATCCATTGAGAATTCATTATCGAGCAAAAATAAATGTGTACCGAGTAATCAAACTATCTGCAGAATGACGGCAGATCCGCAGATTAGCAATTTGTTAGTAGCAAACGGTGTGCAATCGCATTAGATCCGCTACACACGTATGTTTTTTTGTCGTACAACAAAAGTACAGCGATGGAGCTGTGGTAAGAAAATATAAATGCAGATATATGTATGTATATCTAGTGACTTATTCGCACCGTGCGAAGTAAAGTTTAAAATGTTATAATTTTTGAAATATTAAGTTTAAGATACAAATACCTTAATACCTTTTTTTAGAGATTAAAAAATTGCATAGAATAGTCCAATAAAAATTATAGAGTTCCATTTAAAAAAAGGATGCAATTGCATTTTTTAAATACATAGATGCATAAAAATTGATAAAATTACATTTAGCTTTGTATATCGTTCGATGCCATTTAATGATAATTTTCCAGTTGCGTGGGATACCCTGAGAATACGTATATTTGTAGTAACGGTATATTCTAGCGTAATGAACATACATTTATACGATACGCTGAATTTAAAAGATAATGAAGTGAAACATGACTAACTATCAAAGAATCCTTTTTTGCATGAGCCACGTGCAATCACTTTAATACACCTATTTCGTTACGAAACTAACGAAAGAAAAGAACTCATCGTTTCAAAACGAAATATTTATTGCAAGATATTTACTTTAACGTTAAAAGTTCGAAATAAAACAATTATTGCAAACAATTGCATTTTACATTAAAAATTAAGATGTTTTGGTTAAAATTTTATTTTCATTTGTATTATTTACGATCAAATGTTAACAATTCTATTACTGGTGCAATTGAAATATTTATTTATCATGAATTACTTATATATACAAAATATGAAAAATATGATGATGATGAATAAAACTCAAAATGTTTAAATAATAATATATATCAAATGAAAAACATATGTTGTTTTTACCTTACAAATCGGTTTCCTTCAAGTCATTTAAATTTTATAATACGTGCGTAATAGGAAAATTAGTTTTGGACAGCCTTGGAAAGCTTCAGTCAAATTTATTTGAAGCGATCTTTTGCATTTCTCTGCCAATACAAATGCAAAATGTTTTTACAATACATTAAATAGGATACAATTATAGTCACTTTTTGTCCATTTAATTTTGTTTTTTTAATAAAAAACAATATACCTAATTATAAATATTTTTCAGTAAATTCTGTTTTTAAATTTTGCATTGCCGATAGCGTGTAAAAGTGGTGTTTAACAAAAAAGATGAAGACTATGACTAATCAGAAAACAGTTACACTAAATTTCGTAATTAAACTTCTTATAAGATTCTTGTAAAATTGAACATAAATGAAGTTTGGAGATATACATATATCAACTATATCAATTGATATAATACTTCAGTTTTTGTGGTATGAAAACCATGTGGATTAATGTGATATAATAGCATGAACGAGAATATGCCCTACTCAGAAGATTAACTTCTTCCGATTTTTCTAAGAAATTTTCAGAATAATAGCAACAATAACAATGTACTAAGTATTCTTCTTATTAACATGGAAATATTGAATAAAGTTAGTAATCATATTAAAAATTAAAATATTTTCCAAGCTGAGAACGTAAATTACAACTTTAGAATCTGTAAAATTTTTACACTCCGTACGATATGAAATTAAGGTTGCAATTGTAAAATAATTGGATTGATATTAATTTTGTTACGTTATGTCACTTTATGACAACTTTTTGGTGCTATTAAGTTTAAATGTGTTACCAACAGTTTTTTTGTACCTAAGCTTATACACAACAGCTTTCAAACTGTAAACTAGATAACAAACACGATCAAACGTGCTCAATTTTGTTACACGAATTTAATTTACAATGGTAAATATTTGTCTTATTTGACTGCGTCGCATTCATATTTATCATATTTTCATGTGATTAAGTAAATATCTCGTACAATGCACCTTGTATGTACGTATGTACCATAAGGTATATGAGTGCAACATATTGTCTAATATTCAATTTCTCTATGCAACAAAATATGACCTATAGAAAATATATGTAAATTACAATAATCATACAAAAGCTGTAACATGGAAACGTCAATTTCAATGCCAATGCAGAATCATTGTTATCAACACAATTTACATGTACATGTTTATACTGAGTCACATGTTCGTACAACATACTTTGCAAATTAATTCTAACTTGAAAAGAATTGATATTATTCTTTAAGTAGATTCAACTTATCAGAGGTTAAGGGATAAAGACAGGAGACTATTTGCTTGCTATACTTAGTATAAATCATATATGCATTAATAGTACCGATGAATTCATATATCTATATACAAACAAATAAAGACCTAACAGGAGCAAGAATCCTTTCCTCCCTGTTGTTCATTAGATACCCCTTGAAGATTGGTACGACCTAGTTGACTGGGGTTATGTTGAACTCCAGATTCTGCTGCATTTAGATCCAAACTGCATACAAAGAAATTGTTATATTAATATTGTTCATAAAACAACTAGAATCAACACTACTAAATTTATTTACTAAAAGTTTATTCTACTTACCGTCCATCTTGTATACTTTGGAATATTTTTTTCGCTGTTTCCAAAAAGGCCTCTTCAACATTATGTCCACTGATAAAGAAAATAGTAAATTTTGCGTTTTATTGCAACAATACAATATGATTAAATAATTTATGAAGAATGCATTCTAAAAGTCTACAGTAGATACGTTAGTTCTTATAAATTAATTTCATTATTTGTTAGTTTTGATACATTACATGAAATATAGGTGCATTATTTAATTAAATTAATACAATCTTTAGTAACATCGGTAATTCAATACTGAACCTAATATTTTTTTATAACATGTAAGAAGTATATACAGGGTGATTGGCCACCCCTGGAAAAAATTTTAATGGAAGATTCCAGAGGCCAAAATAAGACCAAAATCAATTTAAAGTTCCGCCCGTACTGAATTTTTTTCTCGAAAATGCGCAGGATTTCTCGAGGGTATGTCTATTCACCAAAAATGACTGTAATCGACCCCCGCAATCGAAAATTATTTTTCCAGAACGATTTGAAATTTTTTTCTTTCGTCGAAAAATGTAAACACCTACTCCCCGTTGATTTTTCTTAAAAATTCGTTTTTCATTTTTAATAAATTTGGTTGGCACTGTACAGAAAAGTTGTTTAATACTTTTTGTAGATATCCATGAACTCTAGTTCCCCCCAAAATTTCAATGAAATGTATTCACTATTGTAGGAGTTATGGATGTTTGAAAATTGGACCATTTTTATGGGGGTTTTCTCATTTTGCAGAGTCAAGGAATAACTTTTCGAATATTTTTGGAATTTCCACATATTCTTCGCCAAGAAATAACTTACGTTTTTGCACTAGCTTCTATAAACATGAGACCATTTTCATCAGCAAATTGTTTGGCTTCTTCATAGGTAACATCCCGCTGACCCTCTAAATCACTTTTGTTACCAATTAAAAATATAACCTGCAAATTGAACATGTAAAGTTGTTTGTTATCTACAAAATGTAAATTTATCGTTCATAGAATGTAAGAAATACATCATTCAACGTTTGTGCATCAATCTAGTTACACTTTACAGACGTAAATACCATTATGAAAAATATCATATTTTGCATACAGTGCTTGGATTTGTTAAATTCCTTGTATCTGTAAGCCAGCTGCTAAGATGATTATAAGTTGAACGACGAGTAATGTCATAGACCATTAACGCTCCCGCTGCACCTCGGTAATATGATCTACAGCATTTATATACACATATAATAATGTTTTATAGTGCACCTTACGTTACATATTATAATCACTATTACAAAATCAATCTCTAATTGGCTGCTAATAAATATAAAAAATAGGAAAATCGATTTTATTTCATACAAAACTGCATTTCCTCTTCACATAGTCGTATTACATAATTATCACCCAAATTCAGGCACTTGAACATGATTCAAACATCTTTTACTTAACCTGCTTGTATAAAGCTTTTCAGGAAGCTGTATGGTATGATAGTATGACAAGGGTCTAAATCTGGATGATGACTATTTTTAAGTTTTATTAGCAGTTAATTCGAGGCTCATTTTGAAATAAGCTTCATACGTGTAAGTAATAAAAGGACGTATTCGCACCTAGTAACTGCTCGAAAACGTTCTTGCCCTGCTGTGTCCCATATCTGTAACTTTATTTTCTGTCCTGCTACTTCAATGATTCTTGTCCCAAACTCAACACCAATAGTATGCGGACAGTCTGCCATAACTAAAACGTAGAATAAATGCCCACTTTATTTATTGTTAGAAACTTATACACTGCAATAGAAAATTAATAGTAATTAATTTAAAAAAGCTTTATCTCAAAATATTAATAAAAAAATGTTACTTTACATAAGTTAACATTATATAAAACTGTTACCAGCAGAATTAAATAGATGTATGACAAATATTTATACCTATAAATCTAATTTGTTTAAAAGGATTATGTTCAATGTATGGCAAATATTTATACCTATAAATCTGATTTGTTTAAAAGGATTATTTTTAATCGATTGTATATATTTTATTCACAATCGTTATAATCTTCAGATATCTTTAATAAATATTAAATATAAAATATGCAAATAAAAATTCTAAAACTAAATTCTTTTTCTAAATTATGTAATATGTCGACTTACATTTCTTTTCTGTAAACTGATGCAATAAACATGATTTTCCTACTCCCATATCTCCTATAATAATATACTTAAAGATATAAGAGTAATTATAAGGACCAGTTGACATTTTGCACCTGTAAATAAATAATTCATAAAATGCTGAATATTATTATAAATTAAATTCTATATTCTAATATATCATATGCATAGGTATATTTAAATTTTTATTTACAAAGGAATTATAAATATAACATATGAAATAAGATATATACATACACATTTAAATGTATGTTTCCAATATAAAAATGTTAAATTGGTATGTATGTGATACAAAATTATTGCAAATAATATTTTTTTCATGCATACATTAACTTATTCTGTTATAGATTTATATAATATTAGAGCATAGTACAATGTATAATATTGCAATATAAAAATTGTTTGAATAATGGTTATATTATTATAACAAGGTAAGTCAAATCTCAAATCACAGCATAGATTTCTAGTATACAAATTCGATTATGAACACTAAGACTTCAATAAACAGTTTAGAATCCAATACATAAAAATCATTACAATGTTACATGCACTAAACAACATTATGTTAACAATGGTCCATTTCTACAGTACATTTACACGAACAATTACGTTTTATAAAAGCATATACCATACTACACAATAAAATAAAACATAAAAATATCCATTTAAAGATGTATTTCTCAACAAAACATTAACGATTAAGTAATATTAGCTTAAATGATAATCACTTTATTGTCACCAGAAAATAATAGCTAGGAATTAGGATGTAAAAAGATATGAAAACGTTTTTTCTTAAATTCACAAATACAAGTATTCAGAACTCAATTTACTAATGACAACTGTTCGATAAAAAAAAAGTTCTGATGTCAACAATGCTGCCTCTACTCACCGTTTTACAGCTCACTATCGTGAAACGTTTTCTCACAAACTGAATTACGAGGTCCTCTGCAAATTGTTGTTGCTACATAAACAATAGGCTCTTGTACCGAATGTACAAGTAACAACCGTAATAAAGTAAATGTATTACATACAGTCTTTATATCACGCGCAATATGGCAGGTCACTGTCGCTAATAACGATGGCGGCGAATAAACGTCAAACCACCTGTCACTGATTTTTTAGTTATTCTACTTATATCTTACATTCATACATTAAGAATTTAATCTGAATGTAACGATTCAGCTTCTACAGTGATTGAACATGAAGAAATCAATCGCAAACGTAATGTTTTTTATTGGACAATTTTGTAAGACCATAGAAAGATGGACAAAGATAGGTACCTACCATTTAACCATAATGGCGGTAATTCTGTACATATATATACATACGTAAATGGTGGTCAAATATTTTAGTACACTTACTTCACTAATATTTATGACTCCATCCGTTTTAATAAAGTATTATTATATCAATTATACTATTCAATACTATTCAATTTAAATTCATGATAATTATGTGATGTCCTGTTGTATTATTATAGTGCATAACTTTACGAAATATATTATTTTTGTTTAAATATTGATAATTACTTTAAGACAGTTATAAAAAGTAACTTTATTTTCGAATAAACGCATTTAACATTAATAAAATTGCTACAATATTAATATCTTGTTACTCGAATTTTTGCTACTATTTTGCTATTATAGCTTAGAACGACGTAACATTGAATTGACCAATCTCAAACACCGTTCAATGATAATGTCATATAATTCACTAAAATTTCTTTTTCTTTTTTTTTCAATCATGTTTTCTAAACAGGATTACATATTAAACTAAAGTGTACAACAATTGGAAAGATTACTCTGTAGAATAACCATCATATATGTTCGAAATAAGCATATACGATACGTGAATCTAGTAACTTAGCAGATGTAGTGCTAGCTGGTTGTCACTAGTGGTTCATTCTCGAAGATGGCAGCCTTCAAATTGCCTCAAATGCTTCCTATACTTAGATACCCTGCTATCTTTGTGGCAAACCTTGGGTATTAAAACGGTACTCTATACAGATGAATTTCGTGCAAACAAAAGATCTATTTAATACTTTTAATGTTGCGTAGATCTCATACACTCCACTTTGAATTCACCATTCACGTCATTTGATATTTTCATTATTAGATGCAACATTGTTATAAAATATTTTATAAAATCATGTAGTGATGTCTAAATATCATGTACAATACAATCATCACACCGTGAGATGTATACACTCCAACGTGTGATAGCGACCAATTTTTTTGCTCTTTTATGGAAAAATAATTTAATAAAAAGCATGTACGCAACACAAAATCATTATTTTAGCTTAGTATAAAATTTTAATTCAACAGATTATATTTATAGACGTAATTGTTTGTAACTTTATATTCGTATGTATTTTAATGTTAATTAAATGAAATAACAAAATATAAAATAACTATGTTATTATGAATTATAATATGAATTTCATTTAAATGAAACTATTTTGATATTGTTTCTTTTTAATAAAATATACGTTAACATTATTGCACATAATTACGTTTCTTGAATAGTTTGTGGCTATAGGAGAATATTACAATTTCATACAAATGTGCCATAGGCATATTCAAATTCAGAAATTAAAAGAATTTACATGTGAATGCTTTAGTTACTATAGGCAGTTACTTGCTTTGTCTATAATAAAGTAATTATACTGAAAAATTACGTAATATGTTAGAGTTAAATAGATTATAGATATGAAAAGGATGTTTGACACTGAAATAAATGCTGACGATTGTCAGTCCATGCTTTTCTGTGACGTCATACACACTTGCTCGTCCTTACTCGCCGATATTCGCAGATAGTCGTGCCCAGCCCTGGTTTAGGATTTACGCAGTTTCGTAACTTTTATGTGGATGGTATATTGTATATCAGTGTTACCACATAGCAGACCGGTGCTCAGAGGAAACTGCCCCACTACTTACACACACAATGCATAACCACGTGTACGTGAACTCTGGTGCTTCGGACAGCTTCGGAGACTGGAGAAAGAAGATGAATGTGCGTCTTTCCTTCTCACTCTTAAAACAGCTGAATTCTGATTTGCGTCAACCGGTACAAGATTTCGAGTCTCGACTTGTCAGGCATTTTTATTTTCCGACCTATGTGTACCTACAAGTTTTTAAATAATTGTATAAATGTAATTTTGTTTAAAATAATTGACGATTTGTAAATTCAATTATAATTCCATAAACGGGCTATATAAATAGACTTTACATATTACTGACATTCGTGGACCAAACTGACTGTCATACCGACCTAAAAATTGAGAGGTGATTTTAGCGTCCTCTTCTCATGGATGGCGGTCAGTTACGAAACTATTCACTGAATTAATGTTGAAAACAGCCTGTAGTCGTGTGTAAACATATATGAGTTGCGAAGTACGAATTATTCGCGTTTCTTTGTCTAGTTGAAGTTGCATATAATTTGCATTAATTGTATAATTTCATTTAAAATTGTGAACGATGAGAACTTTTCGCATTTGCTTTCCAGATCCTAATTTTGAAGATCAAGCCTCGATGTATCATATGGTTTATAACTAATTTGTGTAATGTAAAAGTATCTTGGCATTAAAACCATAAGACAGCACAATGTGTAAATAAGTTTTGATCAAAACTTCTGTCGATATCGCATCAGAAGCAAAATTCGTAAATTTGCTGACGTTACTGACATTGATGATCGGGTTAAATATGATTCTCGGTCATTGTCCTTAAATAGACAGTGCACTGCAATACTATTGATTTTTTATGTGATCAGTATTTCGATTCGTTAGAACACAACCTTGTACTGAATCGGTGGTGTAAACGATACCTAAGTAATCATTAAACTATTGTTTATAAAAGATATATCTATTCCAAAACGTGTAATTTAGATACGGTGAGTGCTACGAAATGGGAGTGTCGACAGATCCGCAATATTTTTGTTACAAATACAGAAGTTCTTCGATCGATAATCGAATAGAAATGTTCGTCGTTTCGCGTACGCACTCTATACGTAAGAAATGCGACTTTGTGAATCATAATTACGTGTAATCGAAGTGAATAATATTAACATGTCTGAAGGCATTTCGCGAACTGGTCCATTTTTACCTCAAAATAACATGCATTGTATACTGTCGGAAAATAAAAATGCCTGAGAAGTCGGGGTTCGAAATCGTATACGGGTTGACGCAAATCGGGTTTCAGCTGTTTCAAGAGCGAGAAGGAAATATTCACATTTGCCTCCTTTCTCGAATCTCCGAAGCTGCGAAGCGTCGAAGCGTCGAAGCTCACACACATTGCGTTGGCTATGCATTAGTGTGTGTTAGTGGAGGGGCAGTTTCCTCTGGGCACCGGTCTGCCGTTTCAGTCGTCTAGTAACACTGTTGTACGTAGTACTTACACCTATTCTTTTGTGATTGAGATTCAGCTTTGAAATAGTTGCGTATAAAGTTTCTTGTAAATCAAGAATCCCCCACGGTATTTGATGTAATAGTATATTTTTAATAATCGGTGTTAAAATATAATAAAGTTTTTGGTTAAAAATTGTATCAAGGAATTGGAATTCCCTACATGTTATCAGGTAAGTTAATACATAATTTAATTAAGGTTAATGACATTAATTAATTTTAAAACAAGATATCAATGAATAATATTTTTTATCTATACAAGAATTAAATGATTTTGTTAAACTTTTCGCTATGTTTTATAATTGCTTAGGGATTTATAAGTTAGAGGTATAAACATTGAACATTTGTGATATTTATTGGGAATGAAATGCAATTAAAATTGCTTTGTATTAATAAAAAAACTATAGTGTATGATTTTATATGCGTGTATGTGGTATAATTGTTCTCTTTGTAATAGTAGATCTGCATAGAAAATAGAACTTCTTTGATAGCCAGTATTAAGTGCTTTAATGTTTAAGATTTTCAATAAACTTCTGTATACTTTTCTTTTGCCAACTTTTTTTAAAGTATCAATATGATTTCAAAAATTCGTAAAATATAAAAAAATGTTACATTATGGTTTAGTCATTTGCTTTAATGTTATATTAATATTTTTGTATATATTTAAAGTGTAATCTATTTGAATTATACTTATAGATATAAATAAACATTAAATACATGTCAGTGTATTTATACGTACTATAATGTAGTATTATGTTTAATATAAGCAGAATTAAATCTGTAAGCATAAATATACCCCAAATATGTATATAATTAAATTTGTTTTAGACCATTATTACAGATGCCATACATTTTGGTACGTGGTAATCTTGCATCATATGGTCATACAATTCCATGGAGGGTTTTAGTATCGGGTCTTAAAGGTATAGTTTTTTAGAAGTTTGTGCTTTCTCCATTATTTATTTCTGTTTTATTAACATAATAGTGGCTTAAATAATTTTATACAATGTGCAGCATGTTGCACTAATTCAAATGACTTATTATTAAATGTTTAATATGAATTTATATACATATTTATGCAGTATTATTTTTATATCATTTCAATGTAATAGTAAATAATTTATTATAGCCAGATTTATTCTTTAGGTACAATGTGTAACCATACTTTCTGTTATAATTACTTAGTATACCTTGTATAACTGAATTAAAAAATATAGTTATTTGAGAGTAAGAGAAGTTAAATAAATAATGAAAAATATAACACAAAAATGATTTATTGTTATTCATATTATTTACAATTTATAATTTGATAAATAATTAACAAATTATGTTCTTAATTATATCATACAAAGTATTTGGAGATAAAAGTCTTCAGATAATTTTACATATAATTATAAGTAATAGAACTTGAAAATATAGCACAGAAATTTATAATATACAAATTGTATTGATTCTTTTAAATTGGGAATTTCTTTTGTTTTAAATTGATTGATTCAATAAATTATAATTGTATATATTGTTTAAATAAATTATAGTATTACATATGTATTATCTGTAGTTTATAGTTTTTTGTTATATAATACATTATTAACATTTTGGTGGCATCAAAAATAGCATTCATCGTATTGGACACAAAATGAAATCGAATATATTTTACATTCAAGACATTGAAACATTTTATAATTTTGGTTATTATATTGGTTTTTGTACTGGTTAAAATGAAATGTTGAAATTGAATAACTTTAATCAATTGTATTATAGCAACAGATATAGCGCAACTGACTCGTTTTGCTTCTGGGGGATACTGTGATGACTTGACAATAGTATACTTGCAACATCCTTGCGTAATATTAACTGCTTTAGAAGTTCTTGGTTATAAAGTTGTTGCATCCTCAAGTACCAGTATTAAACAAGACTATAATGAATACATGTGGACTATGAGAAAAGATTTTGCTGAACCTGAACCTGTTATTAAGGCAGGTATAATGTAGATACTATCGGTCATTATTGTTTTCATTTTATGATAAAAAACATTATACATTGAATAAACAATATTTGATTCTTGTTAAAAAAAATTCTTAGATTTATTATTTGTATTTTATACTTGAAAATTGTGAATTTCATAAATTCGTAAAACAACAATATGCTATGATATTTAAATTCTAAACAAGGGGAAAGAGTGTTATTAAATGTATGTGTAAAAAATGAAACATTACAATACTTTTTTTTTATATTTACCTAAAGCAAAATGATACTGATTTTATTGAAAAATTTGTACGAATGATTCTTTTATCAACTTGTTTATACGTTTACATACCTTCCTGTAGTTTTCTACTTATAGGACGTTGATTAGATTATAACTTTGATATTTCATGTGAAACAAGTATTTTTTATAACTTCGAGCAGATTGTTTAGTTAAACTACCATTGAGTTATAATTTATAAATCATTTTAATATATCTTATAAAATATAATAAACCGTAGCAAAGTTCTTAAATGTTCATTATTTTTATATTTTTCTCATTGAAATGCCAACAAATACGTGTGTGTTTTACGTAGGTTATGTGCGTTGTATTAGTTGGCGTTTCAATTCGATATCAGATATGATATTAGATGCTTTGTAATAATTAACGATTATTTTATCTATTAGTGAAGCACATCATTCGTTCAACGTGATATTCCTATAAAACTTGCTTTAGTAAAAAGAATAATACAGATATAAGCTCAGCCAATCAGAATTGGCAAACAAAACAGAATGATTCTGGATCTATTGTACCTGGTAATTTGAAAAGAATTTAAATTGTAAACTTATTTTTGTTCTTAGATAATAGTTAAATCAAATTAGATTATACATCTAAGGTGATATAATTTTTAAGCATTTGAACATTTCATACAAGTTAGAAAGAAATTATCCAAGAAAAATATTGCAATGATTAACGTCTTACGTGCAAACATATGACTGTTTGCAGAGTAAAATATGTCAAAATCAGTTATTAGAAAAACATGCCTTAAAAAGACCTGTAGAATTAGAATGAGTATGTGAAAAACATAAAGTTCAGATTGAAGTACATCGAGCATATGAAATTTGTATGATGCAACTTAAAGAAGAAGAATAAAGACAACTGATCGAACAAAGTAGAACAAGGACAGTTTCACACATAGTATAACCATTTGTAAATAACGATTTTTATCTACTGATAATGAACAATACTCTTACATCTCTGAAGGACAGAAACATATTCTTTAAAAAGAAAAAACAATATCTAATTCTAAGAAAATGAGCAAATAGATGATTACAGAATGTATAAAAATATATTGTCTACTTTGTCTTGAATGAGTTACTTTCTATGTATATAAAAAAAGTGCCTTTATCTACAATTTTTTATTGAAAGTTTCTATATAAGAACTGGAAAATAATGTTTAATTGTATTGAAACATGTGAGTGAAAGGAGAATGTTCTAATGGCCGTACACATGCAATAAAGTTTGCTGTTTTTATAGTGTAAGATTACATTTATTTTTATATTTGTCTAGTGGATTTCTGATGTTGACTTTAAGTAATTAATTTAGGTAAAAAATGTTCTAATTAACAGTTTACTAAGTATTTATTTCTGTGATTTAGCACACTCCCATGCAAGCAACATACATACAGAATAACATCTTTCCTCATGTATAATCTATAAATATGTAAATTTCTATAATTAATTCTAATTCTTTTATTTATATAAATACGATAGCTCTTTAAATTTGAAAATCAAAATGTTTTAAAATTGTTCCAAAATAATTTTTGCTAGTAATATTAACTAATTGTTTTCACAAGAATAACAAAATTATTTAATACATATAATGTATTGGACGTTACGAAATTAGTTCACATTTTCTGCGACAATGTTGAAAATGTAATGTTTTTCTTTCAACAGTAAAAGACAACGACAACGACGAAAAGTGTAACAACCGTTTTAGTTCGAAAATGTCGCAATCAGGGAATGCCGTAACCGGAAAATTAGCCAATACAATGAATGACGAGAATTATTATTACGTTGGCGTAAAAGCCTCTCCTTTTGCGACTGATTGTGTCGTCTTCGGTTTAAATTCAGACGAAATTTTAGCCCTCTCCAAGCGCTTTCCAAACTCTGGCACAGATGTGGTTAACGGCGTTATGATCAAAGGTTAACATCGATAATTTTTTATATACATATTTTTTATAAGATTAACGTAATTTAATTACTAAATGTTTTTCTGCACATAAGTTAAATTAATATGAATTATTTAATGTGTTACTTATAGTGTGACTTAAGAAATTTTGTATATTGTCATTAAATGAAGGTGTTATTCAGTAGAGTTTAATTATCATGTGATAGTATCATATTCACAAATGATATGATATTTTGATATGATATGATAAATTGAGTTATTAACAGAAATAACAGCTGTACATTTATAAAATTATATTTATTATTTATAATTCTTTGTTTGTCACATTTATTATGTTCGTTATATCGTTTAAGATTATTTCGAGAATGGAAAATCGCATGTTGCAAATATTAAGTATTGAGAATATAACACATTCTGTATAATTATATATTTCTTGTATCCAAGTATCTGATCGAAATTTAGCATAGTGGTATCGTGTTTGTGAAAAGAAATAAAGGACTCTTAATTTATAAAGCAAAATTGATTTCAGGTCCACCTTTTTGCATCATTAACGCCCTGGCAGAGTTAGGGTATCGAGTTATCTGTAGTACGGGAGAGGCCGAGATACTCTGGACGCTGCAAAGGGAACTATAAAATTAACAATTGTTCTCGGGATTAATATTTGACAGTCAGATGCGCATTTTCATATTTAAAGTATGCAATTGCGATTGTTCATTTCGAACGAAGTATTAAATTATTTTACGATATACCAAAAATGCATACATAGAACACACGGATATATAATGAGTGTGTTCCTTTTCGTTACCAAGTTTCAATCGATACTTTCTAACTTCCTTTAGGGATATGTGCCTTTTATTGGACGAATTTATATAAATAGATGTACAAGAATAATTTTTACCAATTTTTCGTAAATTCGTAAAAACATAATTAACAATATACTGTAGTTATTTTGTATTGTTTTATACTACTACTACAATAATCATGTCCATTTTTTGTGATTTTAATACTAATTAAAAAAGAATGTGTTAGATTGTTTCCAATTTAAATAGCTATTAATAACAAAAATTGGGTCAATGATAGACTGTGCGGGTACAATTTACAAAATTTTCTACATATTCTCAGATTAAAATATTTTGTTACAGCTGTTAATTTATCCGATATGTAAAATTGCCTGAAAAGCAATTATTGACCGGGTATAGGTATAGATATGCGCGTAAAATTATAAAATGTTACATACACAACAAAAATAATAATTTTCAGCTTTGTTCAATTTTTTTTTCATTTATGCAGAATCAAGGTTTGCAAACATTTTGTGCAATATATTAATCTGTATGTCTTCTGCTGAAATAATTTTAAAGTATTTTATATGCAGATGTTTTTTGTGATCAAATTGTATTCTTTCCTATTATTCGTTTTCAAGTATGTATATGTTATATTATTATATTGATATAAAATATGCGGAATCAAAAGCTACTGTTAACCTTATGCAATATGATGAAAGAATTTGTATTGTGAATAGCATTTATTAAATTAATGTATAGAACAATAAGGCAGTATTTGTTAACGCAATATTACGCTTGTCGATGTGAAACAAACTGTAGTGATTAATTAAAGTGTCTTTATTATAAAATAACGAAAACATAATACTATTACTTGCAATTCCGCCCACGTAGAAATCGTTTTTGTCGACAGTTTGTCATAAATTTAATTTTCAACAAATTATGTCACAAATTCTTTTACTGCGAAAAAATTTTCGGTGTTATATACCTGATATTTTAAGTTGATCTACTTCAAAGATATGTTCTACATTTCATCGCAATTCTTTGAACCGTTTTTCAGAGACTTTCGAACCGTTTAGTACTTATTTCCAATAAGTAAAGATGCGATGATAAATACGATTATAGGTAAAGTTATAATTTTATTTATATAGAAAGGCCGACTTCGTGTAATGGTGTTATTTTTATAGGTGATTTCAATATTCTTATAAATTGTAAAGTTGTAAACTACACTTTTTGCATATTGTCAATGAATTTTGGTTAACAAATATATGACATACTACAATTTAAGAATATTTTTCACAATTTGTTCGTGACTATTAAATATTTGTATGTTATTAATAAACAGTTTTTAGGTTAGTATTTTCAACTTTTTTCGGTGAAACACTAAACAGGTAAGATTTATTCAGATGTTCATAACTATGCATACAATAAAAATGGAGCACAATCATATTCATAATGATCATAATTTATGCTGCAGTTTATGTAGTGATCTCAATCTTATAGAAGTGTTCTCTTATAGATGTGGAGTTTGAACGTGATATATATGGTATGTAGGTAAATAATTACTCGTAATTAATATTAAATTTTTTAAATATATTAGTGATTATTTAAAACAATTATTTAATTTTCAGTATAATATAACGAATTGGGCCGTGTAAAAATATTGTTAAAGAAAGGTATTTTAAGCAGGGTCGAGGATTTTACCGGATATACAGCCTTACATTATGCGATTGGAAACGGATATTATGAAATATGCAAAATGTTGTTGGAAAACGATGCGTCAATGAATATACTGGCACCGTTCTGAACACGTTACTGCTCTGTATAAAGTCACCATACAAATTTACGTTAATATCATTAAACTTTTATTAAAATATCACTTGTGACGCGAAGTTTTCGTTTGCAAATTTTTGATACCATGTACGGATTTAACATTGCTGAGTGATAGTCAAGTATAGAACAGTTGGTGAAGAAAAACTGTCTTAGAATCCTACCATTTTTATCCACATAAATTAGGAATTTAAGACATGATCCTTGCATATATAAATTATGTTTTTGTTTCTCAATACAACAAATAAATGAAGGGAACACAAAATTCTACAATTTATTTTAAGAAAGTTTGTATGAAAATAAAGGTGTGCATGAATCCAAGAAACTCGAGGATATTAGACATAGTTAAAGAAGCTATTATTATGAATAAAACATGTAAATATATTTTTGTAATATTTATGTATAGAAACTACTAGCATTTCTATGAAAAATCAATATGTGAAGAAATATATTTAAGTTAATAAACATTTTAAAAGCTTATTGTGATGAATGATAGTAAAGATGTGTTTAATACTGTTGTTTGATTCTTTTCCTTCTTACTATGTTAATTACAATATGTTATTTAGAATGTACTATAAACAATCGGAATTTTGTTTTATCATGCTTACGAAAAATATTTAATTACACTTAACTGGTGATACTTTTATATTTTGTTATTTTGTCTTGGAATTTATTAAATGTTAGGGGAATTAAATACAAAAATGTTTTAATCATATTACAAAAATGAATACGATAACAATATGTGTAAACAAAAGTAATGTTTAAGTGCTAGTCGTTTTTATATAAGTTACAATTGCTTGCAAACTTTTAATAATTTTGATTAAATAATTTATTTCGTACTGACTTATTACACTTGCATGCGTATCATGTTACGATTTCTTGTTATTTTATAAACATTTGAAAGATAATTTTAAATTTTGAGAAAGGAACAGCATAAATTTCATTTATTTAAAAACAGAAGTTCGTTATCCATGACACAACCACTTTTATAATATAATTATGTACAACATACACTTTATAACAAGACGATATTTCTCTTCGTATAGAAAAATGTAAAAATTATTACTGGTAAGAAAAGAATGTACGCGTTCTTGATAAAGGAATAAATTTACAAATAAAGCTCATAGATGTGCGACGTCGTTTGTCTCGTTCCATGTGCTCATCGGAACGAAGAGGGTCGTGCACTTGATATTGAATCGTTCGTGTATAGTCGTTTGTTTCCGGAATGGTTCGGCAGTTGTCGTTAAAATTCGATACTATTCGATGAGTTGCGGTACGCGGAGCGCAGTACGGCCGCCGGAGCCCCCTTGCGATAAACGGTGCTGCCACCTAGCGGAATACCCTCCGTCTTCTGTACGACTGCAATCGTTGCATGGAGTCAGTCGTTTCACGAATACCGCGGCTGGTTTGCGCGAAGGCTCGCCGCCGCCTTTAGCCGTTGCGCGACGGATCGTCCGTCGTTTCGCGGTCCGAGGTTCGTCCGCGTGTCTTCGACCACCTTTCCCGCTTGGATTCCGTGCGATTATACTCGTTGATTTGAGTGACAATCGCGAGCGATGTAACCGTGCCCTGACGTCACACGGCTAATCAAGTGCACACACGAACGCAAACATAGGCGCGCGCGCGCCTGCCACTCATGTCTGTATACACGGATGGTCTACGTAGACTGCGCGCAGTATACTACGTGCGACACGTATAGGACCGTGCACACGGCCAAACTGATAGAGCTCGAAGAAGAGGGAAACAGCGTGATCGCGAAAGATAGAGGAGAAAGAACGGAAACGAAGTGATAAGAAAGAAAGAGAAATATACATATTATATGCACGTAACATATATGTTCTCTCGCATAGCGATCTTGGTGTTAGAGAAAAGGGGTGAGGCGTAAGACGTATACACGGAGGACATTTCACACTTGCACACGTCTGTACGCGCTTGTGAGCCTTTCGCTTTATAAAACATTACGCGCTCAGGTATTATAGAGAAAAAGACGAATCAGTGAGCCTCGACGTTTTTTCGTTTAAGATATATGACGATTGACTTTTCTCGAACGTCGTGTTTTTGTGTCCCGTGCTTACTAAGGATTTCGCGTTTTCAACACGTGCAAGACAAAGCTATGAAATAGGATAAAGAAGAAGAGGAAAGAGCGAGAGAGAAGTATCTACATCTCGTGGCGCCCCGTTGTGTTTTTCTACGGAAAGCTGTGCTCGGAACCTGCGTGAACTTTCAGAGTGGAAGAAAACGAAGCAAACGTGAAACCAGTGGGATTTCCTTGGCGATGTTAAATAATAAAATCATTACACATTTTGTGATATGATCAGTGAAATCGACGAAGGACCAAGCAAACCTTGAATGGACTAACTCCGATGGATGGACAAGTTTTATCCCAATCGAACCGGTCAGTGAATGTAATAATTTTTATGTTCGTCGTTCAACATTTTTCTCGTTACTGTTATGTGAACTTTTATTGGAAACAAGAAACACGTATGTGTGACATTGCTGCGGGTATACGTTGTTCATGCGATAATAAGAAAGTGGGGTCTCCGCGTTCCGTTTTTATTAACTTGTCGGACGGTCCACTGCTTTGAGAGTCAAGTTCGTCGCGCTTCGCTGTACGCGCCGTGTCTGGCGCGCGCATACTTCCTCGCGCTTTCAGTTGCGCTCCGCGACAAGCTTTCTATTCGAAGTGAGATGAAACATTTCCTCTCTATGTTATCGAGAATCGTTGGTAAGGGTAACTTGGAATTACGCGGCAGTTACGTCGTTTCTTCAGTGAAACTTTCAACGAATCTGTTTCGTTTAAACGTGCTTTAAAGTTTTTTAAGCTTCCAAGACTCGTCACCCTTGCATTGCGAATATTATCAAAAACAGTACGATCAGTTATTTATTTATGTATATGAGTAATTGCTAAATTCTATATTTCGACCATCGTTTTGCTTTAATTATTGAATAAATTTATGAAACATTTAACACTTGAAAATAATAGAAACGAATGATAAATGGATATTCCGTAACGTATCGTTTTGACGTTATTTGGTTTAATGTTTCGACGCATTTCGATTTATGGTTGAAGGAAACAGGGTTCGTAATCTCTATTGATATGTTTTACCACAAGCAGGGATAAAACAGTTTTATCGCGCGGGTATTTCGTTTCTACTCCTTTGCGAATACATTTTCTCGCGTTTATCTTGAGCTGTCAGTCCGGCTGACGAGTCTTCGAATTCCACGGGGAAGCAGTGTCCGTGGGTAGAGTACTTAAGCGTCGTCGACAATATCGATCAACTTTTCCTAAACGTGCCTCGGTCTACATATGTTTGGAAGCAGAATGGGGTGTGGACATGCGCGTATACAGAGCATTGTATTAGTAGTGCGTCAAGTGCGACGCCATGTGATGCGCGAGATTACGATACAGCAATAAACGGTCTAAGATTCGATAAATATTCCTTATTTTCGAGAGATTTCAAATTAATACTAATAAATATATAATCCGTTTACTATCTGGAACGGTATAAATAGGTGACGATAATTTCATGAAACGGAACATTGGACTGTTTGATATTGAACTTGGTCACACCTATACGTCGAAGAATCGATGAAAATATATAATGTTATATTTTTGACACGTTCGTTACATTTGTATTCTTTACGACTGTGGTGTCGCAATGTTCGAATAACAGAAAAACGTTGAATTAATAAAAACCGAGTAGTATTATTTTTTCACGGGCACCAAATTTACAAATTGTAATTTTATTATGTCGGTTTCACTTCCTACATTAATCGTTATAATTGTATAAAAATTAATAATTTTTTATTAATTTAAATAAAATTTATCTATTTATTAAATTAGTAAAAATTATTTACATTTTATTAAAAATTCAATAATCTTTTATCAGTTTTTATACAATTATTATCACTGTACGAATATTGAAATATTGCATCGGAAATTAAAATTACCTTTTATTTATGAGAATCGTATAACATGTTCTTTTCATTTATTATACATTACTAATTAACGAATCGTATTGCATCACAAAAAATTACGTTTTTAAATAGTTATTTTTTAATTATCAGGATCTACAAGGTTACGAAGACCTCACCAAAACCCTACGCAACAGAAGCTCGTCGAAGCGGACGAAAGAAGCTCGTACGATTCAGCAAAACGATTCATAAAAGGAATAACAATTCTTCGACATTTGCAAGCAAGACATCTTTTCCTTGGTATCTTCAGAATTGCCTGACGCTGAATATTTATAAGAGACTCCACGTTTGGAAAGCGTGTAGAAAAACGATCGTTCCTGAACAGTGACAACGACGACTAATACACAAAAAAAACAAAACAAAACAGGAACGCTTAAGGTTTCTGTTCTTCGCCGGTAGATTACGCGTACGGTTCAAGAAAAAGGAGACACGAATATCTTATCTTGCACGCGAGTGAGTGAACGAGTGAGTGAGAAAGTAACGTCGAAAAGTGAACCCGATGTGTTCGACGACGTCGAGGAGGAAACGAAGGTGACGACGCTCAGTCGATAAGAAGAGTCGTCACACAAAGTGCCAAGAAGACAAGATTAAAGTGTATTTGGATATTTTCGTGACAGTGCTTTCGGGCGACAGTGACGCCTATATTGTCAAAGGGACCGAATGTCGGCGAACGAAGTGAAAAATTACGATAGGACGATGCGATTAAGAACGCATGTTCAGTCGGTGAGCGTTGCTCGTGGAAAGGAAACTATTCGTCTTCGTTGATCTTGTGTTTCGCGGTTCGATACGGAACGAACGTACGGGGAGAAGTAACGACAGTGGAACGAAATATTGTGCTTTGTTTCGTTTTATTTTACTTTTTTTTTTCTGTGTTTCGTTTTCCAGACTCGCGAATCGAGGTACTCGATTCTCGTAGGATCTGAATCGAAGTGTAAAAGAAATTGTCGCTCGTTCGAGAGCAAGGGGAAACAAGTTCCTGCGAATTGACGAATTTAGGAAGTGTCGGTGGTGATATCAGTGGTGCGTTTCGTTCATCGTCGGTGGTGGTATCCGCGCATTGTTAGTGGTGCGGGGGTGTGGTGAAGGGTAGTGGTGGTGGTGATAGATCGTGTAAAAAGAAAACGCTCGACTGTGACTCTTAACTCATTACCACGGATCTCCCCCGGCAATTTGACTCTGCAGCCATCCTCAATGAGAGGAGGCACATGTCCATTGCTGCCGCTGAAAATGCAGGGTATGTCCTCCTTTATTTTTTTATTTTCGCTTTTACTTTTTACTCGTTCAATGTTCCATCAAACGAAGGCTGACTCTCGTTTAACATATGGTATTGTTTATTCGTTTAGGCGACTTAATATTAGAATAACCAGTTTGTAATGCAGACCTAACTATACCATATTTAAGAACGTTTTATTTGTTATTAGAAATATAAAATTTCAAGTATCCATCAAAGTGGTGTAGGAAAAATAGAAATAGAATTTATGGAGTTGAGTAACAGAAAGTAATAGTTTTTCCGAAGACGATTGTCTATTCCTTGAAACAGGATGTAAAAGACTTTTCAAATATTTTTTTCTTTTTTCCTTCTAGCAAGATGATGCGTATATTTTGGTACGCGTTGCAAATTTTTCCTCGTCCGTCGAATTAAATTTTATACATTACATTGGGCGAACAGTGGTTGGTGTTGAATGTAGGTCACTCACAGAAGTATATATCGTAATGTTTCACTTGCGCCTACAATGATATCTGTGGGATTGGGTTGAGAGACAGGGCAAGAGGGTTCTTGAGGTCACAGAGGGTCCACATAGAAGCCGACCGTAGAATAAAAATGATATACATGCTTCTTACATGTGTCAGTTTAAATTAATGGACGGACTGAAGGGATTTAGTGCTCCGGATGGTCTGAGGTCTATGCGTCTTGATTCGTGCTTGGACATCTGGTAGATCGAGGAGCAATTTCAAGTAAAATTTTTATTGAGTGTCAAGTGTTTTGTTACGCAAAATAGAGGAAATATTACTTTGTGTGAAATAGGTATAATCATAAATATAGGTATGTACATTTAGTAAAAAATAATTCTAAATTTATTTGTTTTCTTTTTTGGTATCAATGGATAATAGTCGAAAGGAATATTTTTTATTTTTTTGACAGATTAGAGCAAAAATTACGTTTATTGATCTATTTAGACCATGTGAATTATTATTATTTCGATATAGTCAGACTTAACGAATTTCCAAATATTTCCTGATAAAAATGAGCCCAAACAGTGCTTTCTTTGAACCATTTTTATTTTTTTGAAAGTTTCTAAAAAATTGATCGAACAATGTGTAATTAAAAATCTTCCAAACGAGGTAGTGCTTAGACACATTTTGACCAAGAAGACACGTACGAAGATGTAATGGAAATTATATAAATTTTAGTTTTCATTAGTAGATGACTCATCTTGTAGGTAATCCGAGACTCCTCGCTGCTCTATTTCGCTCATTCTCTCTATATTCTGGTCCACTCTCTTCATCAAATGGTTTGTGCGAGGCTCGACCTCAATCCGAGATAAAAAAAGTCGATTCGTAGAACGAAAACAGCACTTTCCCCGGATAATGGACCTAATTTTGTTTCAGTTATCCGGAGATTACTGTACGTCGTATAAATCAGATAATCTCTATTATACAACTCGTTATAACAATGAATCGGCTATGTATATCACGTAATGCTCGATGAGTTGTGTAATACAGTTTTTATTATGTATTTCTCATAGGTTGTACAAATACTCACAGAAGAAATAAATTACATGTCCATGAGATAGCATATTCTAGAGATTGGTTTTGAATGACTTTTGACTATATTTAGAATGAATTTCGATGCTGCTGTTTTTATAATTATTCCTGATAATTAAAACAGGTTCTCTTCAAGAATATGTAGACAGTTAAATTGCATAGACTTTGCGAACAAGTATAATAGCTTGAATTTCATAGAATACAATATCGACATATTAAAAGATTGATCAGAGTAGCAATAAAGATAAATCATTGGTTCAAATTTAAATGGTAGGAATCGTTGAATAATCGCTGCAAAAACTGCACATTAATCACCTGTAATAATTTTGTCATGGTACTATCAAGTTAATGGGGGGCTTTCTTTTTTATGGTTTTAAAATCGCTAGCATACAATATTTATCCTCAGGGTATAATATTTTACCATAAAGAAACTTGTGCAAAGTGAATAAAAGTGACGCAAATCGAAAGAGAAAAAAAGGAGACGTTCTATTATTAGTGTTGTGCAGCTCGTATTATGTTGTCTTATCTTTTATGGTAGTTCGATTTTACGTAATCTAAATTCCGATAATCGTTTACTGAACTCTGTTGTTTATTTTTATGTTTGTTTTATGCTCGGACAACGTCTTCATGCATTCATTTATTTCTTAATCTTTTCTATGTATCGATACGTTCTTCGAATTCTCGTTCTAGTAAAATTATGTCAGTAAATTTTAATACGTGTTAAAATACTTGATTTAAAAAATAGCGATGCAATTACACATGTATTATTTATTATAACAAGCCAAGGTTTGTTACGTTTTAGATAAAAAAATAGTTTATATGTATAAACTATTTGATATATAGTGTTGTTTAATATCGTATTGTGTAAATAAGAAAATTGTTCAAGGAAACTGAGATATCAATTTAGTACGACGTTTCGACTTTTTATAGTATACAGGGTGTTCGGCCACCTCTGGGAAAAATTTTAATGGGAGATTCTAGAGGCCCAAGTAAGACGAAAATAAAGAATATCAATTTGTTGATCGAGGTTTCATTAAAAAGTTATTAACAATAAAATTCAGAAATTTCAAATCGTTTAAAAAAAAATATTTTCGATTGTGGGGGCCAATTACAATCATTTTTGGTCATTACACATACCCCCGAAATCCTACGCACTTTCGAGAAAAAAAATTCCTTACCGAAAATCTAATTAGGTGCCTAAATTTCTCAACGAAAAAAAAGAATTTCAAATCGTTCTGGAAACATTATTTTCGGTTGCGGGGGTCAATTACAATAATTTTTGGTGAACAGACATACCCCCGAATTCCTGCGCATTTTCGAGAAAAAAATTCAGTACGGGCGGAACTTTAAACGTTAATAACTTTCTAACGAAGCCTCCATCAACAAATTGGTATTCTTGATTTTCGTCTTATTTTGGCCTCTAGAATCCCCCATTAAATTTTCTCCCATTGCGTGGCCGAACACCCTGTATATGTATATAACCATTATATACATATATAATCTATTTTTTTATCTAAAACGTAACGAACCTTGACAAAATAATACATATGTAATTGCGTCGCTATTTTTTAAATCAAGTATTTTAACACGTATTAAAATTCACTGACATACTTTTATTAGAACGAGAATTCGAAGAATGCATCGATACATAGAAAAAATTAAGAAATAAATGAATGCATGAAAATGTTGTCCGAGCATAAAACAAACATAAAAATAATTAATATATATATAAATATTATTTATATTTGATATACATACATATATATATGATATAAGCATATTCTTCAAATAACTTCACGTCCTCATTCGCGTGTATAGAAATACACAATTATCTTCTCACGAGAAATGAGAGAAGAAGAAAGGAACAGCGCATCATCCGTCGTTATATTTGAGTTAAAAATTTTAAGAGCTCTCCCTTTGAAAGGTTGAATTGTGCCGACACCTGCTGCTCTCTCTTTTGCCGAAGGAAACCTTTTGCGCCCAGCTTCTTCCAGTTTCTACTCAACCTATCTCGATCCGCCTACCTGAGATGCCTTCTTCGCATCCCGAAAGCACCTTCCGCATACACATTTAGGTGTACGCTGCCTAAAAGTATCTCGTTGCTTGTCAGTTGTTCTTCGTAGCTCTATCAATATTAACACTTTCGCCAGCAGCCCACGATTTTCTAGATGCTCGTGTGGCGAGTAGACAAAATTACTGTAAATTTCTTTTTATTATGAAAGCCCATTGTAATCTTCGGAAGCTTGATATTTAATAACATTTTAAGCTGTTGTGGTATTTGAAATTTTTGTCGAAATTACTTTGAAAGATTGCGTAATAGTCAATTATTAATTAGCTAATTCGATATTACAAATTCTTTTATTTATAAAATCATCAAACTTGTACAACTCGATATGTTAAATATGTGTCATCCAAACGCTACAAAGAATTATTCTGACAAAATGTTTTTGATTTTACGAAACGAGGAAATAATTTTTTTTTCATAGAATCAGCATGTAAGCAAGTAACTGTATAAAACTAACGTTATTATTAAGATTCAACGGAACACAGCTATCGTTTAGTGTGAAAACGATAGTAGCATTTTTAGGCACTATTAGATAACTCGTTTGATAAGAAAGTTGCGTAATGATACATATTTCCTTGCTTTGTACTGTCGTTTCGTGCAACCGATACGCAGTACACGTACTTGCGTAACAGCCGATGGACTAATTCGAAACAGATGACACGAAACAGCGCGTTCTGACGTAACGTGACGTCGAATTTATTTCATTAGATTCTAGAAAGAATCGCGATTTTGGTACGTTCGCGTTCATATCGGGGACTCGCGACGAAAAAAAGCTTTCATCGTTTCCCCGTCGCGAAATTGCGATAACTCTGAATAACCCGTTCGATGAATAAGCACAAGTAACCTTTATTCCATTGAGTTTGCTGGGTATTCGTGTTCTTGCAAACAACTTCGTTCGAGATTTGTGCGCGACGCACATAGAAACGAATTTTTGCATCGTTAAAATGTGGAACAGGCTTCATAGGCTCGGTAGGAACGAAAATAGAATAAATAAAGCGGAGTAGTTATCGACTTGTTTCTTGCAGTGTTTACCGTTTCACGGTACCGGAATACGGTCCCTGAAAGATCTCGTAGTATTTTAAATTTGTGTATTAATTAACTGTCGAATCAATAAATTAAACATATATTGGTAGTTATATTTAGGAACGTTTCGAATCTTGGGTCCTCGTCGGCATAAAAATACATTTTACGTTTGCAAAATTTTGCAAATACAATGTTAATGTATACACCTGTGCATACACGTGTGCGTTATGTTTACCTCGACTTACGTCAGTTATTCTGGGACCGATTAGATGTCCTGGTTTTCAAAATCACTCTGTATATTGCAATATTTGAGATAAGCCGTTTTCTCGTTGGATAGTGATGCATTTAGGTAATACGGTTTTACGTGGCTCGTAATCCCC